TGGGCAACGCTTGGCTGTCCTCGGGTCTCCTTCTTTTTTGTTGTTCCTTTTTTTTTTCCAGTCTCGCTTTCACCTTGACCAAATTAGAACGACCATGGACCTTACGCGTTGCCTTTCTTTTCTTTTTTCCCCCCTTCCTTTTTCCTCCTCCTATTCACTACCTGATTGATCGTGGGGTCCAAAAATCCTAAAGACCCCGCTCTTCGATTCAGACCTGCAGGAGGACGGACAATATGGACGATACATACTTAATGTGTTGATCAGCCATCAATCAAGCCTCCGTCACCATCGGGAAGGCTGATGATGGGAAACCGGGATTTTGGACCTCTGCTGCTGAGTGATGAGAACCTTTGTCCTGTAAGGGAGGCATCAAACTTGCAGCAACCTTGCTTTTGTTGGGGGGAGGGGCGTTGGCTTTCGGACCAGTTAGATGTAGACAAGAACGCCGGCTTGCCTTGGTTTCACGCATGTATCAAAACAGGATTCATGGCAAGCTGCAATATAGAAGGAAAACCATTTGCGAGATGGCATGATCTCTCCTCGTCTCCTCGGCAACCCCCTTGCGCTTGCTCGTATCATCACCCCTATGCAGTAGCTGAAAACAAGCATGTTGATGGAAGGCCTGCTTCTCGGCTGGGTGGTCACGGCAGCAAACAATGCTCTAGACGCGCCTTCTTCTCTGCGCCTGCTGGTTATCCGTCAAATTGCCCGCAGTGTCTCAAGCATGGACGGAATATGACGCCCGGGGAAGCATCCGTCGAGCAGAGCAGGCGACCAGAGTTTGGCGATATATCCTCCCCAAAGCGTAGATGCCCCTTCCCCCTCCCACCCCGGGGGGGGCCATCGCGTACCGAACCCCCCATCCACGATATAAGGATGGTTGGGGCATAGATCCTCCTTTAGCACGCGGCATAGGACCCGGATTCCCGGAGGCTGGTACGAACGAAATCTCTTGTATCCATCCAATACCCGCCTTGTGCAGACCTCCGCTAGCGACGGCAGCATCCGGTGGGCCGCCACGACCTGTTCGTTGCTGGTGGGTTGTCACTTGTGCCTTAATGATCGCACATGCAGAGCACCAGTGGCTTGTGCTTCCATCCTTTGCACCTGGTACCGGGTTCTGAGGTTGCCTGTAGCACATGTAGGGACAGCCAACATGACAGGAATCTCGGACATCAGCCAATCTAGCCGTGCAGCTACTTTCAGCAGGGAAAGAGGAGATAAGATGAGCTGGTTCAGCATTGTGGATAGGACGGCGCCCCTCTTGTGCACGCTGTACGCCGCACACCAGAGGATGCTGGTCCGGGGAAGGGAGGCCCCTTGATCCGAGGCCAAGAGCAGGCCAGTCTGCGGATACCAGAAGCGTTAGCATGCATATGCAAGTCTTGTATAAGTGGTGTTGTCGCAGGTGCCAGAGAGGATGCCCCAGTCGCCTTCAGCTGAAGAGGATAAGGTGTGGCTGTCAAAAGCTGTTAGCGCTGCCCTGCTGAGACAAGAACATGGACGATCCTCGCGGGACATTAGCATCTGACGCTATGGGATGCCCGTATGCCCTCCACTGGCGTCTGTCCTCGAACAGCCAGGTTATGGATTCGCCGCGGCGATTCAGCAGGCGAGAGTAAGACTGCTCCTTGGCCAGAGACGCATAATCAAAGCATCAGCACTTGAGAGTCTAGCCAGGTAGTAACAGCGAAATAAAGCCAGTACCGATGGAACATCATCCGGGATGGCATTGTGGCCCTGACTCGGAGTGAGTTGTCGGTGTTAATAACTGCTTGTTTGACCTCCGACAGTGCTTACTTTGCAGAACCTAATCTGCTTCATGCTGTCTGTCTTCTCGGCACCGTCACTTGGCCTCCCACCAAGCTGCAGACGCCACACAAACAAAGCGAAATTGTTCGCGCCTCTAGGAGGGCGTCTGATGCTCCAGCATGCGGCTGAAACGCCGTCGGCGCTGAGGTGGGAGAAGGCTTGCATTGAACTCGTTTTCTCATGCTCTAAGACTGGCAAACTCGGCGTGTTGTTTCGACACAACTCGGATTCACTAATGAGGCCGGAGGCGATCGAATAACCGAGTTCACGGAAGCAGTGTGCCGGCCCAGCATGGCTTCGGACAAGAAGCTCTCGGGGCCTCGTCGTGGCTGGTGAATGACTGCTGGATATCATGAGCTCCGGATCCTAGAGGTGAAGCCCTTTTGAGTAATGTACTTTGTTTGAGACATTAAAAGGCTGAAAGTCGGCAATGGGACTCCGGAGCTGCTCCGGCCTCCATTAATGCCATGAATACTGTCAGATATGTCGAGCATTATGCAACAGTCCCGTTCCCCGCTGACTTCGAGGTGACAGCGCGCCAGATTTATGACGGTTGGATTGCGCAGTTGAAACAGCCTCGGATGACGCAGGACCATGCCTCTTTCTCCACTGCGCCCATTCCATGTTCCGGAGAGACTCCATTATGGCACCATGAACTCCCTGTTACTGGTGTCCAGGAGCAACGGCCTGTCAAACTGCAACGGTGTCATTGGCCGACTAGGATTCCAGATTTAGCAGCACAGACATGCCGGGTCGATAGCCGTAATTTCACTACGGGGCGAACCGAGCCAAAGTCGAACCGGGGGCAAGGTAGTAGACAAGCAGAGCCAAGTCTAACCGCGCCGTGCCATGGACAAGCATATCAAGGGGCATGCCCATCACAATCCATGACGTCCTGGCCTGCAGGTTTCTCATAGAGCCGTGCTGTTCGGCCGCACGGGGATTTTCGCCGTGTGGAAACCCTTCCTTCTTGTCCATGTTGCATTCCAGGCCTTCCGGGAGCATCACCATGGCTCTGCTTCGGCTTCAACCCACTGGCTCCTGGCTGCATGATTAAAAAGCAATGATGAAAAAGCAACCTGATGCTAGTTCGATTGCGTCAGCCCAAAGCCACAACGTTGACGCTGTAAATGGCAGCTGGAAACACTCACCAGTTCATAGTTCGTTCAGGGAGAGTGGAAACTGCATACGTGCGGTTCGAAGTATCCTGCAGCTAATGACGGCTGCATCATATGCCATATGATGTGTATCTGGCTAGATGAACAGTGAAAAGTTTGCGAGCGTCGGCTGAGCCATGCAATATAGAGACAACAGCGCTTGGGAAGCCAGACTCGAATGCTGTCGTGTCCTGGTCGAATCGCATCTCGGCCTTGAGCTCTGCCATCCGCGACAGGCTTCTGGCGTGTGAATCACACGCCCCCTGGAGAATATCGTTAGAATGCCCTTTTCGAGAAGAACAGGGATTGTGGTCATTGAGCAGCAGGGACTCTGTCTTCTGGTGGAGGGTTGTTGTATTTTGGAGACAACATGATCCTGGGGCAGTCAGGTCGATGAATGGCTGTCAGCCTCGCAAGAAGTAAAAGCCACAAGTCCTCGGAAAGTTCAGTTTCCGGGCGCATTGCATACCATTGAGAGAAAGGGAGCCATGAATCGAACGTCATGCATGCAGAAAGAGCCCAGGTGGCGCGCTCTGCCAATCATCCTTGTGGCGAGTCCAGTGGGCAGCTTGAAGACTTACGAGCTGGCTTCTTCTCTTCTTCGGTCTCAAACAGGGACATGAGTCTGCGATTCATGCTCGGGCCGTCTATGCGGAGTATACACAGATAGTGCGACGTTTGACGGCTGCTGATCTTCGAGCAAGAGCCTGAGATTCGGCCGATAGTAGAACAAGCCCAAGCCATCGATTACTAGTAGTCGCCTAAGCAGACGGGCCGGGCAGTCCCGTTCCCCATATGCCTTTCCCTTTCTCAATCATCGTGCTGTCCTAGCCCAAGTGTTCAGCCTGTTAGTATGTGCTTCGGCTTAGACTTCGACCTCACCTCTGTCTCTGGAGTGGGCCGCCGTGCAATCTCTCGACAAGCGGCGTATATAGTTGTACGATATTCAGACGAATTTGACCTCGCAGGACGCGAGGGGTGTGTTGGAACACCATGAGCAAAGTATGTAAGGAGCGTGTACCACTCCGTAAACGTACAAACATGCAGCCAAAGATTAGAGTGTGTGGGCTAGATGCGCAGGGCTGCTTCTAGCTGCGTTTCTGACAGAGAGCCGCCGGTTTGATCTGTCGAGGCTTGACGGCACTCTATGATGATAGAGCAATACACGCTCTTGCTGCCAGTAGCGTTTTCGCGCATGCCACCCTTCGTTGCGGATGCTGGGAAGTGCTTCGGCTTTCCTTCTCTGTCAGAATACCACAGCGATTCCCTCATGTCCCAAGTGGTGTACCTAATCATCAGGCAAGTCATCCTCTATGAGCACTTACATCAGTAAAATGCGAGGCGGATAGCTCTCATACGAGTATGCTCCGTACAAGGCATAATGTCTTGTTGCACTTTGGGCGTCAAACCGGTTGTACCAGGCCGTTGACAATCTCTGCTCTGCTGCGGACGTGAAATAAGTATGCGGGCAAGGATTGGCTAGTGCGCTTCCACTTACATACATCCAGAAAGCGGCTGGGGAGTTGCTATCTAGACACCCCCTGAAGTGAACATCCTCCCCGGCCGCCACCACCTTGTCCCGGTCTGCTGGGGAGGGTCCTTTCGGCTAATGCTAATGCACATTCAGTGTTGGTCAAAACACTCCCCAGATCCCATGGCGACGAGTATGAATACGTACCTCTCAAGATACGGGGGAAGCGGATAGGCAGGCCAGGGTTGAAATGTTTTCACCAAGTACGTACTCCGTAGAGGTACGCATCTTGTACGGTGTCCAGGATGGCAGTCCACTTTTGAAGCTCAGGTTTGAGAGACCGGCCGTCTGAGATACTGATATAAAAGGCCGTCAAGGAACCTCTTCTTCGCCTTAATCAATATCAGCACTTTCAGCATTCTCTTCAGCGGTCCAAGATATTATACCTCTATTTTCTGCAATCTCAACAGGACTGCTCTGTTTCCAAACAGCCTTGGCCTGTCCTTGTCGTCCTTGCTTCTCTCTTATAACTTATACTTTGCCTTATCGTGAAAATGAAGATGAGTGGCAGCGGAGGCTTCTACAAGTATCGTTGCAAGAACTTTTACTCGCACAACTGTCCCAACTGGGTGTGGGTGAACAATTCGCCATGTGCAACCTGCATTGTAAGTCACACTCATATATGAATCGTCCATGCCAACGGTGTATCCATGCTCCGTTCGAGTAGGCACAGAATGATGAGCCGCGTATGGCTAACATGGAAGAACACAGGCTGAGGGCCGAGATGCCGAGGAGCGATTGGTGCCATCTACCATGGTATCTCATGAACTCGTCTCACCTCATATCCGAGAGAGTATCCTACAACAAACTATCACAAACCCGGTTGCGCTAAATGAATCCGGAGAGAGCTGGATCCCCCACGTTCAGGGCGATGGCTTTGACGAGGATGGCCAACGGCCACAGGATTTTTCGACGACCAGCCTCGTCTTGCCCGGTTCGTATCGAACTATTGCTGGCGGGCAATAGGCAACCAAGTCGATCAATTTTTGGTAGGAGAGAACACCACGGCGTCTAGGCCCGCTTTTCTTTGATTCGAAGGGCTGACGATGGAGTAGGGGTCATTTAAACCAGATTTCGGCAGCAAAAACGGTTTGACGCTGCAACTGTGTAGGTAGGAGATGCAGGTGTTATCCGTTCCAGCTTCAAAGGCATGGCAATCGCCCTGACTTGCTGAGGGAATGGAAAGCGGCTGCTCTCGCACACTCGTTTTGATAGGCACGGTTAAGGAAAACGGGCTAGGATAGGTTCAATGGTCGAAGCGAAGGGAAAAATTGGCGTTGGGTCAAAAAGAGAAGGAGAACCGGATTAGAACGAGGGAAGAAAATTTGCACTACCCTGTTGCAGCAGTCCTTGACTGCGTGGGATGGCCTGACGCAGATGGACTAACTGACATCTGAACAGGTCGGCAACAAGGGATTGGAAAATGGCAAGGGAGTTGGGACTTTTTGCTGTCGGGGGTATTTGCGTACCGCTGGGAAACGCCGGAAAATCTTCAACCTTGGGGCGGAAAAGAATGTTTTGTCTTGTTTTCCTTCTTATCTCTCTCTCTCTCCCTCTCTTGGGGTTTGGGATGGTGAGGCTCTGCTCTGGTTCTCGTTTATTGTAACCCCAGACTGTCGTTACAGGGCCTTAGGCCAGTCGTGGCAAGAATCGCATAGCATGTTATGCAGTAGGAATCTGGCGTCTCGTCTCTCCAATGGCCGGTCAAGAGCCAAGAGTTGCGCGTGTCCGAAGCAGTAGCTCGGTGAGGTGCTTGCGAGGCTGCAGGCGATAAAACACTCAAGCGGGCATCGGCCCTTTCATGCTGGCCAACATGCTTTCTGCCGCCCTGAGTCTCGGCCACGCGGAGCCAAAGACGGGTGCAACCACTGCGCGATCCGTTTGCCGTTAGTTGGCTCGAGCCGTGCTGCGGTAGCGAGTCGGATCCGTTGCCGTCGGTTGCTTATTTTCTTCGGAATTACCAGCAAGTGGCGCCTCAGTGGTCGCAGGAGTCTGGTGAGGTTCAAGCTTCTGGTCGTTTGGGAGCTGAGAGGCGGAAGAAACACGGACGCTTCCCTGGCTTCTACACCTGGTGGGGCGATGGGCTTCTGCGTGCTTTCCTCGCTCTTGGCCAGATGCAAGTCATGCCTGCCGCTCTCAGGGTAGTTGTAGCCCACTTTCCTTGCTATTGCCTCCCACTTGCCTCCTTCCTCTCGGCCGAGGGACGCGGGAAGGAGCGACCTTGGCCCTGGGTGGCAACCTGGAAGATGGTAAGGTACGGCCACTCCGGGCCTGCCAGACCGCTGCATGTACCTGCCACCCCGTCCCGAGTACTGCGTGCGGAAGATCCCCCATGCCCGGCGTCCAACCAGATGCTGAGCTTGCCGATGGTGTCTCCCAACTCTAGCATCCAGCACAGGCATCTTGCCATGCAGGTACCTTGGGTGCTGGTTGTCGATACCTGACTTTTGCCCAGGAGATGCCCGGCTGCAGGCACGCTGACCAGGCAGGTACGAAGCAAGATGGCGCTAGCTGCACTCGACGTCTCATATCACATTTCTCTGAATGCCTTCTATTCCCTCTTTGGCCATTGCCTCTCCTTGCTGCTGTTCATGCGAGGGAATCGACCTATCCGATTGACGCCAGTGATGATGCTAATGCAAGAGTTTGTACAGTAGTATCTCCGACTCTTACCAGGCTCATCTTCATATATACTAATACTGGGCAGTAGTATGCGACTGCAGCGGCACCTACGGGGAAAGATGGGGCTTCGCAGCATGGATGCTACCTACTCGTGGGTAGTAGTAGGATTTTGCGCATCACTTTGAAGGACAAACCAGCCAAGAGCCCACCGTGAAGACAACATGAAGTTGCACGACGAAAGTTTAACCGTGCGGAGCTCACACTTGAAGTCCTTCACCCGGCCCGGCTGGTAGCACAGGACAGGCGGGCAAGAGAATACAACTGCGCTCAAACAAGGGGCCCCGAATCGCTCTTGGTGGCTGGCCAGCATCATAGCAGCCCAACTCTCCGGATGAACGCTCAGACAAGCGGCGTGCCGACCTTTTGATTACCTGCCCAGGGAACTCCTCCGAGCACCCAGGCCCCGAGATGGCTGCTGTTTCATGCTTTCGTTGCGACCTCAACCAGGGTTGGCTCCCCACTTGCCCACCTCCCTGCATCGCCATGCGCCTGGCTGCTAGGCGGCGAATGCTTCTCTTCTCTCTTCTCTCCTCTTTCGCTTTATCTCCAACTTAACGATACTGTTTGTGGACCTGATCAACACGGCCGAAGCCGTTGGAGCTAGTGCCGCTGCGGGAATCCTCAATCGAAGCTTCAGATAGATGCGTCCCGAGCTTCCTATTTGGAGACCCCTCGGCGGATCAGTATTAAAAGTCTTCTCCAGCCGGTTCCCCGTTTCCCCAACCGTCCCTGATTTGCCTCCTCCGGCAGAGTAAACGGGCCGCGGCGGTACCATTGTTCAAGACAGAAGGCTTCATGAAATTTCGTCCTACATGAGACCGCCAGTCTGCCACTATATTCTATACGTGATAGGCGGCATTGCCCCTGTCCATGACATCGTCAACGTGCCGCGCCATATGCCAGGGACTGCGTCATCATAGGAAAAAAAAAAGTCACCGACTTTAGCCGTGATGCCACCCACCGGTTTTCGGGAAATTGGAGTGATAATCGTATGAATGGAAACAGATCATCAACAGAGTAAAGATCAAATTTCTAAGCTGCAGGCTCCATACATGTACGAGAAAGTCTTCAATGGGATGACCGTACTCGGAACTTGGCTATTCGCCATGACCGCTTACTGGCCGCAACAAGGACCTGAGCCTGATTTCCAGGCTTGAATCGGAGCTGGTTGGAACAGATATACTCATCGACATCAGACTGGACTCACATGGTTGGCCAGTGCTTTTTTTTCCCAAGACTCACAAATTTGCTGTCAGTTGTGAACCCGCATACGTCAGTGAATAGATGCGCATATCACCAAGTTGATGAGCCTGCCCTGCACAGAAGGTTAGCGACAAGTCCTCTGGTCACGAGAGCAAGGGGTTACTTATCCCCTCGCCGGTGGGGGGTTGTCCTCCAGCCATTCCTGGGAGAAGGACAACCAGGACTGCCCTCCAAATCTATGGCTTGTCCTTATGATCCAATGGTGGTCAAAGAATGACCCAAGGGATGACAGACCGCGGATTAGACTCAAAAACCAAGCCGGGCAGGGAACCGGACAAGTACTGAACTTTGACTCCAACTCGAGATGGGTCCCGGTTCCGCGCCAGCTCGATGTCAAATCGTCCCTGCGGTGTCAAAAGCGAGCCAATGTCCGCAGCCAATCCTATAATAGATCTGCCGCTTTCATCGAAACCATCGGGTCCAAAGTCCGAGTAGCGCGTCGCAGCCCAGATGTTCAAGATGTGGCCCAAGGAACCCCCTTCAGTTTGTTTCGCACTGCCAACTAGGACTTGTTTTTGTTTCCTCTCCGGAACTCATAAGGTTAGGAGGGCCTTTACACGCGCACAAAACACATCCGTAAAAAACGCGTTATCATCTCGGCAGATTCTCGACGAGATCCACCGAGGCAATTGGTGGAGAATCCAGCCAGGAACTGGCGTCCTTGCAAGATCGAGGGACAGAGCCAACGACCGAAGGTTAATGCGCGTGGCCAGACTAGATGTGTGTGCATCATACACCAAGAGCTGGTGCTGTGGTGTAGTCCAAGGAGCAAAGGGCTGACATGCGGAGATCATGACGTTGGTAGTCGTGTTGACAGGCATCCTGTATGAGCAGGGGGGCACATAGGAAGCATCCGAGAGCATTGCAGAGTGGCGTTGTGCTGGGTCAGAAACCGTTGCATTTCTGTGTGTTCCCAGATGGCCCTCGCGACACTGCTGTGAGGCAGGCTTCCGGCAAGGTGCCATGCGGACATGTTGAAACGCGGTTTCTGACTGTTTGAGGCCCTTTCTGTGCTCAAGCTTCATGCCACAGACCTCGCATCATGGCGATGAAGCCACCGACGCAGATCCCAACAGACGGCGTCATTTTCTCCGCCTATCAATGCCAACAGCATCTCAAGGACAGCCTATTCTCGGCCAGAGTGCGAGTTCCAGCGGAGAGAGCTGACGAGCGTCCTCAGACCAGAGGCTCTTACAATGACTCATGGCAATCTCCTCTTGCGCACCATTTGGCGACTGGATGTCCTCTCTCCTAGTCCACCAACACTCGGCTTCGTCTCAACCACGCAGCCCGCCTTTCAGTTCAGCAGGATCAGCAGTATCGACTCGCACGATTGGTTGATTTAGAAAGGAGTTTGGACGACTCAGCGCAAAACTGAACCAGATGTATGCTTAGGGTTAAGTTCCGAGACTCGTTCCCCCCGCTAGGCTTGGCCGTCCGGGTGCCAGACGGAGACTGGCCGCAATAGATCCAGCTGCAGCATTCAACGAAGTCCTGGAGCAGGCTCGGAAGCGGCATATTGCGGCCGAACAAGCCTTGGTAGAGGGGTCTGCGATAGACATTCCTTGCGGAAAACGAGAGTCGGGAAACTGTAGGGGAGGCGACGTGCAGATGAGCGTTGCTTTGAAAGGCAACGAAGGAGGCTTGACCTTGAGCTACATGAAGAGATCTAGGAGACGATACGTACTAAAAGGACGTGATTTGAGACGACGGTGACCTCTCAGGCAGCAGATCGAGGAATTGGCGTATTGGAAGCGGCTCTGGCGGTTGTTGGTGAGCAAGCAAGTACTCTAAGTAAACACAGGGAAACGCGTGGGGAAGCTATATCGAGGTGAGCTTGTGCACGGACCACGACCGCGGACGCGCCAGCACGTGATAGCTCCAGAACTGCTAGGTACCTACTGAGCCACCATTCACCAGCCACAGCTGTTTGACATCAGTACTTCGTACATCCTGGTAGAGTCCAGGCATTTCCATGTGATACCAGACGGTTCAACAGCTCAACCTCCAATGTAACGAGCGATCTTGCTTAGGACTCAACCTTTACAAAGCATATTGCAAAAGCTCTCTGGCTGCACCTCACAGTTTCTTCTGCGATGGCAGACTCAGCAAAGTCTCAGAAATCCCAACCCAAAGTCACACAGGATATTGTAGATGCTGCAAAAAGGGCATTCGATCCGTCTGCTTCTCCGGAGAGCCGACAAGACGGATTACGGGAATACAATGAGCTGATTGAGAGGTAGGTGAGGCTGTCTTTGAACAATAACCACAGCATTCTCGAAGTTGTACCTGACACACGCATCTAGAACGCAAACATGGATCTTGATACACGTTCTCAACTCTCTGATCAAGCCAAACGTGCTCCCGCCATGGCTCAGAGAGCCGTTGATGAGGACCTTGACCCAGCTGCCACTGCGTCCCGACGGAGTTCGCGCGACGATGGAGTTTGTGTTTGCGGTGCATCCGAGCAATACCGGGAAGCCCCCCGAGGACGCCACCAGCGGAAAGCAAGGGGCAGCCATTACGCATGAGGCGGTCGCTGTTGCAACGAAGCTGCTTTCATCCGTGCCGGCCACGATGAGTGCTCAGCAGTGGTTTGAGGGGATCGCGGGCCAGTTGTTTGCTCTGTTTGATGGCGAAGCTGGACCGGATGTTGCGAAGACGGCGGCGCAGATTGTGGGGTTTGGGATTTTGGGTAAGAAGCAGTTTGGAGCACCAGGTAAGAGTGAACACATTCTGCATACTCTGTCAACGCGCTCATTTTACTGATGAAAGGAAATAGGGGCACCTGGTTGGAACGCCTTTGTACAGCCTCTAATCGAAGCCATCAACCCGTCGCTGAGATCCCAAAAGAAGGATTCCGCTCTCACATCAGAAGAAGTCGAGGAAATCGTTGACCTGGGCCGGGAAAAGGTCCTCGTTACTGCTTCTGACCTCGAGAGGGCGCTGAAACGGCTGGAGCTGCTCATCATGTCAAATCCATCGCCTGGCCTCTGCAAACGAGTCTTGAAGCCAGTTCGCTTGCAACTCTGGGCGCTCGCTTCCTGGACCAACCCGTCTCAGGATACAGATAGTCGCTTCTGCAAGCCTGCGCGGATCCTGGTGCAGACACATCTCAGATTGTTCGGCGATGTCGATAACATTATTCCTTTCATCCGGAATATTCAGTGCAAAGGATCGCTGAATGAAGAAGAAGGCCTGAAATGGAGATATCGCCTTGCATCTGATGGCGGGATAGAATGCACCCAGCGTCCCTTTGCCCAGCAAAACTCAGAAGTCGACCTAGACTGGGGACAAATCGAGAACAAGTCGTCCACCCTGGTCGAGTTTATAAGTTCCGTATGTGCCACGGAGGAAGTCTCTTCGGTCTTCTTATACCTCCTCCGCCGATGGATACAATCAGCCGGCAAGCAAAGCGGTGGTGGCTCGATCATACAGGTCGTCGTCTCTCAGGATGAGGAAGAAGCAAACTCCACCGTCCAGGACTTAGTCGACGTGACTTTGTTGCAAAAGTTCATGGACAAGGCCCCGGAGAAACTAATCAGCCACTTCGACCAGCTGCTGGAACTCATATCTCATGTCCTGCGAGCCGACAGCCAGGCGCCCCTTGGGGATGACATCATTGCAGTTGTGCTCAGTTTGCTCAACCTGGTCATCACAGCGCCGACGTTTCAGAAATCAGACATTAACCCAGCTGAACTCGAAGTTGTGGAGGAGGCACTGGCGAGAATTGGCCGCGAGGATCGCGGCGATGCATCTACCACCGCGAACAACCTGTCGATGCTGCTCAAGTACAGGGACGACGTGGAAAAGCCAGACGACAAGACGGCTGCTCCTACTGCGCGCCAAATCGAAGATCGCAGGACCTACAATCTGGCGATGAATTACATTACTGGAGATGGCAACCCACCGCCGGTGGTCTCCGAGGGCCTCAACCTACTCTCGAACCTGATTGTGGCAGAGAGCCCAATATTGGACATTGCAGCCGTTACGGTGCTAATGTCAAATCTCTTGAAAGAAAATGAAGACTTTATCAATCTACGAGTCATCAAGATATTCACGCTATTGGCGAACAAGCACCCCAAGGCGACCATGCAGGAACTTCTCGACAATTACTTGGATGCACAGGAACGGTTGAATACAGACACGCGTCTAAGGTTCGGCGAGGCCATCCTCCAGGTCATCGAGAGATTGGGGCAGACCTTTACAGGAGAGGTCGCTCAGAACACGGGCGAGACCATGCTGTCGATTGCAAGCAGGAGGGGCTACAGGCCCAAGACCATGGCCAAGCAGGCGCGAGAGGAGCGGCTGAATGAGCTGAAGAGGAAGAAAGCAGAAGCAAACGGTGAAGTTGAGGACGACGTCGATATGGAAGATGAGGAAGAAACTCCAGAGCAAGCGGCGAATAAGGAGATCTTGGCGCAAATTGTTCAGGGGTGGGAAAGCAAAAGGGGCAGCGAGGACGTTCGAATGCGGACTTCGGCTTTATCCATCTTCGGAAATGCCATAGAAACAAACATTATCGGCATGGGGCCGACTTTGGTCTCAGCCGGCGTCGACCTCAGCATCAATGTCCTCGCCATGGAGCCGGAGCTGGAGAAGGGCATACTTCGGCGAGCAGCCATTATCATCATCCTGAGTTTCGTGCGAGCCTTGGACAAGGCCAAGGAATCTGGACAAAAGCTGGGATTCGGGCTCACGGATCAGAGCCGTGAGGATATTCAGAGGACTCTCCAGTACATCGCGGCTACCGACAACGACGGCCTGGTACAGCAGCACGCACGCGATGTGGTGGAAAGCCTCGAGAATTGGGGCATGGCAAGTCTGTTGCCGAGCCAGGCGGAAGCGAGCGCTGCCGTACCTGGTTTGGCAAGATTAGCGGGATTGCATGTGAATCCAGAGGGGACCCTCGTGGACGCTTCTAGACGGCCACGGCCAAGGATAGAAGAAGTGGAATGATGGGACATGGAGGCTTGAAAGTCGTTTGCATCTCATGTCCTTGTCCGGGCCCCGCCAGACATATTAAACGAGTCGTAATCAAACGGAGTTTTCCGTAACTAGACGCATGGAAGAGCCGATAAGCCCCAAAACTGCATACGTGGAGGCAGACACGCGAGGCGCTTGCCTGTGAAGAGTGACAGTCCGCTAAGACGCAATCTCAAGTGCAAATGGGCTGCCAAGCCGGCCAGCCGAAGATGGCTCACCGGGTATCAAAAGTAGTACTACCTGTTCCTAGAGGCACCCGAGCTCTCTTGTGTGGAATCGGTGGTAGAGTCACCGTGACACCGTGATTCGTACTCTTGCCGTCGTGGCTTAGTACTCGAAGGCTCCTCGCTCCACAGTCCGTGACGTACGAACCAGGCACATCAGGCCGTCGCATTTCCTGCCAATCTGATAACGGCAAGGAGCAAATGAAAGCGAAAACCTCGAACGAAAAGGCTGGCGTGGCCAGATGCGAATACGTGTAACCTCGTACGAGCAGATAGTACTTCATACTCCGTACCTTACCTGCAGGTCTGCGACGAAGCGAAGCAAGGGAACTTGCTGGCTGTGATGCAGGGGCCGCTTGTGTTTATCTCAAACGGGTTCTGGAGAATAAGGTTGGCTGGCCCGTGCCTTGAGGAAACGTGAAGCGAGCGCCGGAACAACTGGTACTACTATTGGCAACAGTAGCAGATACGGGGTGGTACAGGACCGGTTGGGAGCTTGGCAAGGTCGACTGATACCGCGCCAGAGACTCAGCTTAGGTCAATAATAGTACTCGTAGTCTCAAAACATTTCGCTTTGGCTGCTATCGGCGTAGCGGCATAACAGGTGAAGCGTATACTGACCCTCGAGGCGCGAGTCAAAACATGTTGCCAGCAGCTGGCCGTTTCACAAAGAGGCACAACGGCAGGGGGGCCGAGGGGGGTTTTGACTGCGGGGGGTTGCTTCTGTTCCCCAGTGCGAGGGGGGCGGACGTTGCCCAGGGAATGTGACAGTGGGCATTGCCCGCGACAGCAGACGTCTTTGAGCGAATTAGTGAAGAGCCACTGCGCACGATATGCTGCGGCGTTGAGGCGTTGGGCTGCGGAATGGCAATCAAACAAGATTGGGCGAGTTGGCGGCGTACCTGCGCGGAGACTCGCACTAATACCAGCAGGCGGATACACGAATCCAAGCGCTGGAAATGACCAAGAGCCAAGCATTGAGTGACTGCATGCTGCACGTTGGGCGGTGCCAAATTAAGGGCCCTGCTGGTGTTTTGGTCGCCGCCCCGGAGGAGGTCGAGCCAATGGGAGGCAGCGGGCGAAATTGATTCGGTCGAGGGTTTGGGCGACGGACTTGGCCCTCATTTGGGGCATCTTGGCCCTGGAAGGCTGAGGGGACTCGTCGGGATGCAATGGCATGTTGCCGGGGGTTGCATGTAGAGAGACGACGATGGTGTTGAGGGGGGTTCCAGTGCAGCAGAACTTATTATCGTGTAGGTGAGGTAGTACCTGCCTGAGGCAGTATGACTCTGTGCCTGCCACCAGTTGAGCTGTGCAAATCACTCACCGCCCACTATCTGATTTTTCAGGCGACACAGGGCAGAAAATTGAGCATCAGATAATAACAACACCAGACCAGGTCGATATGATTCCCACCAGCCGTCCTTCCGTCTTCCCACCTCCTTCGGGTCAGCCCAGCGCCACCGCGAACCCAACAGCCAGCTCGCCAAAAGCCATCGACAAGGCAAATGCGCCGATGTGGCGACTGATTGGTTGCTGGCGTGTCTCAGGCGCTGCGTACCTGCATTGGCCCCTGGACTAGCAGGTATTAGCAGGTCCTTGAGCAGGGTTAGCGCCGCCAGATGGTGACATCGAGAACGGCTTCTCGACTCCGTCAGGGGGGAGCCTTGCAGGCATGGATCACGGAAGGACGACAGTCAGCAATCAATTGACGCATGCTGGAGTGGCGGGCAGAGGCCGGGCGAGAAGAGTCAGAGTGAGAGTGGAAGGATGGCAGAGGGGGCGGGCGGGCGGCATTGTGATGAGGGGGGCGTTTGTGTGTTTTGTTTGCCTGGTGATGGGGACGGTGTTTGCCCGAACGACAAAAAGGGACCGATATCCAGCTCCTCTGACTCGGCCTCCTCTCCTCTTCTTGTTTCTTCTTTTCTTCCTCGTCAAGAAGTCATCGTTTGTGCTCTGTCCCTCTTTGCTCCAGCTCGTCGGTTTTGACAGCTACTTCCACTCATTACAGCTCTCTCGGAATACAAGCCAGTCTTGTTTCTCCCCTCGGCTTGACGTCGACAATTACGCTCTCTCCAGCATTGTTTATAGAAGCGTGAGCAAACTGTGTCTGCCACGTTAGAAACGGAATCGATTTTCGCCCTCGTCAGACACCCTATCAAATATCAATATCCACACAAACCAGCCATCATCAAGATGAAGTCTGCTGCCGTTGCTGCCTTTGGCCTCTTCGCCGGCCTGGCCTCTGCCAGCCAGCCCCTCCGCCATATGCACTTCCCCAGGGCCAACACCACCAGTGTTGCTGTTGACGATGCTGCTCCCACGACCCTGACGGTCTTCGCCACTTCGGTCCACACCGTCATCAGCTGTGCTCCCACCGTCACCAACTGCCCGGCTCGCCTCAACGCGACTGGCGCCGGCAGCCTGCCCGCCTCGGCCATCACCCCCGTCGTCGTCACTGACACCATTGTGTTGGCCACCACCGTCTGCCCCGTGGCCGAGGCCTCGAGCATCTCCTCCTCTCTCCAGGCTGCTCACTCCTCTGGCCACATCACCGGCTCTACCATCAAGGGCACGCCGCCTCCCGCTGCTGTCACTCCCGCTCCCAACGCTGGCGTCACCGTCTCCGATGTTGTCACCCAGAAGACCCTGACCTACACCATTGGCAAGGGCGCTGATACCTCCGTCGTCACCACCACCATCCAGGCCACCACCCAGCAGACCATCACCCTGACCAGCTCTCTCGGCAACGGTGACGTTGCGGCTCAGCCCACGACCACCACCACCGCTACCAGCACTGGCACCACCACCGTCACTGTCGTCCCCGAGCAGTCTGGCTCTGGCAGCTCCGGCTCCAGCACCGGTGGCGATGTCCCTGCTGGCAACGGCGAGGGCTCTTGCGCCAACGCCCCTACCGTTACCGTGACTGTTGCCAAGGAGACCGTTACTGTCCCTGCCTCGACCGTCTACGTCACCATTGCCCCCAGCTCTTGTGACTCTGGCTCTACTCCCGCCGTTACCGGCCAGGGCGTTGAGAACGCTGGCAACCCTGGCTCCAGCTCCGGCTCCAGCTCCGGCTCCAGCTCCGGCTCCGAGGGCAGCGGCTCCTCCGGCTCTGGCTCTGAGGGAAGCGGCTCCGATGCGGCGGCCACCACCCCCTCTGCCGTCCTCAGCACCCCTTGCCCTACTGACATCACGACCACCGTCCGTGCTACTGTCACCGTCCAGCCTTTCCCCGTCAACAACGGCACCGTCCCCAGCGGCGTCGCTCGCCCCTCGCCCTCCGGCTTCGCCCGTCTCCGCCGATAAATGGGTTACTTCCTTTACAGGAAATAGCCTTGTAACAATATCTGTACAAATCAAATAGTGGAAAATGGGCAAAAAAAGGGGGTATTCGAGCTCGGGGAAGCTCGAGTGAGTGTGCTATCTTTTGGGACGCTCCTCTTTATCATTCGTTTGTGTATATTTGATAGGCTGTCTAGAACGGCATCTTAGGGCAACCTCTTTTCCGAATTGAACGACTTGTGACGTTTATAAGGCCTCTTGTTATGATGCTTGTGCTGCATGTAATGATCTTCCATGTGAAAAGGTTATATTTGGGCGTATTCGGTGTGATTCTCTTGATTATGTACATTGATTCGTAGTATTTCGTATAATACGCCATCACTCATCACAGAACCCTGTCAAAACTCGACGAGAACATGACGGAAGTCCTCTTTCACCTCCAGGAACATACCTAGCTAAACCAATTCCCAGGAGTATAAGAACGCCTTTCAAACGCCCAAGCCATAAACACATACTATTGGTTCCTTGGGTATATTTCGCTCCTCAACCAAGTACCACACGCTCATACTGCTCTTGACTCAAATGCCTGAACAAAACATCCTGCAGAGCGGCCCGACTGCGCGCCAACTGCGGCACGATCCCGTCTGCTTGCTGGAGATTGGTCTTTATGCTCTCCATGTGGTCGCTGAGCTGGAGAGCGAGTGCCTTGAGCTCAGGATCTTCGAGATTCTAATGCATAAAACACCGTTAGCTTCGATAGGACAAAAACTCACTTGTTTCTAGTAGACTTGGAAAGAAACAACAAAGAGGGGGAAAGTTGAGAAGCGACAAACTTACACTGAAAAGTCCCCCGGAGAGAGAGCGTTCCGAGTGACTAAACGAAATGTCCTGCTCCGCCTTCTTCTTCCTCTGCGAGAGAACACTCTCGGGCGTGGGCGCAAGGACGTGCGCCTTCTTCAACAGGCCGCGATACTCCCTCCCCTGGGCCTTTGCGCTGGCCTCGAGGTTCCGCAGCGTCTCGTAGTCCCTCTCAAGCTCCCGCTCAAGCTTTTCCTTCTCCCGCTCCAGCAGCTCGACCGCGTGAAGCGCCGGATCGAGCTGTCGCTCCAAAGCCTGCTTCGCGTCCAGCACGCTCTCAAAGTCCAGCTCTATAGCACGGCCGTCGGTCACAGCGGCGGCGGGGACCGGCGCGGCGCCGGCTGCTTGTTGTCGTCCGCGAGGAACCCGTGCCGAAGGCATGCTTGCCGGGGGGAAGGGGATGCCTCGCGCAATCTTGCGCGTGATGCGGTGCGTCACGAGGCGCAGCGCGGCGGAAGTGTGGTTGTGGCGCTGCTCACTGTTGGAGAGACGCTGGAGGATGGGCCGGTGTGCGAGGGCAAGCATCGAGGAGGCGGCCGAGATGGTCGACTCTGGTAAGGGGCTCCATTTCGACTCAATGGTGGACTGCCGGACGCGATGGACGTGAGGCGAGATGTGAGGGTAGGGCTTCTCGGGGGATGGGGGGAGGTCGTCGTTGTCTTCTTCGGGGTCCGCATCTTGGTGAGATCGGCGCTGCTTCTTTGGTGTATGCGCATCTGCCGCTGGCTCAGGTTCATCTTCGGGAGGCCTTTTTGCTCTGGGAGCAGGTGAATCTTGTGAGGCTCTGCCGCTTCTAGGAGGGCGGCCGCGGCGTTTGCCTGATGCTGCTTGTGGCGGGCTTTCGGCAGCCGTCTTGGTGTTATCGCTCGGCTTCTTCCGAATCTCATTCGGAGCATTGATATCTCGTAGTGATGGCCGCCCTCGTTTTCGTGGTTGCGCCTGTTGCTTCCCCCTTGTTGAGCCGCGCTCCGGAGTCGCCTCTTCTTCCTCCCGTCGAGCCTGCAGAGAGGGACGGCCTCTTTTCCGCTTGACGGGCACCGCCTTGTGATTCGAAGGCTTGCCTTGCAGCTGATCTTCCTCCGACTCTTGCGCAGCGCTGCTTCTTTGCGAGCTGCTTGGAGTGCCTTCGCCTTCAACGTCCCGAGCTCTTAGCGAAGGGCGCCCTCGCTTCCGCTTCTGCTGCGTCGGCGTCGCTTCGTCCGGGCTCGCAACCACCCCTCGGTCTGCCTCTTTCCCTTTGCCCGCTAATGACGGTCTTCCCCTCCTCTTCGCGGGCTTGCTGGAGCTCTCTGGTGCCGGGCTCGGCTCAGCATCCGGAGACGCTGCTGCGGCTTTCCTCGGCCGGCCGCGCTTCTTGGGGCGCATCTGATCGGGCGCATCGGTGTCGTATGCCTCCGTCGCTTCGTTGCGCTCCTGCGACGCGTCGACCTCGAGTTTGGACGCGTTGGAGGGCCGCCCGCGTCTGCGCTTGGGGACGGAGGGCTCGGGCGCCTGTGAAGGGGGAGCTTGGATTAACAAGGCCCGTGACTGAGTGGAGAGTGGAAGAGGTTCGATGGATTACCATTGTGGGACGATGCTTGCGCAAGATGCTGTGTTGGACGGAGCGGAATCAGTTCAGTGTGCAGGACAAAGGGGAAGGCTGTCATTCAGCTTCTATAACGTTGAAGCTTCCAATTGCTCCAGGTCACCTAAACTCATCCAGTGACGGCACTTTTTTCTTTTTTCTAGCGGGGCCCCAGCGCCTCGTCTTCCAGAACTGGGCGCCTTCGAACCCCGCGCCCGGATTCGTTACAGCGCGTTGCGAGGCTCAGTATTCACGCCTATCAGATTGGATTGGTATCAGTAAGAGTTGGTCTCTGAATTACAGTCCAATTACTAGGTTCCTACCTAGTACCTGTATAACGACCAGTATGAGCATGTCCATCAATAAGTCGAGATGAACTTGATTCGCCAGTAGTATAACACTACGGTACAGTGAGCACTGCGTGTTCCGCCTCTTCGCAGCACATGTCAAGACGAACGCCTTTTCCCGCCCAACTCCAATCAATCCACCTCGGCGCTAAGACGCAAGCAAACAAAAGGACTGTCCAGGATGGGATCAGTTTTTGTTGAACTAAGACCGCTTCATTACGGAGTACCGTGTGCACAAGTGCCCAGGGAAAACGCCGAGGAATTCTCAACAAATCAGACCGGCCAGCCAGAGCACTCGATATCCCCGGCCTACCTTAGAGACAATAGGTACCAGGTAGGGCCACATTTCTCCAACAAACTCTGCTTGTGCTTGGGACCTCTCGAGGTACTTGTAGATGCCGTTAGCATTCCCGCCGTCTTCATACCTACCACTTAGCTCTCTTTCTCTTCCACCTCCTCCTCTTCCTCGTCACCTTCCTCGTGTACGGGTATAGACGAGTTTAATAATAACCATAATCTTTGAGAATTCGTTTCATTGGTTCCTTCAGCTCCATCTCCGCCATCTCTTCTCTGCATCTCTGCAATTTGTCTACAGCAAAGCCCGAACCCATTGACCGGGATCGGAATCTTCTCCACAACAAGCCACAAAACAGCTTCACCATGCGCTTCTCCGCAGCTGCTCTCGTGGCAGCTCTGCCTGCTCTCTCCGCCGCCCAGGAGAATCCCCTCGACCAATACGTCGCGCAGTTCCAGCAGCTCATTGGCAAATACAGCGCCTATCTGCCGTCTCCCAGCAAGTACGATGACGTCGCCGCCCACGAGGCCAAGACGGGGCCCAAGAAGCTGTCCGTTTTGGGCCTGCACAACTGGGAAGAGACGCTCTACGAGCCTGTTGCTCCCGACGCAAAGGTGCCTGTAGAGTGGTGGGTGCTGATCAGCGGCGGCAACAAGACGTGCTTTGGTATGCTTTCTTTCAGGCTTCTTTGCGCGACATGGATTCTCTTCGACTGACACTTGTTACTACCTAGGCCGCTGTGGCCAGGCCGAGGCTGCCTTCAACGAGACGGCAGTCAAGTTTGCCCAGCTCCCCACAGCACCTCACATGGGCTACGTCAACTGCGACGACCAGCCCATCCTCTGCAACTCGTGGTCCGCCGGCATTGGCCAGATCTGGGCCTTCGAGATGCTCCCCAAGCCGGCCCCGATCGACGTCTACAAGAAGAGGCTTAACCTCACCACCGTCACCTCGGACGAGCTGGTCGAGCTGTACGAGGCTGGCGATAAGAAGGACTTTACCCTCATCCAATCATGGTTCCACCCCTTCAACGGAAAGGCCAGAGAGCTTGGCCTGTCCATCCCCTTTGGCTACTTCCTTTGGGTTTTCAACCTCCTGCCCCAGTGGGCGTTTATGTTGATCATCTCCTTTGCCAGCCGAAGCATCATGTAAGTTGAAAATCCAACCATTGTCCTCGACCATTCCCTCGCCGGCCACTAACAGCGACAATCAGGGGCAACCGTGCTCAACAGCGCAACCGACAACCTGGTGCTCCTGGAGGCGCTCCCGCTGCTGCCCAACCCAAATAATCGAGCTTGGGATGAAAAGAAAAAGGAGCTGGTTGAGTGGCAATCGGCGGGACCGGGATATTGTGCTAATCCGGGGCATTAAATGATATGATGTACATGATTGAAGACGGGGAGCAACCCCCGACGGCTTGTTCGCTTTGGGTGATACCAACCTAGAGCTGTTGGTGTCATAAGCTTTTGGCTTTTGGGCACGATGAGTTATGTAGCTGTTTATGACCAACAAAAGAAGATATGGGAGAATATTCGAATGAGTTGCAGTCATGATTTGCTTTCGCATGCTTCCTGGAGTGTTTTCAAGCCGTCAACAATCTCGTCTCGGAGCTTGCCGTTGGCCATTTTGCCGTAGCGGAGGTCGCTCAACCCGCCAACCGTCTGCTGGATGGATTCCTGGAGTGCTGCTTCTTCATCCTCGAGCCTCCTGATCTCCGCTTCGAGAGCACCTACCGCGCCCTCGAGCTCGGGGATCACGGAGTGGATGCTGTGCGTGGTGCTCTTCAAACCCGATTCATGGCCAAACAACTGCAATCCGTTCATCAGCAAGGTAAGACAATTGCCATTGAAGGAGGCAAGGCAAAAGCGCTCTCCGTCTTTCCAGCAGCAAAACTTACCGCTCGCTCCATCTCAACTTCTCCATCTACATCCTCTGTCTCCGCCTCCCTCTTTAGCCGCAAGACCTCCTTTCTCATGACGGCCCCGCGCTTCACTTCGGCCTCGACGTTGGCGGAGACGGCATCGATGACCGAGTTCCGCTGCGCTTGCAGGTCGCGATAGAGGGACCGCAGCTGCGGCGCGTTGTGAAGCTGGCGCGGGAAGAGGAGGACGAATTGGTTGAATGTGAGGATGGAGGGGAGGGGGGCTGGTTGGAGGAGGTAGTTTGTGAGGATGTCGGATTCTGTGGGTGGCATTGTGCACTGTAACTGTCTTTCGGCGGTTGGAGCTGAGCCCGGTGCGTTTCTTCTGTTTCCTTGTGTGATGCGGTTACGTATTAAATAGGGTTATAATAAGAGTGGTGGTGATGCGGATCAGTTGAATGTCTTCCGGGTTGTTGTTCAGTATGAGTTGAGATGCTGAGGCGCGTTAACGTGAAGGTAATTTGTGGGTCTTGCTGTCTCTGCTGCTAGCCTTGAATTGGCTGAAACTTGTAACATCAACCAGCACCGAGAATGATAGGCCTTGAATCATGCTACTACAAGCATACATGTCGAATGTTAGAACCACTCTTCTTCTCAGCATGAAGCATGATCGCTGTTTCAATCCTAATCAGCCTGACCGCACAACTTGGGTCTTCCAAAACTCCCTATTGCTAAGCACGATGCTTCGCGTTATCCTTCAGTAATACCCTATAGTATATTCTTGGCGGCGTCGGCTCCTTCAAACTTGGGCTCTTTACGTCGCTATGAGAGATGCTTCATGCAGAAACGCTGAAACTTCCCATTCTTCCTGTGTCTTGAATTCTAGGTAGCCGTGACTCTTATCAGGCTCAAGTCATGACAGTGTAGCAATATGGCTGCGTGAACACAACATCAAAATAGAGTCAGTCAGCTAAGGTATTGTAAGAATATCAGCTCAACGCCCAAAGACAACAGCACACCTGCAGTCACATGTCGATTGAACACAATCCATCGTGCATCCATTGCTGAGGCTACGTCCAATTGCCCAATCCCGAAATCAGAACTCCATTTAATTCTCTACTTCAACCGCATATGATGATCATAGTAGTATGAGTGTCCCCAAGCCTCTTACGCCACAGGCTCTCGCTGTTCTGCAGAGTATCACTGAGCCAATAACCACGGCTATCAACTGTACATTCCTCTGAGAGCGCCAAAACCACGCCGGCATTTCCGAAGCGCTCGGGAATCTCAATGCAACTTCACGGAGTCACAGCCACCGACTCTTGCTGAAACCAATCACGTTGACAATCTGACACCCTTCTCAGCGAGATTCCGGAGATTTCGGGCAGTCCCTCTTTCGAGATACGATAAGTAGACTACTGCGACCAGCATCCTATCGCCAGCCGAGGACGAACTCTGCGGATGCGCAGGGCTGGGGAGCTTCAAAGTAGGATTCCCTCTCCTGTTGGGCGGCTCGTAGGTACGGAGTACGGAGTATTCGTGCGGTCCTGGTAGCATGAGATGGCACGAGATAGATACTCCGTATCTTAGATGCCTACTGTAGGTAACCACACAGCATCAGCAGCAGCATCAGAGTCAGCATCAGCACCCACATCCGCATCCTGCGAGGTCAAGGATCGGCCATGCCAGGATCCTCATGGCGATAATTGTCCGCGGGCTGGCAGAGCGATACAAATACGCTCACGGCATGGGGAAACTACAGTACCATCACCATTGGTAGCGCACGTTTTCGAGAGGATGGACTGGGTACATGTATCCAGATCAAGTTTCATCCAAAGGGACCCTGCCGAGATCATCTCTCGACACGCGCAACTGATGGCGATATTTGTGGGCGCTTTCATGGCTTGTGACTGGACTGATCCAATGCATCCCGACCAGACAGGCCAAGCTCGGGTCAGGCAGCTGTCGGATCTGGAAGCTTGGCTGGGCCATTTTGGACGGCAACGCATAGCAACTCCGAGTCTGATCTGGGGTCCTGCACACTAGTAGCCGGCGATGCTAGGAGAAGAGGGAAGCGATGCTTATGCAGATAAGCCGGACGCCATTGGGTGAATCCTCTCATCCAATCCTACTTGGCGCATGTGCAAAGGACGAGTTGCCTGTGTCAAACAGCTGATGGCGGATTAGGTAGCACATCCGCACAATTGCGTGTTCAGACTACGACAAGTTCTCTCAACGATGGCTTCATGCTGCTCTTTGTCGGATGAACGGATTCGCCAACAGCAGTAATACCAAAACTTGACTCGCCGAGAGCCGAGCAGGTGCGAGATCGGCTCCAATGGAGCTCAACTTTTTTTTTTTCTCTCCTGCTCTGCAACCCAACCAGAAGACCCTTATTTCCTAGTCCGTAGTTGGTTTGAGAAGCAACATGCACCCACCTACAAGTGGTATGGCTCAGCTTTCTCATAACAAATGCCGTGATGCGTGTCCTTCGCACCACGGGGGAGCCATGCTGGCACCTGGTAGGGAACTCGGCTGCTTCACCAAGGACATCCTTCTCCGTACGGCGCAGTTTTCGCTTGTCGACAAGTTGTTTTGAGTGTCTGACATGCAGGCACGTATCCCGCGTGGCTCTCATGTATGAAAGCTCGCGGCGGTTAGTAACAGATAGACTACTCCGTAGTACATGCTACGCTTACCCGCAGTTCCCCATACAAGCAACAAGGACAGAGGCAAAGAGGACAAGGCAAGGTGGGTAACGGAACACCGAGGCAGGTCGACCCAATGATCTCCCAATTGATCTGCAGATAACCAATCAATCGGTGGCGAGGGTTTCGAGATGTTCGATTTGCATTGTGGTTGGGGTCCTTTGGGTACGAGTACGGGATGGAGCGAGCTCAACATATGCGGAAAATTCTGCACCTCATTCGCTAGCAAGGAAGCTCAACTGCCACGGGGGGGATGTAATCAGGTTTGCCATCCAACTCCGACTTACTATGGGATTGATGACTTGGCTGTACATACAGTATGCAGACAGACGACCTGGCCAGAAGCTCCTTGTCTCCCCCACTCGAGCCATCTGTTCATTTCGCAAGCTTCCAGGTACCGTTTGCCGTTTGTAGCGTCGACGTGAAGGCGAGTGGGATTGGGTCGTTGTATGGACATACGAGTACGATGGCTCAGCACGATGGCCCGCCTGTTTGAATGCTGGTATTTTGCATGTGTTAATCGCATTTTCCTCCACTAAAACAGGACCTAGACTGAGGTAGCACCGCGTAGTCTCCATCGTTCTAGCACGTTACCCGGTGCGAGTCGAGTGCGCGTAGTATCGTATCAGCATCGACTCGGTGCTGGGGAGGCAAAGGATGGAGGCCATTCGCACCCGCCCACGCGCTAAGGCGCACGTCACTAAAGTAGTACTAGATACGGCACCAGGCAAGGATTGATGGCCGGCCCGTCATTACGCACGGCTATGAATAACAAGAAGAAGGGAAAAAAAGACCCTCGAGCACCTCCGATGGCGCAAATCGCGCAATCCGGCTGACGCCCAGCCCCCAGCGAATGCCCAGTGTTTTCTCGCCCACAGGTGGCCGGAGAGGACGCTGAAATTGGCCAGGAGCAAAAAGGCCACGGCGGGCTGATGCTCCACACGCAGTGAAAAAGACCCGATCACAATAGCCCCAGGCAGAATCCCCGACCGCCTTCGTCTTACCCCTCCCCCGCTCGGCGCTTTTCTGCTCGATTCACTTAATATTCAGGTCCTGCCCGCTCGTTCCTCCAACCTTTTTTCCTCTCCATCCTCTCCAGCGTGTCCTTTTTACTCTCTCATCACTCCATAAAAAGGGCTCCTCCTCCTCCTTTTCTTTCCTGCTTCTGTGACACAGGCCGGACCATCCGATTGATTATTCCAGTGAGTACAGCTTCCACACGTCCATCGTTCATCGTCATATATCCTCACATATGACACTTATGGTCTCTCCACCGTTCAATTCAATTGACTCGTTTCTTCTTCCGCAGCTTCTCCTCCATCACAATTCGTCCAGTCCGCATTTCAGTACCAATCGCAAAGATGGTTCAGTCCGCAGTTCTCGGTTTCCCCCGTATGGGTGTTAACCGTGACCTGAAGAAGGCCACCGAAGCTTGTTAGTCCTCATACCCCTTTACCGATATCGCCCAACGCCTGAAAAATTTTCTAACCTTGACATGTTCAGACTGGGCTGGAAAGATCTCTCAGCCTGAGCTGCTTGCCGAGGCCAAGAGGCTCCGCCTGGCTCACTGGAAGATCCAGAAGGATGCCGGCGTCGACATCATCCCCAGCAACGACTTTGCCCTGTACGACCAGGTTCTCTCTCACATCCAGGACTTTGGTGTATGTTGCGAGCCATCTATTCCAACTCACAAGGAGTGACCAATGCTGACTGTGAAACAATGCAGGCTGTCCCTGAGCGATACACCAAGGATGGCCTTGACACCGTTGACCAGTACTTCGCCATGGGCCGTGGCCACCAGAAGGGAGGCATCGACGTGCCCTCCCTGGAGATGGTCAAGTGGTTCGACTCCAACTACCACTACGTCAAGCCTACTCTCCAGGACGGCCAGACCTTCAAGCTGACCGCCACCCCCAAGGCTGTTGCTGAGTTCAACGAGGCCAAGGAGGCCGGCATCGTCACCCGCCCCGTCCTGGTCGGCCCCGTCTCTTTCCTGCACCTCGGAAAGGCCGACCGTGGCCAGACCGTCGACCCCATTGACCTGCTCGACAACCTCCTGCCCGTCTACGAGCAGCTCCTTGTCCAGCTCAAGGAGGCTGGTGCCGAGACCGTCCAGATCGACGAGCCCGTCCTCGTCTTCGATCTGCCCGCCAAGACCAAGGCTGCTTTCAAGCCCGCCTATGAGAAGTTCGCCAGCCTCGGCGACAAGATCCCCAAGCTGGTCTTCACCACCTACTTCGGTGACATTGTCCACAACCTGGACCTCGTCCCCAAGGACATCTACGCCGTCCACATTGACCTTGTCCGCAACCCCGAGCAGCTCGAGACCGTCCTCGGTGCCCTCGGCTCCAAGACCGTTCTGTCTGCCGGTGTTGTCGACGGACGTAACATCTGGAAGACCAACCTGAAGCGCGCCATTGAGACTGTCGAGAGCGCTGTCCAGAAGCTCGGCAAGGAGCGCGTCATTGTCGCCACCTCCTCCTCTCTCCTTCACACTCCCCACACTCTCGCCAGCGAGAAGAAGCTGGACCCTGAGATTGCCGACTGGTTCTCCTTCGCCTCCGAGAAGGTCGTCGAGGTTGCCATCATCGCCAAGGCCGTGACTGAGGGCCCTGCCGCTGTCCGTGAGCAGCTCGAGGCCAACGCCAAGTCCATCCAGGCTCGCGCCACCTCTCCTCGCACCAACGACCCCCAGGTCAAGGAGCGCCAGTCCAAGATCACCCCTGCCGACTACAACCGAAAGTCTGAGTTCCCTGCCCGTATCGAGGCTCAGCAGAAGAAGCTCAACCTGCCCCTCTTCCCCACCACCACCATCGGCTCCTTCCCCCAGACCAAGGAGATCCGCCTGTCCCGCAACAAGCTGACCAAGGGCGAGATCACCGCTGCCGAGTACGACTCCTTCATTGAGAAGGAGATCCGTGACAACGTCAAGATTCAGGAGGAGCTTGAGCTCGACGTCTTCGTCCACGGTGAGCCTGAGCGTAACGACATGGTCCAGTACTTTGGCGAGCGCCTGAACGGCTATGCCTTCACCACCCACGCCTGGGTCCAGAGCTACGGCTCTCGATGCGTCCGACCTCCCATCATTGTCGGTGACATCTCCCGCCCCGCCCCCATGACCGTCAAGGAGTCCAAGTACGCCGTGTCCGTCTCCAGCAAGCCCATGAAGGGTATGCTTACTGGACCCGTCACCTGCCTGCGATGGTCTTTCCCTCGTGACGACGTCCACCAGTCCGTCCAGGCCGAGCAGCTCGCTCTGGCTCTCCGTGACGAGGTCGTCGACCTTGAGGCCGCCGGCGTTGATGTCATCCAGGTCGATGAGCCTGCCCTCCGTGAGGGTCTCCCTCTCCGCGCCGGCAAGGAGCGCGATGCCTACCTCAAGTGGGCTGTCAACGCTTTCCGCCTGTCCACCACCGGCGTCGAGGACTCCACTCAGATCCCCTCCCACTTCTGCTACTCTGAGTTCCAGGACTTCTTCCACGCCATCGCTGCCCTCGATGCCGACGTTCTGTCCATCGAGAACAGCAAGTCCGATGCCAAGCTGCTGAGCGTCTTCGTCGACTCTGCCTACCCCCGCCACATCGGACCTGGTGTCTACGACATCCACTCTCCCCGTGTTCCCAGCGAGCAGGAGATCAAGGACCGCATCGAGGAGATGCTCCAGTACCTCAAGCCTGAGCAGCTCTGGATCAACCCCGACTGCGGTCTCAAGACCCGCCAGTGGAAGGAGACCAAGGAGGCCCTGGCCAACATGATCGCCGCCACCAAGTACTTCCGTGCCAAGTACGCCAAATAAACAAATCACTTTGTTTCTTTGTATCTCATCCTACTATTGCAACGTAGGAGGGGTCTGGCTTTATCGGGGGCAAACTAATTCAACTTGCCATTGGCATAGTTTGCGCCTGTAAGCCAGGCACGATTTCAACATCGGCGTTTGGGCATGGTTCAGGTGACAAAGACTGGGTTATTACGGCACCCACAAGCAAAAAAAGGTTCCTTTGACATCGTTTGGGATTACGGAAAGGTCGGTTGGGCGAGCATTCAACATATGCATACGTGCGTTAGTTCTCCTTTTTGGGAGACAAAGCATTGGGGCTTGATAGTTTTGGGATGGTTATCCGAAAAGTCTTCAACAAGGCGTTTATGAGGTGAGATGAAATCTAGGCAAATGAGTTTTTATGAGGATTTGAAGTAAATAGATACCCCGATTCAACCTGGGAAAATAAAGAGAAGAAATTTGACCTGGTGAAACTTGAATCTCGCTTGTATCTATGACTGTGAAGCTTGTTTTTGAATATGTCAGAAGGCCAAAAGGAAATGCTACATGGTACTATTGGCTATCGCGTCGCGTGTGTCGAGCGTGGAAAAGCTCGTGTGAAGCTCGATCGAGAACCTTTCAAGGGGAAGGATTTGCTGCAGAGAGTGGCGTGGCCTTAAGGAAGGGGCCTTCTGCTGGCGAAATGAATTGGTTCTGAGTCGTCGACAGGTTGTTCCCTTTGCAATTAGTGTCTTTATGTGTTTGCTCCTACAGATTCACGAAAAACTCGATCACGAGAGATTGGAGGCCGACATCTGAGATCGTCAACTGACACGGTACTGACACTGTATCCCTGATGTCTGTCTAGCCCCGACCACACAGTGCCAGAACTGCCATCTCCCACCGCTGAAGCCTTAGTGGCCCCAGAAGCAGGGGCTTAATCGCCCTGGACCTTTTACCTCGTTCACCTCCAAGCCCATCTCACTCACGTGTCTCCCTGTAACATCCTTTTGCTGTCAACGCCATTCCAACTTTCATCACCATCACATATCCAGTGGACGCCATCATACAAAATTCCATCTGCTTTGTTCTTCTTTGGTACATCCCTTTTCAGCTCTGATCAAACCTGCTCAAAAAGCCAACCAAAGCAGAGATTAATTCTCCCTCCCCAGAAAAGCATCCTTTCATCCATACATCATCATGGCGCCGGCGCGACAACAACCGCCCCCGCCGTTCGCAAAGGACGAAAAGGTCCTCTGCTTCCACATGGACATGCTCTACGAGGCCAAGATCATGGACGTGCAGCCGGCGGAGAAGCCCAACGAGGGCTACCGCTACAAGGTGCACTACAAGGGCTGGAAGAACACCTGGGACGACTGGGTGCTCGTCGACCGGATCCGCCCCTTTGACGACGAGCACAAGGAGCTGGCCGCCCAGCTGCACGCGCAGCTCAAGAACAGCATGCAGAAGACGTCCAAGATGCCCAAGAAGATTGTCAAGAACGGCGGCGAGTCGGCGCGCGGCAGCGAGGAGCGCGGGTCCGCCGTCACCCAGGGAGGACGGGGCGGACGGAGAGGCAAGGACTGGGAGCTGGAGCAGGTAAGCATGGTTTTGCCTTCATTCTTCATCATTTGCAATGCATTTCTCGCGTGAGAACATCTCCCTTTTGCCCCCCTTTGCCCTCATAAACCCTATTTTTGGTATTATACTCTATTGCAGCACGCTCCGTGGCGTTGCTCTGGTCCATGTCTCCGGGGCCAGAACTCGTGGCAATTCTGCAGTCCAGCGCACGCGTCGCCTCAAGGGGACTTCCAGCACTCCGGAGACTATCGTACCTCGCAAGCTTTTCTTGGTACTGCTGGATACGTTGAAGCCTTGGATTGCAATGTATCCGTCGGATTTCCCCTCGTGGTTCGGCGACTCCTCGATCTGCAAAGACAAAGCCTACGCGCCTACATACTCTCCGGCGTGGAACAATGTTGAGAGCTGGCGTGAAATTAGAGTTGATGGCTGCGTCTGAGTTTTCCCCCATCCAGTTGATGAAAGTCAGCGGCGAGATGTTGCAGACCATCAGGGGGTTCCCGTTCAAGTATATAAGGGTGTCTTTCCTCCCCTTTGCTTCGGACAAGGACATCATCCACATCTCTTCTTGGTACGCGTCCGATCACAGAAAGAGCACACTCGCTACGTTCTTCATCCTCTTCGACGCTTTACCAGCAAATAGACGACTCCCAAACCATGATGAACCCAAAAGGCAGCAACAACGCCAAGACGACGCGTCTCACCAACCGCGCAGAGAGCAATATGTCTCTGAGGTCCTCACCAGGGCCGGCGACCAAGCTCCAGATTACATACAAGGACTGGGAGGCGGACTCTGCTAAGTGGGCTGCGGAGAAAGCTGCTGAGGCCAAGAAGGCTGCTTGGGGAACAACGGCGTCTGCCGAAATCTGGTCTGCTCAGAGTGCTCACCCGAGGCATTGGTATCCAGGCTGTCAATGCTGTCATTTACTTTGACTTTCCCAAAGAATGCCGAACCCTATCTCCACCGAATTGGTCGGCCCGACCGTCAATCTAAGCTATTGGGGCCTCTACAAGATCGAGGAGACCGAATCCAAGTTCTCCTCATTCACTGAGCCTCCCCGTTCTGGTCAACGCTAAGCCCAAGGGAACGTGGAAGGGCCGGAACGCGGCTCTTCTCGAGGAGGGAGATATGTCCGAGGCCCAAAGAGCGCAGCAGCAAAGTCCTCCCGAGTTCGAAAGGCATCCTGAGCCTGCCTCTGAGCCTGCCTGGCTGAGCAATGCCAAACTGGGGGATCCTTTGACAAGACCGGCACCAAGGAGCTTCAACTTTTCCCACGCATCTGCTCGTTGTATACCCCCTTTATATGTTCTTTGTTTCTTTCATGACTATTCACTTGTCGGCCACTTGATTTGTCTCCTTGCATTGCAAGGCCTTGCTTTGAACCCATTCTCACAACTTCACAGGAGGACGCATTCCACAGCAAGCCGATGATCAACATCTCGGTGCCTGATCACATACAGGCGATGCTCGTAGACGACTGGGAGAACATTACGAAGAACAACCAGCTCGTCCCCTTACCGCATGCAAAACCAGTTTCCAAAATCTTCGAGGACTATCTTGCTGTTGAGCGGCCACGCAGAGAAGAAGGGTCGTCCAGTATGGATATCCTGGAGGAGGTCATTGCCGGGTTTCGGGAGTATTTCGAGAAGGCCCTGAGTAGGATACTGCTCTATAGGTTTGCCTTCCTCGGGCCAACTTGCATTTGGATGTCTGCTTACAGGGACTCTAGATTTGAGCGCCATCAGTACATGGATCTGCGGAAACTCTGGGACAACGCCGACGAGAACGCGCAGTACAAGAGCGTCTGCGATGTCTACGGCGCAGAGCATCTCGCTCGCCTCATTGGTTCGTCATCCCGCGGCAGCTGTCCCCAGACTCCTTTTAACAGAACATCAGACTAACACTGGCCTTCAGTTTCCCTGCCCGAACTTCTCGCACAGACAAACATGGACCAGCAGTCCGTATCCCGTCTCCGAGAAGAAATCGGAAAGTTCACCTCCTGGCTGGGCCGCAACTGCGAAACGTACTTTGTCAACGAGTACGAGACACCCTCCCAGGAGTACATTGACAAGGCCCGAAGCTTTTAGGAGTCGTCCTCGGGCCGTCGCCAAGGGGTCTGAACTTTCTTTTTGATATATCCGCACCCGTTGTATCTTTCTCTCTTGGCTGTTTGGGATTGTCAAATGGCAAATCTTTGTCTGGCGCTTTAATGACGTCCCGTTTGAGTTGAAACTGGTAATGGAATGGATAAATTAGTTATTTTTAATGCATGGAAAGGTTAACTTTGGCCTTGTTTCGATTCCAATTATAGTGCTCAGGGTTGGGGGAGATGGAGTATGAGAATGCAAATTCGTTCTTTCTTTTGGTTCGAGTCTTTTGATTGCCGTTACAATATCGTACAAGTTAAAGTATGTCATGTCCATCCCCCTTTCGTAGATGCCTTCAAGCTCTCCCCCATCATATATACAACTGCCCTCTTCCCACACCCTCTTCCCAACCCCCCCCCGTATTTCATGTTCTCCTCACACGCCCAAGCATCCCACATCATCAACCCCCCCATTGCCCCGTCTCCCCATTCCCGACAAAAGTTGAGAAAAAAAAAAAGGGCAAGATTCTCACATCCTCCTCACCGCCCTCTCAACATAAAACCCCCTCTCCGGCGTCCTCTCCGCCTTGACCTCCCCCTTGCTCAGCCGCCGCTCCACCTCCTGCACGCGCACCAGCTCCTTGACCTTCATAATCATGCCCGCGAACTGCGGCTCCGCCGGGTGGAACACGGTCTGCATGCGCCGCCGCAGGCCCAGCGCCGCCAGCACGCCGCGCGTGCGCTCGGGGAGGCCTATGGCGGACCGGTGCAGCGTTATCCGGAAGAAGGACATTTTCTTTTTCGCTGGTATGCCTCTTGTTCCCTTTGTGTCTTTTTCGCTTGGGATCCCTTGCTCTTTCTTCTTCTCGGGTTCTCTGTTGGAGGGGGCTGTTTTTCCTATGTTCGGTTTGTTGCAAGGAGTCAGAAAGCGGCCGTAGAGGGATTCTCGGAGGAGATAGGAAACTGCAACTCGTAGACTTTCGGGGGTTTTACTCAGACTGAAGCGCAATATGTCAGCGAAAGGAACAGGGCGAACGCTCAAGTGGAAGAAGGAGAAGGCAAAAAACATGCAAGTGTAGGCGGGATCGTACAAGTTTCCGGCTGGAGAGCCTCGCTGGCTATGGAAATTGGATAGCGTACTTCAATATTCCACTACTGTCGTTCCTTGCCACTGAAAACAAGAATTGGAGGCTGTAGGAGGGCTGGGTATGGAATTGGAGCTGTTTCGTAGCTGGGACAAAGTGCATGTAGTCGCGATAAGATATCATCCAACTTCACATTGACAGCCTCGTCCGCGTCACGTGACAAGATACGAGAAGGCTAACACTCGCCCAATACATCTGCTGGACATTGACTTCTCAAGACACGGGGCAGAGCGTCTACTTTGCAGGAGATGAGCTAAACACGAACTTGATATAATGGTGAATTAATTTTCATCTATTGTCGTCAATAAAGTATGATTTAGATCCTCATAACGATCCCGCAGCGACTACGAGCATGTATGCTGCCACTTGAAGCCTTGCAAACCATCCCTTCCCAGATCCATCAAACGGCCACAGCTATTTTATAATGTCTTCTAATCCCTCTTTTCCCTCCCGACTCCAATTTAAATCTGAACCTCCACTCTGCCCTGGCCGCTAGGCTGGCCCTCGCTGAGGTTGGGCAGCAGGTAGGTAATGTCATCCCAGGGGTGACGGTACAGACCGGTGCGCAGTCTCTTCTGGTCGAGGAAGTGGGCAATGAGACCAATGCTTCGGCCCAGAACAAACAGACCGTTGAGGACACCCATGGAGAGGTAGTCCTCGGCCTCCTCGGAGGAAAAGGCGCCGCAGTTGCGCAGCAGGTCCACGAAGCAGACGGCAATGCAGCCGTCGACGTTGAGGATCAGGCTGTCCTTCTTGGAGGTTGTGACGGTCTCGACGGCCAGGGCGTAGTCGAGCAGCTTGTGGCTGGGGAACTTGGCCTTGACGTACTCCTTGACAAGCTCGACACGCAGGTCGGGGTTGTTTCGGGACTTGATACGGTGACCGATACCGGGGATCAGCTTGTTCTGCTTGCGCATGCTGTCCACGAAGTCACGGGGGCTGAGGTTCTTGTCAAAGGCCTTGGTGAACTCCTCGGCGGCGCCGTCAAGGGCACCACCGAAGCGGGAACCAATGGTCAGCAGACCGGAGACGAGGGCGCTGATCAGGTCCTTGCCGGCACGGGTGGTGATGATGGTGTTCATGGCACCAGACACGGCGGGACCGTGGTCGGCAGTAAGCATGAGAACCATCTCCAAGAACTTGGAGGCGTAGTCGGGCAGTCTGCGGCGGAACCACAGCAGGGACATGACACCGCCAACACCAATGTCCTCCTTGAAGACGTCGGAGATGGGCATGCCGGCGTAGAGGAGCTCCTGGCCACGGTCGTCGGAAATGGTGGAGATGAAGGCAGCGGGCTTTCGGATGAGACCGAGCTCCTGGGCCCAGGAGTAGTCGATGGGGATCTTGGGGACGCCGGGCTCGGGGCGGGGGACAATGGTGCCCTCCTTGACGAGCTTCTCGTAGACCTCCTTGAGCACGGCAGGCATGTCCTCAAAGGTGTTGGGGACGTGGAAGCCGGCCTCGCGCATGGACTGGTTCTTGACGGTGGCCGTCTCGAGCTGTGAGTTGGCAAAGGAGCCGGCGTGGCCGAACTGCACCTCCGTCTTGAACATGCTGGCGCAGGTACCAATGGCCCAGGCCACAATGGGCTTGGTGATGATGCCCTGCTTGACGGCATCAATCACCTTGTACTCCTCGACACCTCCAACCTCACCGAGCAGCACCAGGATTTTGCAGTCGGGGTCGGCCTGGTATCGCAGCAGGTGGTCGATGAAGGTGGTACCGGGATACCTGTCACCACCAATGGCGACACCCTCGTAGACGCCGTCGGTGTTCTGGGAGATGATGTTGTTGAGCTCGTTGGACATGCCACCAGACTTGGAGACGTAGCCGACGGAGCCCTTGCGGTACAGCTTGGAGGCGACAATGTTGTCCATCATACCACCAGTGTTACCAATCTTGAAGCTGCCGGGCTTGATGCCACCAACAGTGGCGGGGCCAATGATGGTAACGCCCTTCTTCTTGGCGACATGAGCAATTTCACGAGCTCGCTAGATGACAAAGATGGTCAGCAATTGGGTTCCAATGGGGGTCTTTTATCCGCCCGCTCTCGCCGAGACTTTCCAATCAATTGGAAAAGACAGACGGACTCGGGTCAAGGAAGAGAGAAGCTTACTCGCTCAGGGACACCCTCTGCAATGATGGCAATGGTCTTGATCTGAGGGAACTCCATCAGCTCCATGGTGGAGCTGTAGACACTTCGGGAGGAGGCGAAGTTGACAACGACGTCGACGTCGGGGTGCTTGGCAATGGCCTTCTCGGTCTGCTGGTAGACAGGCAGCAGAGTCTCGCTGGTGCCCCAGTACATCTTGCTGACGAACTGGCCACCGAAGGTGTAGATGATGCCGGCCACCGAGGGCGTCTTCCGCTTGCAGATGAAGTCAAAGTCCAGCATGCCCTGGACGGCGCGGGGCTGCAGGCCGTAGACGAAGCATCGCGTCTTCTCGGAGAAGAGGGCGTGCGACGGCAGAGGGCTGAGGGGGCGGCTGGGGGCAGCGAACCGCTGGATTCTATCGTTGGCCGACAGCTGATCCTTGGAGCCAGACATTGTGATGTGTGTCGGTGATGTTGTTGATTTTGGAGGAGGGGGAAAAGAGGTGAGGCAGAAGAAAAAATGGCGGGGTGAGCTGCGTCCTGCAAAAAAACGGCACGGGTCAACAGCTGAGCTTGACTGGGAGAATTAATAGAGGCGATTCTGCGTCTGCCCACACCAAGGCAAAGACCAGAAAGACAAGATGGAGACGAGGGGAGATGGATGGCAAGAAGGAAGAGGAAGAAGGAGGAGAGAGCGGCAGGCAATTGAAGGATGCAGACGCCGTTCAACGGGGGAGAGCCAGATTTCAGGAGAGCAGCACAGCACCGAGCAGTGACACTGGCCCTGGAACCGCCTGAGGGCTGCTCTGGGCTGCTTTGGCTTTAGCTCTCGCAGACGCGCACGGCGGGGCTCGAGCTCAGCGGGATGGGCTGGGCTGCTGGGTATCGCGCCCGTATCCGTACAAGCACCCGCCGCGCACGCAAGTACACGCTGCAGCGCGCCCCCCATCCACCATGTGCAGCGAGGGGCGCCCTGTACCAGCGGGGAGGCGCCGCTGTCGTACCCGGTACGAGCACTAGCCCGGTGGGTACCTGGGCCTCCGAGACGGTGGGGAAGGGCGGACTCGGCCAGCGAAGCCTTGCACCGCCTAACGGCAGCCAGAACCCAAGAGCGGCGATCGGCGTGTTTACGCGCAGCAGGGTGCCAAAGTGTGAAAGCGACCGATGGGGGGGACAAGAACTCGCGGGATGCTTACCGGAGGGATGACTTGGAGGTGGCGCCCAACTGGCAACGGCGCTGACGCAGGATGAGGATGAGGATGAGGATGAGTGGTGATAATCCGCGGTCTGCTGATTTCGTCCAACGGCTCAAGCACCTAAAATTGGCGTCGTCGTCGTGCCTCTGCAAGCGGGTAAGAGAGATTCCGATGCTTTTTCAAGCTCGAGGGGGGCGCAATCGGAAAGTCAATTCGCACGGCAACAAGCCACAAAAACGAGTTGGGGAAAAAATTGGGAGGGGGTGGAGGGCCGCAGTGTCTAACTGAGAATTGTTGAATAGCAACAACCTTGGACGCCTCTGAGACACAGATGATATGATGGAGATCCCGGTCGCGGCCTGGCCATGGGCCACTCGCACCGGCTGGCACCCGGTCGTACCGGTACCTCGTCGAGCCACACACATAATATTGCTTTTCTTGTGTCGCTTGCTTCGTCGAATCGACGGCCTGGACGCCTGGAATGCGAGCTTTGCTGGGAACCTTGAGAGGCCTTCAAGGCTGTGGCCGTTGATTGTCTGGATCCAAGATTACGCCCCTTGGCTGATTCGCATTCGCAAACACGCGGGGGTGTTATCGTCATCTCATCTCATCCCATCCCATCCCAGCCTGGGGCGGCCGCATTTCGTGCTCGTGCTCGCTCGTGCCCACGATCACGATGCCTCCCTCGTTGCCCTGGCCAGACCCTCAATGTCCCTCCTGTCAACGCATTCATCCATTCCGCGCATATTGGGTCGTATCCAGCGCCCAGGGCAGCGCGTGCCGCTAGCAGGGCATCGTCCGGCAGTCGAAAGATTGTCGCTCTTGCTCGCGTCTGATGCTGGTGCTAGCGATGCATGGCCAACTGCGAATGGAGGGGCAATGGCTCGCTGATGGTGGGGTTGCGAAGTCGCTGGCGGCTGACTGGTTGCGTCCTGGTCCCCTGTCCGCCCAACGGCCCACTGCGCAGAGCGGGTACGAATACGTCTGGCTGTATGTACTTGTGCCTGAGCCAGCGGTGCCGGTGCTGTGATCGCGGCACTTTAGCGCACGAGACCCTCAGCCTTGTCCCATTAGGGCGCTGGACATGGCGCGCCTCCGGGCTTCTTTGCAGCAGAGGGGGCTTTGTTGGGCGCTGTCGCAGCTCCCACGCATGTACAAGTATCCGTACATGTGCCATGCCAGAGCAACGCAAGCAGAGCAGCCAAACGACCGAGACAAAGAGGGGGGGGCACAGAGTGACTGAATCCGTCTGTCTTCAATATTGGACACAAAGTGACACCAGTCCAGATAAGCCCGTATCGCAGGTTCCAGAACCACGCGCAATTCCTTCGGCTCCGTTGAGAACCAGCCAGGAATTGCGATCCCGGGACCCTTGCATGGCCTCGCCCCGTATTGGACTGGTCAACGGCTGGTCGAGCCACTGCTGCCTTGCCCTTGCAAATTGGCGTACTCGTACTTCGTAATGTTCCGGAACTCGTCGAGAGAGAGAAAAATTGGAAATGATTGAGGAAAAGGGCGGTCCACTTGGGTCTTCTCAACAATCGGAACTGGCTGCTGTATGTACCGGTACGCGAGCCGCTGGCGAACCAAACGCAGATTTCGCTGCCCCAATGGTTTTCGCTCCCTTGTCGCCCGCCGAATCCGCACCCGGCACCGGCTCGCTTTGGCACGCGCCGCATGCCCCCGTTCGGCCCTAGCACCGCCTGCAGGCCCTTAGCGGCGAGTGCCCTGACCGCCCCTCCCAAAAGTCGCACCCCCGAACCGGGTGCTCGTGCAGCGGCCTCGCACCGCACGGCAGCAGCTCCTTGACCCCTCAACCCCCCTCCTTCGCAGCTGGCCACCGTGGAGCTTCTGCCGCATTTCTGAAAGGCTGAAAGTCATCCTCTCTCTCCTGCCATCCGCCTCTTCGTCCTCCAGGCTCGTTTTCCCTTTTCCCTCTCCTTCGCCAGATATCCAGCTTTTTCGCTTGCCATTGCAATTGCAAGTCTCCGTCGCTCCAATTTCCTCGCAGCGGTAGGTCTGAATAGCTACCCCTCTTCAAGATCGCTTCGGGTGCTGGACTTTCGCGTCGTGTCGTCTGTTGTCGTCGCTGTTCGTCTGCAACGGCATTGCGAGCAATTCGGTGCCCAAGCTTGCCTCCATTGCGTTTGCACTCTTCTTGCAGCAATTGGATCGTTCCTCTCCCATCGTCGTGCCTCGCAACACTTGCTGACGACATAAAAGACCAGACTTCTCCTTCACTCACGCATCTTGTCCTCCGAAATCATCCTCCTCTTTTCTTCTTCCTCGCCGTAGGCACAGCCCATCAAAATGTCCGCCAAAGCGATCTTCGAAGCCGATGGCAAGGCCATTCTCAACTACCACCTGACCCGCGCTCCCGTCATCAAGCCGAGTCCTCTTCCCGCGCCCACCACTCACAACCCTCCCAGCAGACTCGCCTCGCTGCATTTCCCTGAGGATGCCGCCGTTGAGGACGTTCTGAACCAGGCCGAGGTCACCTACCCCTGGCTGCTCCAGCCCGGTGCCAAGTTCGTTGCAAAGCCCGATCAGCTCATCAAGCGACGAGGCAAGAGCGGTCTGCTGGCTCTGAACAAGACCTGGGCCGAGGCCAGGGCTTGGGTTGCTGAGCGCGCTGGCAAGGAGCAGAAGGTCGAGCACACAGTTGGCGTTCTGCGTCAGTTCCTGGTCGAGCCCTTCGTTCCTCACCCTCAAGACACAGAGTACTACATCAACATCAACTCAGTCCGTGATGTGAGTAATACCCTTTTCTCTCTCCCTTTCATCATTTTTGTGTTTTGGTTTCATCCAGAAAAGAAGCGAGTGCTTCATGTGTTGAAGGAGGACATGTTGTTGGTTGGGAGGCAAGTGCCTTTGCTCTTGTCAAGAGCCATAGAAAAAGAGGGAACAGAAAGAAGATTCCACCGGAGACTTAAAAGAGTTGTTGGGTCAGACGTCCGGGCGAAAGACGCGGTTTCCCTTTATATGGCTGAGGCGCTTGCTGCCGGTCTGAAATTTGCTGCCGTAACGTGCCGAAGCAACTGGCCGGGCGGACGAACGGATGTCACAACAGAGAGGGTCCCGGGCACGACCTAGCTCGAACCCCCTGTCCGCGCGATTACACCCCAACATCTGCCTTTCAGCCACAGCCTCTTATCTCAGTTTTATATTGTATGTGTTCTCACCGCTGACTCTTCATCTTTTCTACTTCTTAGGGTGACTGGATCCTCTTCACCCACGAGGGTGGTGTCGATGTCGGTGATGTCGACGCCAAGGCTGAGAAGCTCCTGATCCCCGTCGACCTCTCAGAGTACCCTTCCAACGAGGAGATTGCCGCTGCTCTCCTCAAGAACATTCCCTCTGGTCTTCACAATGTCCTGGTTGACTTCATCACCCGGCTGTACGCCGTCTACGTGGACTGCCAGTTCACCTATCTCGAGATCAACCCGCTGGTCGTGATCCCCAACGAGGACAAGACCTCGGCCGCCGTTCACTTCCTGGATCTTGCTGCCAAGCTCGACCAGACCGCCGACTTTGAGTGCGGTGTCAAGTGGGCTATTGCCCGATCTCCTGCTGCCCTTGGCCTGACCAACGTGTCTGGCAGCGACAAGATCAGCATCGATGCTGGCCCCCCGATCGAGTTCCCCGCCCCCTTCGGCCGTGAACTCTCCAAGGAGGAGGCCTTCATTGCCGAGCTGGACGCCAAGACGGGTGCTTCTCTGAAGCTCACCGTGCTGAACCCTGCGGGCCGCATCTGGACTTTGGTTGCCGGTGGTGGTGCTTCGGTCGTGTACGCTGATGCCATTGCCTCAGCAGGCTTTGCCGACGAGCTGGCCAACTACGGTGAATACTCCGGTGCTCCCACCGAGTCACAGACCTACCACTACGCCCGGACGGTCCTGGACCTGATGCTGCGTGCCCCCATGGCCGAGCAGGGCAAGGTTCTCTTCATTGGTGGTGGCATTGCCAACTTCACCAACGTTGCCAGCACCTTCAAGGGCGTCATCCGCGCCCTCCGCGACTTTGCTCCCCAGCTGATCGAGCACAACGTGCAGATCTGGGTGCGTCGTGCCGGCCCCAACTACCAGGAGGGTCTTAAGAACATGAGGGCCGCCACCCAGGAGCTTGGCCTCAACGCCAAGATCTTCGGCCCCGAGATGCACGTCTCGGGTATCGTTCCCTTGGCCCTCATCCCCGGCAAGTGGGAGAGCAGCAATATCGAGGAGTTCAAGGCTTAGATGGGGTAGAAGAAAAAAATCACGGGGGTTACCAAGGGATCGTGCTACGGACAATAATATAGCTATCTATCAGCTCAAAGTGTTATTGTTGCGTTGCTTTTTCTGTATTTTGCAATCTAGAACGGATGGTGGGGTAAAGATTTAATTGTTTTATAGCCATGAGAAGGCTTTCACAGAAGAAGGGCAAAAGAGAGGAAGAAAGCAAAGGCTGGGTAAAGGGAACGTCGATGTCCGCCGTACCTTGGGCTTGTAAGGAGACGGCATTGAACGACACAGACATGATAATACAAACTCATTTGACAAATGCCTACCGAGCTCTTGTACACCGCGATAAGCGGCTTCGACAGGTCCAGGAAGCCATTGCATTTTGTGTGATTTAGCCGATACCTTCTTGTCAAACCGTGCCTTTCATCCAGGTGACGTCAAGCCAAGAGAAGGCAGCAGACACTAATGTAGGTCAATACGAGAATTGAGGCAGACGACAGAAGTGCCACTCCAGGGGGGAAGTCCTAGATAGTAGATGATAGAGTGCGTAACGTAGGAGGACAACGACTCCATACCCAGTAGTACAAGTACTTGTAGTTCGTGTCGCCATGGATGATATGCCCGCCCTCACTAGCATCACAGTAGTAGCACATCTGCGGATCATTGTCCGTGTGGAGACGGACAGGAACTTGGGGGTCTGATTCGACGGAGAGGAGCCCATCATGCGCCGTGCGTTATGTTGCTCGCCCTCTTTTCGGGACCTGACTCCCCTCGGCCAACCTTGTGCGTGTCTTCCAATGGGCAAGATAGGCATGCTTTGCGTTCGAGCACGCCACGTGCTGCGATTCACAAGAAGCTCCGGACCTCGGGGAGGGTCCCTGAGAGTAGCAGTCGATCTCCTTGTCGGCGCCGTCGGTTCTGCGCAGGGCTGCCTCGTGACTGAGACAGTAGCAAAGAGGAGCCCCGTCATTCGGCAGAGGACAGGAATAACCCGGACAAGCAAAACCAAATCACGGCTCGGCAGTCCATCCTCGTCTGAGAAGGAAGCTCAGAAGAGAAGTCGTGCCAGCTATTACCCCTCTTCCCGTCCTGTCTCCTCCTCCTCCTCTCGTGCCATTACACCGCAATTGTCCGTCTTGTCCATGGTAGGCCCGTCGCATTGTGCTTCGAATCCCTCTGGTGATGGTGATGTGATGCAAGTCAGCTCACCACCAAACCCCCCGAGACCGGGCCAATGCAAGGTTGATTGATTTGAAATGAAGAGAGACAACAGGACGCCGAGAGAGAGAGACGATCTGCTTTCGGAGGCGCTGATTTGAGCCCCAGGACTAGGCCGAGAACAACGAAGGACAAAAGGCAGCGCAGAGGTGAAACCGGGCAAGGCAAAGCTCGTGGGTTACACAAAGCCGCTATGGCAACTGCCCCCATGGCTGGCTTGTCCTTGTTAGCTGCCTGGCGCTTCGCAGCGCGGTGGATTATCAATGCCAGAAGGGACTGGACTCTGGACGGGGGGCGCCCCCATTCACGGTCATCACAATTCGATCGCCCTCAGTGTCTAGGCCCTCCGGTCTGTGGTACGAGCATTCCAGGTTACGGAGGACAGAGGACACCCAGACACTGCCCTCCTGACGCGCCGGGTGAACATTACCTAGCAGATGCAATGAGACTCTGTGCTGCCTTCCTGCTTCCTTGCCGGGATTGCCTCTGACGATTGCTTCCTGCCTGAGTTGCACCTCAGCTGAGCGCGTGACGCGGCTTCCGATGTGATCAGTCAACGCAGTGGCACCTGCGGCTCGCTCTTTCCAGCCTCTGCCAGCTTCTCCTCCCCGGGCAGGCACCGCAGGGTGCCTTGGAGCCACAGAGAGACAACGTCGTGACAGGGTTGCGGCTGCCCACCTCACTCCTTCCGTGCCCGTTATCTTATCCAGCCCCTCCGGCCATCCTCGTCGTCAGTCCTCGTGCCTGCCCATCCCATCCCGCTTGGTCCTGCCGTGTCCATGCCTGTGTTGCCGGATCCGGAGGTGTGGCAGTTGCGGCTGTTTCCTTCTCCAACTTTTTTTCATGAGCGCATCGCGGGCTGCTTCTCCCTGCTCTGCTGCTTGTGGCCGAGCTTCCCCTCTCTCTTGTATTCCCATGGATCTCCAATAGCAAACCAATATGGCTTCTCGGAACCGACAGGGACTCCTCGATGGCTTCTGTCCTGCCCACGATGGCGTCAGTCTCGGATCATAAGATTCCTGGGCCTAGTGCCCGTGTATAAAAGCGCGGCCTGGGAGTCATCGGTTTTGGCGATAGTAGGCACCAATCTTCTCAGCTTTCTCCCATCACGTCTTCTGTGAGTTCTCGCCCTCTCTCTCTCTCGCTTTGCTTGTCCCCCAGAGTCCCGCTTCTCGCCCTTTCTTTACCTCTTTAGCTGACTCCTGCGTTGACGTGCCCCATACGCAGCACAGCAAGCGCCAACCAAACCCGCACTCTGCTACAAGCACCAGCGCGCCCACACCACCCTCAGCCAGACCCTTTTTAATCAACGAGAACCCCGGAACGTGCAATAGTATCCAGGTCCACGGGAGGGGAACACTCGCGCTCTCCAGCACAGCCCTTTATATACCGCCTCTGTCCTGTGATTTGATCGACATCTCCTCCTCCTCAATTACCTCTCCATCTCCCAAATCATCTACGGAAGAATAGGAGAGAAAACCGATTATCGATCTGCGTCGGTACAAACTCTAAACCCCCACCCCCACCCTCGTCGCTGCGAACCGAGCCGAACCTGTCAAACGCACGTCATTGCCTGCAACTTATATAAGCCGCCACGCCGTTGTACAACGTGATTCCCGACGAACTTCCCCCGTTAGAAGCCAAAGGGGCGCATCCCGAGAGAAGAAACAGACTTTGGGAGAGCGCAAAGGCCGTAACGGCTCAGTGTCAAAGCAACCGCGATCCCTTGTTTTCTTGGTCCGGGCTGAGCTGCGCACGTGGGTGCAGAAATCCACTGCCGGTGCATTCAAGGTGTGTGGATTCCCTCCAGGCTCGTCGTTGCTGCATGCCCTTTTGGGATCAGGTGCCCTGCCGTTCGACGGCCATGTATCCTATCATGCAATTGCTTCTAGAAACCAGTCCACATTAAATATTTCCTTGCGCCTTACTTATTCCCTATTGTCACTGACCAGATTCCCTAAGGGGTAGGTGACAAGCCACCACGGCCAACAGACACTCCCTATCTAGATACAACTTGCATACAAGTCTCGGAGCAAAAGCAAATAACATGGCTCAACTCCTCGAACCATCCGCTCCAGTCGATGAATGCTGCATCGGATGCTGCAAGGCCGCCGACTTTGGCACCCACGACTACTGTCTCCCCTGCGAGACTAACCCTTCATGCACCTCCAGCTACGAGAGGACGCAGGACCAGAACCCTCCGAAAGGGGATTCCCAGGAAAAGGACCGCAAGTGATGTGATTTTTACATTGATTTTGAAGAATTGGCACGGCAGCAGTGATTCAAGATGCAACGTTGTCAGGAAACATAGGAGGGCACAGAAGGGACAAATGGCAGAATGGCGATGGATAAACGAGAGAAACGAAATATTGACCTATAATGTTACACGGGAGGGGCTGGTCCCTTTCCCCACGCGCGCTTGCCGCTACACGATTCTATGCAGCACAAGTTCCAGCATTGGGAGTTTCTGGGGGTCTATATGAGAATGTTCCACAGTCCTGCGCATGTTTACAGTTGTTAGTCCTACGAGGTACTTTTGAATATCTGCTTGTTTTTTTTTAGGGTCTTACGAAACCAGAATTTGCTTGAGCAAGGAGGAGAAAGAATGTCAAACAAGGGCCAGAGAATGCAAATCAATCAATCAATCATCATCATGGCTGAGCTAAACGGGATATCTAAAGGACCAACGCAGAATGAGAAAGACATGTACTAGTAGTAGGTAGTATATGTACATTTAGTAAAAGAAGGGAAAACTTGGAAGCAACTTCATTAATGTTCTCGAGTATCACCCCCATCATCTTCCAGCGTACTGAAAGATTCGAACAATCACAAGGTACACCGACGCAAGCTTTTTGTTCCTATCTCCATCTTCCGAACTTGACCCCCGTTTAGATCGTTTAGATGAAGAACATGGCCACCAGAGGCAGGGCCAGCGCGATCGAAGCAGGGCGCATCCAGGCGGCGGCGCTGTCCTTATCCTTGCTGTCGCTCTTGGAGGTGCTGCTAGAGCTGTCCGAGTCCTTGTCGCTGGACGAGGTGGAGGCGCCGTCGGAGCCCGTGTCGGCCGAGTTCTTGCCGCTCCAGTTGGTCTCGTCGTCGCTGAGGGGCACGACCTTGAGGCCAGTCATCTGCTTGCCGTCGGCGTCCTTGACGTTGAGCTTGACGCTCCAGTCCGAAATCTTGACGAGCGCGCCGCTGGGCTTGTTCTTGATGCCGTTGTCGATGAGGCCCTGGACGCCGGGAGGGGGAACAGGCAGGGTGAAGTTGCTGTCGAAGCCCTTGACCTGGATCAGCTTGGAGGTGCACTTGGGCGCGGCGGGGGCGTTGGCGCTGGCCTTTTGCGACTGGACCTTTTGCCAGTCAATCTTGGCCAGCTGGGCCTTGAGGCGGTTGTAGTCGCCGGTGATCTGCAGCGTGTCGCCGGTGATGTTGACCAGGCCGTAGTGGTTCTCCTCTTCAGTGTACTCGTACACGACGCCGCCGTTGAAGACGGGCGTCATGTCGGAGCCGTAGATGGCCTGGGTCTCGTTCCAGTAGCGCGGCATGGGCGTGTTGCAGCCGTACTCGCTGAAGAAGACGGGGATGGACGTGTTCTTGAAGTTCTCCGTCAGGACGTCATAGGAGGAGCTCTCGTACGTGGCGTCGGGGCCGCACCAGCTGTATGAGTTGATGGCGAAGACGTCGGCGCGGCTCATGTCGCCCTCGTCGCCGGGCTCGGAGCACTGCATGTAGTTCCAGGTGTCCCAGAGGACCTCGCGGACGTCGGCGGCCGAGTAGCCAACGGGGACCTGGCGCTTGATGTTCTTCTTGATGTAGTTCTTCAGGTCGCGCGTGACGGCGCGCAGATAGGGGGGCACGTATTGGGCAGTGGGCACATCGTTGATGACCTCGTTGCCGGAGAAGAACATGAGGGTGTTGGGGTAGTTGCTGAAGGCCTCGGCGATGGCAAAGGTGCGGTTGGAGTAGGCCTCGTAGTAGCTCGTCCAGGGCTCGAACGAGGTGATAGCTTCGCCGACCAGAGGAGAGTTGACATCCAAGATCATATACATGCCAGCCTAGGAGGAAAGTTAGTGACGCGGTGCATTTTACAAGGGTATGGGGTTCAAGAAGCGCAAAAACATACGGCGTTGAAGATACTGGCGCACTTGTCGTGGTTCAGGTTGGGGTCGAGGTTGTACACGCGAATGGCGTTGACGCCCATGACCTGCAGGAGGGCAGCGTCACGCATGCAGGTGTCGGCATCGCTGAGAGGATCCTTGCCCTCCTTGGGGTTGTACCCTGCGCTGCCGCCGGGCTGGTAGGCAACGCCGACGAGCTGGAACTTGTTGCCGTCGGCGTCGACAAAGTCGGCGCCCTTGATGGAGAGAGGCTTGACGGCACCCACGGCGGTGGCGGCCAGGGCCACGAGAGCACTTTGCATCTGCATGGCGTCCGTCAGTTACATGCGTCAAGTGAAGTTCCAAGATAGTAAGGAAGCAAGTAGCATCAAAGAAGCTGGAGTCGAGCAGCTGTCCTCTATGAAGCTCTCATGAAGACTTCGGTGAGCCACGGGGGAAAGAACATGGATGGACTCACAAGCATGATTAGGTCGGTTGAAGATGATTCCTAGGTAGAATTGTCCAGATTGAAAGAGAGACGGGCTCGTTTCACGAAGTTCAGATTTATCAATATAAGCTCTGATCTCCTCGTTTGTTCCTGTCGTTCTATCAGGCAGCCCAGATCGAGAGAATGAATGGTCAAAAGAGCAAGCAACGAATGAGTGAGTGATTGCGAAAACAAGACAAGACACGCCGGAGGCAAGAAGCAACGGCAACCAAAAGAGTGACTGGAAGCAGCGACAAAAAGGTTCGAAGCTCTTCCCAAGAGGAGTTGAAAGGAGCGGGAGCGTGTCTTTTGCGTGATGCCTAGAGTGAAGGGACCTGGAATGCTTGGTGTGTGGCGGACGCGGGCCAGTACAAGTACAAGTAGAACTCGCAGCAAAAGGGTCAGGTTGCCGCCAATGGCAATACAATACGAGCAGGACCCTCTGCATTGGCTCCAGGCCAGGAGGGGAGAGGGGACCTTGCGGTGCTCCAGTGCTTGGGCCAGGGGTCGCGGGGGGCTGCTAGTGGCCTGTACGAGCTGTGCCTGGAGGGCCCGGGACCGCCTAACGGGCACTGGCAGCTGCTGGCTGGGCACCTGACGGGCACCATGTCGCAGCGCTAGCGGCGGTAGGCCAGGAACGGGCGGGGCCCCGCTGCAAAGGGTCTGAGATTGGTGCTGCAGATCGTGTGTGAAGTGAGACTGAGACTGGCCGAGGACATCAGACGCGGTGGTAGTAAGGTATGTATTATGCTGTTGGTGCTCTGGAAGAGGCGGCGTTCCACCATGTCCGGTGAGCATCTCAGTTGCCATGAACATGATGATTTTGTATGCATTTCCCAGTCATCACTGACGACTTCGCCGTTATTACTTTACTCTCCTCGTACGCGACATTACTAACCCTCTGCCGAGGCCCGTCACCGTTTTATCGCCTCTTGGCCGTCCAGGTCCGCCATGCCCATCATTACTCGTACCCTCAATGCCTCCAACCCATTCATATGTGCAAGGGGGTAAAACTCCGTTCTCGCTAGACTCATGACCCATGGCCTTACCACTGCAGGTACGGAGCGCCGTCTTTGGGCAAAAGAAGCATACGAGAAGCTAATAAGAGCTTTCCCTCTCGCTCTTCCTCGTGTCCGGACCACCCCAAGCCTTTTTATCGCTCACACCGAGCGGACTTGGGCTAATAAGCACATCAACACCAATAGCCCCCCAGCTTGCTGATTTCCCCATTCAAGCAGGTGTAGTTTTACACGCGCAGTTCGATACGAACATACGGTTATACCCTACTCGAGCCAAGCAAAGCTCATTATGTACTCGGTACCTGGTATAAGTGGCCTTTAATGCCGCCGCAGTCCCAGCCAGCCTCATGTACAGACTACCTCGACAGCTAACCAACGCTACTGGTACTTCCCATTTTCGTTATTAACAACGAAGTAGCCCCGTATTGTTCGATGCACAATGAGATGATACCCCAAGCCTGTGAGTCTCGTGAGTGTTTGTCTGGTTGGTTGGATCTGCTCGTATCGTGTCAGGGATCGGGGATGAGTTGAAGCCTTTCTATTCTGCATCTGCTCATTCTCACAGCCCTCCTCAATGACCTCACTGCAACGTTGTTCGCATGAGCCCAAAAAGATCATCAACAGAAAAGCCGTTGTATCCGACGCCTTCTCACCAAGGGGGCAGAGCACCGGTCCATTCTCATGCGCTACAACAAGGGAGTCCAAAGTGAACATGATCTGCACCTCAGTCAAGCGTCTCTTGTAGTCTACAAGGTATCCAAGTGTGCATTCCAAAGAATCTCGTCTCTCTCTTCTTCTTCTTCTTCTCTCTCGCCAGCGGCCACTTTCATCACACCTCCCCCAGAATCTCGCTTCCCAAAAAGCGCAAGGGAAATTTTTAAAATGAAATGAGCAGAGCGAAAAAAAAGGGCAATTCCCATCATCTCATCAGGGTCCCCTGGATAAAACGTCCAAAGAAATCCCTGGGCGCTTTTAGCAGTTTAGGGGTTAGCAGCAACCCTTCCAACCAAAAACAGCAAGTCCCCCACTCTGGTCTTTTCGGGGCAGTACGTACATAGTAGTAATCAAAGCACAGCCCAACCCCGCAGCTTGATTGGCCCGATGAATTCCCAACGCCTTCACCGCCTGCTGTGTTTCAATTCCTCCAGGAACCGTTTCTGTTTCTGCCGCCTTGGCCTTCTGTTCTGCCATTGGTTGGAATGTGTTCTTTTTTGGCTGGGCTGTGGAACCCGAGATTCATCCCATCCCGCGATCTTCTGTGTCAAACGTGCTTCGTGACCCCTCCAACGATCATCTCTTGCTTGGCGGCTCTGCTTCTCATTCATATGCCTCCCCGCCTGCCAGCGATATCTTCTCACTGCCGTCGTCCCGTCTTCCAGCTCGCCAGACCCAAGTATTCTTTTCTAAGCACAATGGCAACCCGTAAGACACCCCCGCCCAGGCAACCCAAACACATCTCCCTCCCCTGCCCTCCTCCCCCAAAGGGAGAAAAAAAAAAATCCGATAAAGAAAAGATATATATAAAAAAAAGGAAAAAAAAACTGACATCTTCACCTTATGTCCAATGCCCCCAGCCCCTCCCGACCGCCGCCCCATTGTCGTCTCCGGCCCCTCGGGCGTCGGCAAGGGCACCCTCTACGGCATGCTCTTCGACCGCCACCCGGACACCTTCGCCCTCTCCGTCTCCCACACCACCCGCGGCCCGCGCCCCGGCGAGGTCGACGGCGTCCACTACCATTTTGTCTCCATGGACGCCTTTGAGGACCTCATCGCCCGCGACGGCTTCGTCGAGCACGCAAAGTACGGCCGCAACAGATACGGCACCAGCAAGGCCACCATTGAGGAGCAGACCAGCAAGGGCAAGGTCGTCGTGCTCGACATTGAGATGGAGGTACGGACTTATACACGACTAAATTTCGCCGAATATGTCAACTCTGTCGATATATTCAAGCCTCCCAACAAGTCACCAGGGTTAACCACAGCGTCGACTGACACAAACATGTAAAAACAGGGCGTCAAGCAAATCAAGCAATCCGGCATCTCTGCCCGCTACGTCTTCATCGCCCCGCCATCCATCGAAACTCTCGAGCAGCGCCTCCGTGGTCGCGGCACCGAGACGGAACAGAACATCCAGGAGAGACTCGCCCAGGCCCAGAAGGAGCTCGACTTCTCAAAGACGCCCGGCGTCCACGACATCATCATCGTCAACGACGACCTCGAGTCGGCCTACAAGAAGTTTGAGGACTTCGTCTACAAGCCTCTGGAGTAGACCACTAGACTTCTTTGCAACCTTTCATCGCAGCAAATACCCCATCCAAAAGTCCCATTCATACATATACTATACATAGAAACGAGCATCGCGCAGCTATTAGATACAATGTCTTCTTGGCTACTCAAATTCCACGCAGCCAATAGAGGCAACCGTCACCAAACAGATCACGCAAAACCAATGAGGCAGGCTTAAAACATCAAAGCAGCAAACAAATGCAAGATTAATCAACATATCATACTCTCTCTCTGCCTCTCTCCATTCTGACTGCCGCCCCCTTCCTAGACGCAACTCAACTAACTGTAGGTATATGGAAAGTACAGGTATGGGATCTGATTAAAACGTAAGAAAATGGTCAAGGAAGGCTCCAATGATACTACTCGAGAAAAAAAGACAAATAAAATGCGCACAAAAGGACCGCGGGCGTTTCATGTCGGGCTACTGAGGGCTGACAATGGCCACGGCGCATATCGCCCTAACAACCATCGTGTGGCCGGCAGACGCGCCCAGTTGTTTTTGATTGCAAGTCGTCCCTCAGCTCTTCACCTCTCGTCCGCCTGGTTGATACGAACAAAGCCATCGTTGAGTCGCAGTGCAGTACGGCACAACCAATCCGTACGCCCTCAATTGAGAACATAGAGCCTCCTAAACTGCGCGCACAACACCACTCACGGGGGTGAGAACATCAAGAGACCGGCTGGCCATCGTACCGCGCAGAGACGCCATCGCTCCCCTCGTTAGCCGAACGATCAAACGCAATGGGAAATTTAGTATCCGTTCATTCCCATTCGCTGGGAGCCCCGGCTCATCTCCCGGTCGGCAGCGGGGCTGATCGGTCTGCTGGCGGCACCGCCGCCGTGTGCGCTGCTCTCCTTCAGTGCAAGCAGCTGCTTGGCGCGGAATGTCTCGTAGTGGATCTGGGAGGTGGTCTCGATAAGGTCCTGGAGATGGGTTCGGAGCAAGAAATTCCGCAGGTAAACAAACTCGCAGTGATTCTCATCCTCGACGTTGATGACGCCCCAGCGGTTCTGGCGACCGCGGACCTGCTTGCCATTGACAATGATGTTCTTCTCAGAGCCAACAACCGCAAAGGGAACCAAGCTCTGGAGAATCAAGGTCAGTAAATGTCGTGTGATGCGGATCTTACAAGTTGTCAGTGTCCCGTCATACCTTGATCTGCTGGTTCAAAGCTCGTTCCTCGTCGTCAAACTCCTCGTTATCGTACGGGAACATCTTGAGGTTGTGGAAGGCAAACTCGGCCTTGATACGCTCCTTGAACTCCATGCGCTCCTCGACGGTCAGGGTATCCGCCTTGGCAATGACGGGCACAACGTTGACGACATCGGACAGCTTCTTCAAGACGACGATATCGATGGGCTTGAGAGAGTGGCCGGAAGGCTGGATGAAGAACAGGCAGCAGTGGATGCGCGTGTCGGGAATGTAACGCTCTCGCTGAGCGGTAAGCTCCTTTCGCAGGTACGCGGAGTGCTGGTCCTTGATGTACTTGACGATGGGATCCCAACAGCGGTCGTTGTTGACGAGGTCGCCGTAGCCAGGGGTATCAACAATGTTGAGCCTCAAACGGACACCGTTCTCCTCAATGAGGTGCGAGACTCCCTGGATCTCGGTGGTGGAGCGAATGGGCTCGTCGGGCTGCAGACGGCCCTTTGAGTCGATGAGGTGCGAGGCGAAGATGGTGTTGATGAGCGTCGACTTGCCCAAGCCGGTCTGGCCTGCGTGCTGCAGTTAGTCTCCATCCATCCACCTGGCCGCAACTGTATGGGGGTCCCAGCGCGTGCGCCACTTACCAACGCAAATAACGTTGAACTGGAATCCGCGCTTCAGCAGCTTGCGCTCAATCTGCGACGTGATGCTGTCGAAACCGACGTGGCTGGCGGGCGTGATGGTGGTGGGAGTCGCCATTTTACCTGACTAGACTGGGTGAAACGAATGAAGAGATGACGGATGCTGTAAGGAGCCTTGGTCCAAGAAAAGAAAAAGAGCGGGAGCTTTCAGCAGGAGACGCGTGAGGAACAGCAGACGCGAGGCCGGCAGTGACAAAGCGGGAACCTGAAGCTGTGGGAATTGGAGGTTTGTGGAATTGAAGGCGCTGGCAGCGATCCTGGAGAAGGGGAACTTTTTGGACGGGCTGGCGGGTGGCTCCTGACTCTGGCCTGCGTGGTTCCTGCTTGGCCAGGTAATAATAAGGTAACTGCAATAATTTCGGCGTAGGGGCAGGAGCAGACAGGGGGACACGAGAAAGGGGGGGAAGGAAGGTGCCAGGGGTAGCAGTGCGGTCTGGAGCTGCTGATTGGCTGGGTGCGTGCGGTGGCTCCGCCGGGCTGCCATTGGCCCGTGTAGCGGCGGAAAAGTGGCGCTGCGCAAAGCCGCAATTGCGGTACGGCGGTACTTCGCTTGGCGGGTACCGGGGTACTTGGCAGATTGGGTGCAAGATTTTGATGATTCGATTTTCTCGAGAGGCGCATTGCCGACGAGCCACAACAGACCGAATCCCGCACCGAACCGCTGAAGCAACGAGACGCCGAATCGAGTCCTAGACATTCCAGTCAGATCAGCAACTTGATTCACGAGGTCATCCGCGTTGGGGAGCTGAACCGGGGTTCTCTGGGCGCCGATCGAGTTTTGCGCCAGTTGCAACACCACAGACATACAACCCGTCCAAGAATAAAGACATCACAATGGCTGCCATGGCCACCGCCTTCCTCCCCCGACTCTCTTCTCCCCTCGCCTTCTCCGTCCCCCGCTGGGCGAACTTTTACACCACACAACACACTCTCAAATTCCTCCCTTCGCTATCAATCGCCGTCCCCGGCGTCACGATCAACCTTCCCGGACTGCTGGGCGATATCTGGGAATCAGTGCTGCGGGCGGTGCCCAAGAACAAGGTCTCACATTCCAAGAAGCGATCAAGACAGATGGCTGGAAAGGCATTGAAGGATGTTAATCATCTGTGCAAATGCCCTGGCTGTGGAGAGACCAAGAGGACGCATAGGCTATGCCAGAACTGCCTGGAAGGTATGGCTATCAAAAGGTGCCGAGTCGATGCTCCTGCAATGCTGACACGCCGCTGTAACATAGAAATGAAGCAAATATGGCGCCAAGATTATCCTGCAAACAAGCCGTTCTAAGTGATGGAGGACTTGATTTGATCCGACGCCTACATCACGGCCTGTATCTCACGACCTCGGCCAGGCCAGACAAGCGCACAGCTGGCATTTGCCTCAGCCGAGACTCTGTTTCATTATGTACTACTATTATGAGAATCAGGATAGAACATGGGGTGGTGGAAAAGCGATATCCAAACGAGATGATCAAAGAATAAGAACCCTTATATGAACATGCATCAATCTGCTCCCGTTTCCCGTAACGTCAAGTGCCCTCGACACATTATGTACCCATAAAGATCAGATAGAGTCGCTGATTCTCCAGATGTCGGCTTTGTATAAACAACTGCCCACGTGGGTTTTGCCAATTGATTATTAGTGGGCATGTCAAGGGAGAGAAGCTCGCCTGCGTCAATGATTTGCATCTTGCATCTGACGCCGGAGTTGTAGCGCATCATTTAACCCCACCAACACCAAGCTTCAACCGCAGCCCAGCCAAAAACAACCACCATCGAGCAACCGCAGCCTTTATTGGCAGACAACAATGGTAAGGATCTCATCAAACGAGAAAACTATTTCATAAAAGGCTCAATTATCTGACTTTTCCAGTCCAAACAATACTTGACCACCCATACGGTGGATGACGGTTTGTCGTCATCATTTTACTGCACCGAGAGCTGAGCAGCTAATGAGAGAACACCAGCCCACATCACAGACATCTTCTCACTCGCAGCAACGCCAAGGACACTGATCTCGGCCAGCGGCTCGTCAACGCTTCACGTCCATGACACCAGTGATCCCTCGTTTCCCCTGAGGCAGTCCATCCCCGACGCCCACAAGCTAGGCTGCCACCATGTCTGCACATCGCGCAACGGCCTCTATGCCGCCAGCGCTGGCTTCGGAGGCGAAGTCAAGATCTGGGAGCTGAACAGGGAGACGGGTGACTGGAGCAGCGGCGGCGAGATCACGGGCCCGACGGTCAAGCCTGGTGAAGTGTGGGCGATTGCTCTCAGCGAGGATGGAGGCTATCTTGCGAGCACCACAAACGACGGGAGGATCAACGTGTGGGATGTCGCAGACCAGAGCAAGGCCAAGATCCGGGAGTACGAGACTGGTAGCGCGGGCTCGGGCAGCTTCGGCATGTGCGTGGATCTCAGCAGAGATGGCAAGTTTACGGCCAGCGGACACCAGAATGGCTCAGTCTACGTTTTCAACAACGACACGGGGAGGATCCTGTATTCGTTGTCCGGTAGGCTACATCTCACCCTCCTTGATTCACCGGCTTTCTTCGGACGTTGCTGATGTGTCTTTTTTTCAGGCCTTGCTAAGCCTGTCCGGGCCGTGGCGATATCGCCTGCCGGCAGCAGGGTGGCCGCAGCGGGCGATGCTGGCATCATTGCCATATATGACACAAAGCATGGCGAGCACGTCGGCAACCTGACGGGTCACTCATCCTGGATCACTTCACTGGACTGGAGCGATACGGGAGAATATCTGCTGAGCGGCTCGATGGACGGAAAGGTCAAGGTATGGTCAATCGAGCGCGGCGTCTGTGTCGCGACACATAGCGAGACGGACAAGGCGCTCTGGGCTGTTCGGTGGCTGCCCAAGACTGGGCGCAGCGAGATGTTTTGCACTGCCGGCGCAAACAGGAGCATTTCATTCTACAGGGAGGCTACGGGTAGCTAGACTTGGAAGTCTGTTGTCGTCAGGTGTCTCAAAAGCAATGATAGAAGAGATGCACAGTTCCAGTTGGGCTTCATGCTTCCATCCATCAACAGCACGTGATTCAGTTCGTGTTCGATGAGTTGCAGAGAGAGATGAGATCAGTTCTCAGTACCGTAGGTAGATGACTGCCACGTGACGTCGCTCCAGTCTCGCGTTGCCCCGCCAAACTTTAGCGCAGCTGAGCATCCCTTCACCTCGTCATCCGCATCGCAAAGCAGGCAGGATCAAGCACCGAGCTCCACCTCCGATTCACCATTCCTGCATCTCACTTACAGACCATTTCAGCCACGCATCTCTACGACAAAGCATCTGATAGATATCTCGCGCGAGTTGGCCCAGCAGTCAACACTTGTTACAACCCGTACTCGTAATCGATAACCACTACAGGGTATCATCATCGAGCCATGCCTACCACCAGACGATCAGCAGCCGCCAGCGCCCGGGGTCGTCCCGGCCCTGTCAAGGGACAGTCAACAATCAGCTTCAGCGGCAAGGTCACAAAGGCCGTGCCGAAAGACCTGAAGAAGGCAGCGTCCGACTCTACGATTGCTAGAACGACCATTCCGGAGAGACCTGCGTCCAAGGGCGAAGTAAACAAGGAGGAAGAGGAGAAGGAAGCGGTTGAGATTGTCACAGAGGAGCCCGACGTCATCGAGGAGCCGGAGGAAGAAGAAGCAGAGCCCGTCGTCGAACAGCAAATTCCGGACAAGTCGGAGGCAGAGCTGAGAGCGGAGAAGATTACAGACGCGCAGGTCAAGTCGTACTGGAGAGCGATTGAGAAGCAGCGCAAGGCGCCTCGAGTGCACCAGGGAGACCTTGATTTGGCCGAGAAGGTGCTGAGGTACTTTGATGTGAGCTCGCAGTATGGGGTAAGTTTACTACCTAGTAGTCCATTGTTTCTTTGTCCCGATTGGATCTATACTGACATTTGTCTGCTTGCAGCCTTGCATAGGAATTACTCGCGAGAAGCGGTGGCACCGTGCTGAGCGGTTGGGTCTGAACCCTCCGATTGAAGTCCTTGCCGTCCTTTTGAAGGAGGAGAATAAGAATAATGACGAGATTGAGACTGCGCACATTGATCGGATAATGAATGCCACGGCTGCGTTACCATGAGACACTGGCGTTGGGTTGTAAAGGACGGAGACGCTTTTCTTTCCTCTATGTCTATATGATTGCTCTGGAGCTATGGCGGGTATGTTAATTGAATGGTGTATCTTTTCAGATGACAGGAATCGCGAGTTTATGACTGAAGAGGCCGTGCGTGCTCAATCATCACTCTGAGTGGTGGGTATTGGCAAGTCTCCGTTCCAAGTGAGTCGTGAATCAATACCAGATGCTTCGTGTTCGGTGGTGGGGAATTGTTTCCTTGCCCGCTGCCTCCATCTCCTTCATTGTGTCGTAGAGGAAGAAGTCGATCAATATCGCATTGACGTGAGTATCCGGATGCGCGTTCTGAATCTCTTTTCGAATCAACTCGACACACCAGATGCTGCATGCTGCAAGTTGTTAGCAAGAGGCCTTGTAAAATGTCCAAACGACGTGGACATACCTCTTAGTTGGACCTCCCACCGGCTCCCGCTCTCGATCATCTTCTTGTCGCGAATCGCCGCATGAATCTGCGGACCGATGTACAAGGCGCCAAGCGTGGAGAGAATCTGCGGCACGCGATAATCGGCAAACATGGTGATCTTGTCAATGTCGCGGAACTCGCCGTACGACTTGCCCTCGAAGCACGCCCACACGTCGGCGACGAAGATCTGGGCGCGCTTCATGATGCGGATGGGGTTGCGTCTGCCCTCGAAGGGGTGCTCGTCTCTGAAGCAGTCAAAGTCTCTGGCCAGCAGGTTCACAAGCTGGGCTGCGGAGCCGTTGGCCGCGGAGATGAGGTTGACGACGGAGCAGTCGTATTTCTTTGAGATTTGAATTAGCCAAGTGGTGTTGTGGTTGTTTGCGTAGGTATGAGAGGGTTTCTTTCTGGCTTACACTGTAGAGCACGTTGCCGCTTTCTCGGAGACAGTCAAGTCGTTCCTGGAGAAGAGGCATTTCTTCCTCGGTGCAGGATCTGAAGACGTGTCTGAGCGACTCCAAGTTGCACTCATCCTCGTTCTGCCAAAAATGAGGATCCGTAATGGGTATGCCTATCGAAGCAGAAAGGGGTGAGAACGGTCCATCTTCAGACAAGAAACTCAAAGAAAGCTTCCACCAACCTTCTTCCAGAGCTCTCTGCAAAGCCGCCACAAGACTCCAGTACCCCGTCCACCGCTTCCCCTTGTACTCAATGGCAAACCGCTCGTCATCCGGCAGCTCGGACCAGAAGGAAAAGTTGAGCAGGTCCATGGTGAAGATGAAGGCGGCGGTGGCCTCGTCCTTGGCCTTGGGATGCAGCTCGTGCGACGACCAGGTGGAGGTGGAGTAGCTCTTCTCCTGCATCTGGGCGTAGATGGTCTCTGCGGCGCGCTTGGTCGAGCGCATGTCGATGGCCACGTCGATGCCATGGTTGTAGACGTATTCGGCGTCGGTGAGGACGCCTGTGTCGGGCTCTTCGTCTTTGATGGAGACGCCTTGCAGGTGCTGGCGGAGGAGGGCGAGGAGCTCGGGGTCAGCCTCGTCGTCTGACATGATGAAGAATTGAGCGCGTAATCAAGTTGATTTGGGTATATGATTGAAGGAGAAGTGTCAAGTGAGTCCTGGTCGATAGGTATCTTGTTCACTGAAAGGGCAAAACGGGCTTCTGGAGTGAGTGGACAGCGCTGTGAATATAGTGGCACCCCGCTGACCATCAGAACTTTTGGTGTCTACAGCCCAATCAGGGCTTCTACAGAGGAGTTATCGCTATGGGGTATTTCGCTACGGAATGGGTAGAAGTTGGGCTTCAGATATGGTCACAACGTTCTTGACATTCGCCACCGATAATCTAACATGCTCTGACTGCCCTCCGTTCCACAGGATCCTTGCCTTGTTGGGTAGCATCGCCAGCATAGACTTCATACTCCGTACAGTGAGATTCGAGATCGGGTGAATGAACCCAGCCAGGCACACAGCTCTTTGTCTCAGCAAGTGACTTGCACCCAAACCTGTCTTCCCCAGGCACAGCCAATCAGCGCGTCCGCAGCGCACGGGCCCTCTCGGACATATTCCCCGGCCCCTCTGACCTCATTCAATTGGTCGCAACTCGACTTTTTCGACGGCCTCGGACGGCGAGGTACCTTCGTACTTCAACACCGCGAGCTGCACCTGCGCCGACCATCGCCAGACCAACAGCTGCAAAGCGACGGGTTTGGCGCAACCGATCCGACGCCGATTCCCTCTCCTGCAAACGCCCGCCCTCGGATTCCATCACAGACTTCGACACCCAACTCTATTCCATCTCTGCCGCCTTCACGATCCAGATTCACTGCTGCTTCGCCCGTCACTTGCGCTCAAGGCGATGGAGGCTCCCAGAGAAGCTGCCGCGGATGCAGTCCCGAGCACGTCAACGGCTGCGGCCGTCGCCCAAGAGCCTCAGCAGCCGCAGCGGGTTGTCGCGTCACATCCCGCCCCTGCTCCGCGAAGCGCACTTGCTGCACGCGATCGATATAATCACCAGTCGCTCGGCGCATCGCTGAATTCCTTGGTCAAGCATGTACGTTGTGGATGACGAGGCTGGGGTTTGGAGAGCTCAGGCTGTGCTGTCCCGCGATCTGAATCCATCCTCGCAATCAGTTTCAATTTCGCTTAGGCTGCTTCCTTTTCTACTCTGTTGGCATCTGAATCACGATTGCTTCACTTCTTGTACTATAAATGAACCCCAACGCTGACCTTGGCCACAGGCGCGAGTGCTCATGGTGGGCGCTGGCGGCATTGGGTGCGAGCTGCTCAAAAACCTGGTCCTCACCGGCTTTGGCGAGATTCACATCGTCGACCTCGACACGATCGATCTTTCCAACCTCAACCGACAATTCCTCTTCCGACACGAGCACATCAAAAAGTCAAAGTCGCTGGTGCGTGGATGCCGAGGTTGCGCCAAACAACGGGCGGCTTTCGCAATGCTAACCATGGCGGCAGGTTGCCAAAGAGGCGGCACAACGCTTCAATCCGAACGTCAAGATTGTCGCGCATCACGCCAACATCAAGGACCCCGAGTTCAGCGTCCCTTGGTTCCGCGACTTCAAGATTGTCTTCAATGCCCTCGACAACCTCGACGCTAGACGACATGTCAACAAGATGTGCTTGGCGGCGGACGTTCCCCTGATCGAGAGCGGGACGACTGGCTTCAACGGGCAAGTCCAGGTCATCAAAAAGGGCCTCACTGCTTGCTACGACTGCACTCCCAAGGACACGCCCAAGTCGTTTCCCATTTGCACCATCCGGAGCACGCCCAGTCAGCCGATCCATTGCATAGTCTGGGGCAAAAGCTATCTACTCAAGTAAGTGGACATTCTCCGCGCTCGATGTGGCTCTGTCGCCTTTCTGCTAAACATATTCTACGCAGTGAAATATTTGGCGTCAGCGAGGATGACTTTGATCATTCAGCGGATGCGGATAACGGTAAGTCGCCCCTTTCGTCTGGCGCAAGAAAGGATGTATACTGAACAGAGGTTGCTACACTAGCCCATGAAATCGAGGAACTGAAGAAAGAGTCAGAGGCTCTCAAGCAGATCCGAGAAGCAATTGGGACACTCAAATTCCCAAAGTTGCTATTTGACAAGGTCTTCAATGCTGATATTGAGCGCCTGCGATCGGCGGAAGACATGTGGAAATCGCGTCGCGCTCCTGAACCGCTCAAGTACGACGAGATTATGGCACGAGCTAGCCAGCTTCTTGAGTCAAAGGAGTCCATATTGGCAGATGGTCAGAAAATCTGGTCACTTGAGGAGAATCTTGTCGTCTTCAATGACAGCCTCGACAGGCTTAGCAAGCGCCTGCTTCAAATGAGGGCGACGAAAGATGCTTCTGCCCCTGAACCAACCATTACCTTTGACAAGGATGACGATGATACCTTGGACTTTGTAGCGTCCAGTGCAAACATTCGCTCGACAATCTTTGGAATCGATCTCAAGTCTCGGTTCGACATCAAGCAGATGGCCGGCAACATCATCCCGGCTATTGCGACTACAAACGCCATCGTCGCAGGACTGTGCGTTCTGCAGTCCTTTAAAGTGCTCAAGGGCGAATACGGACAGGCGAAAGAAGTATTCCTGACGCCGTTTGCCAACGCACGACTGCTGGCCCCGGACAGGAATCGAGAACCGAACCCCGACTGTCCCGTCTGCGGTGTTTATTACACCAGCGTTATTGTTGACTTGAACCGGGCAACACTTGGAGACATTGTCGAAGGCCTTGTCAAAACTCAGTTTGGTTATGGAGACAAGGAATTTGCCGTGAGCTACATGAGCGGCAACGAGCTCCGCAGTGTTTATGATCCCGATGATACCGACAACCTCGACAAGAAGCTCACAGAGCTCGGTATGGCACATTGAATCCTCCTCCTCCTCCCCCTGCCTTCAACTCTAGCAATAAAGCTGACAATGTCCTAGGCATCAAAGCAGGCAGTTTCCTAACCATCGCCGACTGGGATGACGAGCTTGTCGACGTCAAGATTGATATTCAGGATGGGTATGTATTTGAAGATCTGTAGATGAGTTATAGTCCATGGGACAGAGGCTAACTGATCGCAGCATCCTGGAGGATCAGAAAACCTCGTTCCGTACAGTACATGCTGGCCGTCCCGATATTCCTCAGAAGCCTCAGAAGCCCTCTCCAGTCGAGGCCGACGGCGGCAGCCACGGCCAAACAAATGGAAAGCATTCTCTTGACGAGGAGGTGGCAGAGGAACCTAAAGGCGCCAAAAGACCGCCTCCGGACGACGAGAGCCCTCCTCTCAAGAGGGCCAAGGTTGCCAGCTCAGCCGATGACGATGTGGTGGTTGTGGAAGACGCCGGTGGAGCCATCGTCATCGATGATTAACGATAGATATCATTGCGTTGAAGCGTCGAGGAGAAGACATTGCTGCGACAAAGGTCACGCAGCACTCAGGCCGCCATCGAGGTTGAGGACACAGTTATTGGCGAAGCCGTTGGACGCCAGAAACAGAGCGGCGTCGGCAACCTCGGCGGGCTCTGCCACTCTATTGAGCGGCGTGTCTTTCAGGTAGGCCTGCTTTAGTTCTGGCTTGAGATCTAATCATTGGCTGTACATTAGCTTTGGATACAATAGGGGCGACCATTGTATCTATGGAAAGGATATTAGGAGAGAAGGACATGACATACCGGTCCACATGGAGCTATTAACCCAGCCGGGCAGCAGAGCATTTACACGGATAGATCGAGACGCCATTTCGCGGCATAGGGCGCGGGTGAAGCCTAAGACGACATGAGCTTCCTACCATATGGGATGTATGTAAAACATTGTATGTTACGATTGACAAAATGGAATGCAGAAATGAGCGCATGATGCCATTCTTACCAATGACGCCGGCTTTGGATGCAGCGTAGGCAGTGGCCCCGAGGCCGCCTTTTGTTGCCATGAGACTCGACACGTTGATGATGCAGCCTACAAGAGCTGTCAACTGGACTGAAACGTAGAAGAAGGGGGCCGATTTCGCGAGGAGCTATACCGTTTGGCCTCATCTTTGCGTGTTTGCACACCAGCATGGTTGCCAGGAGGTTCGTATCGACAATGTTGGAGAGGTGCTCATCGGATGTTCGTATCAAGAGGGACGTTTGAGTGATGCCGGCACAGTTGACGAGGATATCGATGGGTCCGACAGTTGTGGCAGTCTGAGGCTATCATGTGCAATGCATCCAATTAATCAGACTGTGTTTACTTCTTGAAGAAGCTTGTGATGTATATAAACCGTCACTTTCATTCTTTTACTTCTCCACCCTTTTCTTCCAGACTATAGAGATAAAACCGTTCACCTACTTACCTTTGATGACCCCCGTGCGCCAAACACAGCCTTGATGCTCTCCCGATCCGCAACATCCAGCTTGATGAACCGATGCGCCGCCGGGACGCCGAGATCATTGGCATCCGAGGTCCCGGGTAGGCTGTACGGACGCAGCTGGGGCTCCAGACGGGGACGCGCATCGACGGCGGAGCGGGCGAGGAGGGAGAGGACGGCGCCTTGCTGGGCGAAGGCTTTGGCTATTGAGAAGCCGATGATGCCTGTGGCTCCGACGACGGCGCAGTGCTTGCCTGCGAGGGGCAGCAGCGCCATTGTTCTTTGGGTGGTGGTTTGTTGTGTTTTCTATGAGAAAGTTTTGGCGATGAAAGCTGGGGAAGGTTTTGGCGTGGTGGTGGGTTGGTGATTTGGTGGGGCTCGAAGCCAAGGCGCTGTGAGTTGGAAGACGAGGTGATTAATGCTTTTGCCTAGAGGTCATCGAGATCCAGATTGATCTGTTTTAATGATATTGGAGTCTGTACATAAGGTATACTTTCCGATTCATCCTCGATCCCGATGCGATGCTGATTCTTGGCTGTCTCGAAGGCGGTTGTAAGTGAAGTGAAACTGTGAGATGCCGTATTACAGTATATTACAGTACTGGCAAGGCAGTTGGGCGTGGGTCCCCGATGCGTGTAATCGTGCCTCGGTGCGGAGTCAATGTACGAGTACCTTAAGCTTCGGACAGCTTACAGTAGCGCTGGAAGGATCTACAGCACATGTTAGGCGGACAGAAAGCGGATGCTCTCAGTTCATTCCTCCCTGGGGGGCTTTTGGGGCTTGACTATTAGCAGCGCCGTCTTGGTGCTAATGAAGACGGGACCGAGAGTGGTGTCTTGCTCGGCAGCTAAACCTAAGCCAATCCAACAAGGCCTCAAGCATTCATCCACGCGAATTTCCAATTCCAACTCTCTTCTTCTCTTCTCCTCTGCCTTTTCCTAGATCCATCATCAGTCGAGGTGGCTGCTGAAGCACGCGGCTTACAGCGCTCCTGGTGGCTTGTCTTCTTCTGTCTTGTCTCCCTCCCAGGCCTGCAGCGCTGGGGACTTTAGTTTTTTTTTCTGCGCCAAGGGCTCTCTCGTCGCATCGCATCTTACCTACTACTATAAAACTCGACCCCCGACGACTCCAGGCCACGTCTTCCGCCTTCTCCCTCCTCCCGCCTCCCGCCTCGGCCTGCCAATCCATGTCTTGTCTCAATCCCGGCGCCCGACACCTCGAGACCGTCCCCGACAGCGCTGCCATCGACTGCCTGGGATTCCCACCATGAGCGGCACGCGACGCGATGCCCCGCCGCATCACAAGGAAACCGCTGTCCCCGACGCGGGGCTGAGGAGCCTCGATCACTGTAGGTTTCCTTTTGGCTGCTCTGCGATGTGCTTTGGATCGAGGGAGGATGATTGTGGGAACAAGGCGAGCGAAACAAGCTCTGTGCGGCGGTCGTGACAGGATTGGGCACTGGAGAAGAGGAGGGACAAGAGAGCCAGCATCACCAACGACACAAAGAGGAGGGATTGGACGTCACGCCGGCGATCGGATGCGACTCAAGAATACGTGCATGCGCTGACACGAGGCCGTTTGTAGACAAGAAAGCGCTGCCGAAATGGCGATACACCTTGCGGCACCAGGCGCTCCCTCTCATCCGATGGGAGACGCCGTATCTGGCTGCGCTCCAGGCCAAGCTGCGCACCCCGGCGCTCGACAGCTACTTCGCCATCACGGCCAACCTGGGCACGCACACCTTCTTCATGATTTTCCTCCCCATGCTGTTCTGGGGCGGCTATCCGGCCTTTGCCAAGGGGTACGTCTGCAGATGAGGGAATCTGCCCGCTCAGACTGCGGCAGTAGCAGCGGATATGCTGGCTTCTGTAGCCTGTTTGTGTGCTGTGCTGTGTGTGAGCTCGAACTTTGGGATACTAACGTCGAGGCCACAGGTTGGTTCACATCTTGGCCTTGGGTGTCTTCTGGACAGGCTTCGTAAAGGACTTTTACTCGCTGCCTCGGCCGCTTTCTCCGCCCCTGAACCGCATCACCATGTCTGGATCGGCTGCGCTCGAGTATGGCTTCCCTTCGACCCATAGCGCCAATGCCGTCTCCGTTGCCGTCTATGCCGTCCTGCACCTGCGCAGCCCCGACAACACCTTTTCCGACACGACGAAGCTGCTGCTCGAAATCCTTGCGTACTTTTATGCCGTGTCCATCGTCTTTGGGAGGCTCTACTGCGGCATGCATGGCTTCTTGGACGTCATCGTCGGATCCATCATGGGTGCCGGCATCACCATCCTCGAGGATTACTACGGCCCGCCGCTGGACACCGCCATGCAGCACGGTTCTTGGCTGGTCCCCTTCATCACCGGCCTGGTGGTGGTCATCTTTGTGCGGATCCACCCAGAACCCGCGGATGATTGTCCATGCTTCGACGATAGCGTCGCCTTTGCCGGCGTGGTCATCGGTCTGGAAGCCGGCACCTGGACTGTCGGGAGGACTTTCCTGGCGCAAGCCGAATCCAGCATGGGTGCACTGCCGTGGGCATGGTGCGTCATTGCGGCGAGGATGGTGGTGGGAATCGTTGCCATCTTTGTCTGGCGCGAGACCATGAAACCCACGCTGCTCAAGGCGCTGCCTCACCTGTTCCGTCTCATCGAGTCGACTGGCCTCGACCTGCCTCGTAGATTCTTTACACCTGCTAGCGAGTACAAGTCTGTGCCTCCCGGGTCGCGGTTGGACACCCTTTTCCCGACAGCCTCGGATTTCCCTCGCATGGTCGAGAGTATCCGCCACCCCACAACCCGAGGACGATCGGTCTCGATAGGGCCACAGAGCGTGGCAGATGCCTACGAAACCCTGGCTTACCGGGAGCGGCAGCGCAGGGACAGCATTAGCAGCAACGCGAGCCTCAAGAGCAAATCGAGCAATCTAGATCTCAACGGTACAGACGAAGACAAATCAGGCAAAGGGGCTCAGACTTCAGGGGCCCAGAAGCTGACGTTTAACGATACTAACCCCAACGCTTCGCTTGTGCCAGGAGCACAGAATGGGAATCCTGATATATACATCACCATGGAGGATGCACGGGACGAGAAGGAAGTCTTTTCTCGGTTAGTGAAGCCGCGTGTGAGATATGACGTCGAGGTAGTCACGAAACTCGTTGTCTATGCAGGTCAGTTCTCAGTCTTTTTCAGCAGTGCAGCTCATGATGTTTGGTTTCTGGACGGTTTGAGCATGTAGCTAACGGAATGTTAGGCATCTCGTGGCTTGCCGTCGCAGGCGTCCCGATGCTGTTCAGTGTCCTTGGTCTCGGCGTCGTCCGTACGGTGATACAATGGGACGCAGCGACAGCTTAATCGGGTTATGACAGGCGCGACCATGTTTTGATGGAGTCTTTGGATGAATCTGGGGACAGGAGGCGTTTATCTCTTTCTCCTCATCTTCTGCCTTTCTGTTGTTTGAAATATTCTTTGCTCTTTTCCTCCTCATCCTCCTCATCCTCCTCCACCTCCCCCCTCCACCGCCATCACCCACTCTCCGATCTGCTAATCCTTCTTCTTCCGCCTCCTCCTTCGTATTTTGATAATATAGGATACTTTTGAGGCCATTCTATTTTCTTCCTGTCACGGCGACAGGTCGCCGTATATTAAAGACAGCCGAGGCGCGAGTAACTGAGAGTAACATGTAGTCCAATAATTGTCTTATCCTTTCATGAATTCCGTTCTTCCCTTGTTGTCGCCAGTAGGTTCTTCCTGAGTAGATCTATCGTTAAGAGTTGATGGTTGTGGTTTAGAGGGAGTGTGGCTTGGCCGCTTGGTGGTGTGGCGCAGCTGCAGGGGTTTTAATGGGTAGACACGTCTCGACGCGTTGAAGCTACACTTGCTCAAGTTCATGCACACTCAAGACGACGGATCGCATTTTGCACCCCAGGGCAGGCCATTGTTGTACCAAACACTCGCTTATCACTCGGACCAGGTCTCGCTTTACCCTCCCTTCCAGATCGTGATTCTCTTTCAAAATGTCCGATTTCGAGGATGAGATGGACGTGGATGGTCCTGCTCCATCCGCCGACATCACATTCTCGGCCGAGGCGACAAAGGGCAAGCGCAGTGCTGCCAATCTGCCAGTTGAAGCTGAAGATTCGCTGCCATGGTACGAAACGAAGCTTCATCTGCGGAAGTTGGCCAACGCGGTGTCACTGACCATGCCTTTCCAGGGTTGAAAAGTATCGACCGGTAACGCTCGACGATGTGTCCGGCCACCAAGACATCCTAGCCACCATCAACAAGTTCGTCGAGTCGAACCGCCTCCCTCACCTGCTTCTCTACGGACCCCCCGGCACGGGCAAGACATCCACGATACTGGCACTCGCGCGGCGCATCTACGGCACCGCCAACATGCGGCAGATGGTGCTGGAGCTGAACGCCTCGGACGACAGAGGCATCGACGTGGTGCGGGAGCAGATCAAGACGTTCGCCAGCACAAAGCAAATCTTCACAATGGGCGGCGGGGCGGCCAAGGGGGGCCCTTCGATTGCGGGATTCAAGCTCATCATCTTGGACGAGGCGGACGCCATGACCAACACCGCGCAGATGGCGCTGCGAAGGATCATGGAGAAGTACACTGCGAACACGCGGTTCTGCATCATTGCCAACTACGCTCACAAGCTCAGTCCCGCGCTGCTGTCTCGCTGTACGAGGTTTCGGTTCAGTCCGTTGAAGGAGGGCGACATCAGGGTGTTGGTGGAGAAGGTGGTGGAGGAGGAGGGTGTCAAGATCCAGGGCGAGGCTGTGGATGCGTTGGTGAAGCTGAGCAAGGGCGATATGCGACGGGCGTTGAATGTGCTCCAAGCTTGCCATGCGTCAAGCACGCCATTGAGGCTAAAGAACGAGCCCAAGCCGCCGGAAAGCGAAATCAAGCGCGAGACGATCACGACAGAGACGATTTACAACTGCATCGCGGCGCCGCAGCCGGATGCCATCAAGGAGATTATGGAGACGCTCCTGAGCACGCCGGACGTGACGAGCTGTCTCAACACCATCAATGCGCTGAAGACGACGCAAGGGCTGGCGCTGGCGGACATTATCACGGCGCTGATGGAGCAGCTGACGAAGCTCGAGGTGAGCGCCGAGGTCATGATCACCTGGCTGGAAGGGCTGGCGGAGATTGAGCACCGGGTTGCCGGAGGGGGCAGCGAGATGGTGCAGACGGGGGCGGTTGTGGGCGTGATACGAGGAGGGGTGGAATTGATGAGCAAGTGAGCAAAAGGAATTGCCATCTGAAAAGCATCATTGTTGATGACATGTCTGTTGGCTGAATAAGATACCAAAAGGGGGGAGGAAGCAATTGGCTTACTAGCATCACGGGTAGCCATTTTTGCATGAAGATCGATCGATGATGCTACCTGATCCGAAAGTTGACCTGTCCGTGATTCCGTGAGTATCAATCATCCTAGGCTATAGGTCCGCGAATTGCTCGAACGGATTCTTCAACAAGCTTCGGCTGCAGAAGGCGGCGTAAAACAAGCGAAACCTGGGGGAGAAGCTCTGGGGGCCATTGACATGTGCTCGTGAGGAGGGCCCGAAGAGATTAAACCATTTCGGGCCTAGAGCTCCCGTTACGTCAGGAAACGCGCGCGGGTATTGGCAATCACGGAGTTGGGCGATTCCTTCCTTCCGTTGAACCGTTCTGTTCTTCTTGGAGCAGCAGGCAGGTGCAAAGGGACCGGGCCATCAAGGTAGTTTAGGGTACCTACTAAGTAGTAGAAGAAGGAAATATCAATGACCTTCTTCTTGTTTCTGCTCCTCCCACTTCTTAACTCTGTGATGGCGTCTATTCTTCGTTACAACTACTATCGGCATCCCACCTGTTTTGTCAGCTTCACCCAATCACGATGCTAGCTACATACTATTCCAAATCCAAATGTCTCTTCCCTGGACAAGGAAATCTCACCTCTTGTTAACACCCAATTGCCAGCGAATGGGGCTTCTGGGGCTTGTGAATGTTTTCGGCTTATCGGGTTTCTAATGCCCAGGGCGGCGTCAAACGCCCAGGGTAAGTCTGTCTGTCAACTTGGGTAGCGCCGCAATCCAGATCGGTGATCCTCCCTCCATCTACGGAACGTGCATCTACCTTTCGACGTTTCAACTAACTCTTCGAGTCCGCGAACATCGCCGCTTCACGTCGCCATCTTTCATCTCTTGAGCTACGAGACTTCGTTGCCGCCAGACGCGATAGCTGTGTTGCACGTCTTTTGCCCACTCGCCTGCCGATTCCGCAGCTACAACAGAATAAGCCGGTGGCCTCAGCCAGGGGAAAGAAGAAGCACAGAGGACACAACTTTCCCTTGAGGATATAAACGAGGGCAAAAAACAGAGCTGAGCGGCCAGGCTCGCCTTGCTTTCCCCCCATGTCTGCCTCTCCAGCGGGCATGCTGTCCGCGAGCCCGAGCGAAGCCGCGAGCACGTCGGGCCTCCCCGTGCATGCGAATGCACATGCGCAGGCAAATGCCGAAGTCCACAAGATCCCGCAAATACTGCCGCGAGAGCGCGTCTTTCCCATACAGATTGGGGGCGAGCTGTTCAAGTTGTCTGGGGCATCCATCTCCTCCGATGGTGAGTCGCGTGCTGTGGGCTTGCTTTGACGATTCGATCACGAGCTTGACCAACTACTACCCTTGGTCATGGTGCTCGGGTGGTTTGCTGACTCCTCAATGTTGCAGCGCCGTCATACTTTTCGCAATATTTCCTCTGCCAGATCACAGCTGCTGAGAGCAAAGGCGAGGATCCGTCCTCCTCGATCCGGACGCTGTACATCGATCGCGACCCGAACACGTTTCGAGATATTGCGCTGCATCTGCAAGGATACCATGTGACGCCGCGGGATGGAACGCACTTTGTGCGCTTGTTCGCGGATGCCCAATTCTACAATCGTGTGTTTCTCTCATGAGCCCAATGGCTCCCAACTGCCGTCACGGGATACTCAAGTCACTGACAATCGTCTTCACACAAACAGTCCCCAAGCTCATCTCTCAACTCAACGAGGAGAGCATCTTCATTTCCATCGGCCACCGGGAATTCCAGATTCCGCGCGATGTCCTCAACGATCCCGCCAATTCCCCAAACTACTTCTCCCTGGGCTTCGCCCTCTTCTTCTCCCAACCAAACGACCTCTTCCCGGGCCTCGATCGCGAAGGACTGATACGCCCGCCCTCCATTCTTCCGCCTTCGGTGCCCAATCGCAACGCCGACACCTTTGCCGAGCTGCTGCGCTTGCTGCGTGGCTATCCCGTCAGCATCCGGGACGAGACTCATCGCCAGGAACTCCTTCGAGACGCTCGGTATTTCCACTTCAAAGGGATTGAACAGCAGCTTGTCCCCCACTCCATCAGCTACAACCCCTTGCGTCAAGTCGACGAGATTGTCCTGCGATTGGAAAATGTGCAGAAGAGCGGCGTCAGCATCTCGGCTCCTGAGGACTTTGACGGCACATTCAGATCCTCTGTCAGGCATGTCAGATATGCACGTCCATATGTAGATAACAAGCCTGCGGAGTTGATATTGGAGATTGGGGGAACCTCGACGAAGCTCAACTTTTCAGCCGAGGGAGCCAGAGCCGAGTTCTTCGGAGGTACGAAAGCGAGGGTAGCGAGACTGCTTGAGGTGGTTGCGACGAAGCTGAACTTGCCTCCGACGACACAGCCCCTGGGCCTCCTCATGGCATCAGGGGGTGCCAGTTCGCAACCAGCCACGCCAGGCAACACCCCGCTGAGCGAAGACCTCGTGCGGGTCGTGTTCGAAGCCGAGTCTGCAGTCGCCCTCGACGGACAAGACTACGAGGGAGACCTGGGCGGCTATGGGGACGAAGATGCTGCTACTCCCGCCATTACCCCCGACATGGAAGCCCTCGCAAATCCCAGGAAGCGCCGCCGGACAGGCGAGAGCGTCGACATTGGCTTGCCTAACGAGGGCCAGCAGTGGGCTGTCAGGAAGGGGCTGTTTCGGCTGCGTATCCAGGAGAGCAAGAGCGGTAAAAGCGCGGTCGAGTGCGCTTTTGTGGCGGTCAAGATTGATGCAGTGAGCTCGGAGAGGGGCAGGAATAAGATGAGGAAGTTTCTTGGGGACTGAAGAATCTGGATCAGCTCAACTTGAATTTGATAATATGGGGCGAAAGATGTTTGTATAAAAATGTTTCCAATTAGTCAAAGTCTGAAGGAGGAGTTTCTGATGGCTTGAGGAGAGGAGGTCGATACCAGATCATTTGAGATCATTGTTGAATCTTTGTTTCGCAAACATGCAACCTTGAATAGTTAGGGCGATATGTTGACAGTGAACGTAGAGCAACATAGGTGGCTCCAGGCGTATCATTTCGACAAGAGAAGAGTCTTTACAAAACACAAGGCAACCAAGACTCAAGAGCGAAAAAGGTCTTTCTTGTTCAAAATCACCAAAAAGCCTATAAACAGCAGCAACATGAAACTACCAACAACAACAACAACAACAACACAGGGCCAAAGAAAAAAGAGAATACAGAGAAGGAAAAAAGAACCACAAACGCCAATCAACGAACCAAACCGGCCACAATTTGAAAAAAAAAAAAAAAAAAACCCCCAAAACGCCATCCTTCGCCGGCGCTCCGAAAATTTGTCCCCTTTTCACTCCCGCCCCCCCCTTATTTCCCTTATCCCTTGTTCCCGTTTTGGAGGAATCAACCTTGTGCAAATAAAGAGAGAATGAGAGGAATATAAAACAACATGGAGAAGAAGAGAGGGAATGCAAAAAAGATGAAGGAGAGCTTTGTGCAAAAAGGTAGGAGAAGTCGAGGGAGAAGAAGAAGAGGAGGAGAAAGGGAACGTGGAAAAGATGAGTGAGAGTGGTGGTGACAACTCTCTCCTCATCGCAACAATATACATCCCAAGTTCATCCCAAGCGTCCCTGCTTGGGCCAAAACCTCTATGTACCCTCCATCGCGTGAATCCAAAGTCCAAAGAAAACAACCAAGAACCAGGGAGAAAAGAAAGGGGGAAGCAACTGCCTCATGCGTTCCTAGATCTAGATCTGCTCCCCACTCTGCCCACGGGGCCGCTGATATCCCGTCTTCCCAGTCCAGACGTCGGCCGGGTCCCCAGACCAGATGTCGGCCGGCTCCCAAGACCAGACGTCGGCCGGCTCTGTGGTGTAGCCGCTCCTCCCCTGGTCGCACTCCTAGCACGTCCCCTCCTCTCGCGAATCTGCGCCAGTGCCTCTTCGCGGGTCATTGTGGGAACCATGGCCGGATCGCTCGTGTCAAAGCTCGCGGCGCTGCTGTTGGACGCGGTCCGCATCCTCTGGTGGCTGAAAGACGACGAGCTGGGGGATCGCTCGTCCTTGACTGGGACCGTGGTTGTTTTGGTTACTGTGTAGATTGCCTTGGCAGAAGCCCGCGCCTCGGCAGACGTGCGTTTCCGGGGCAGAGCAAAGCGTTCAGTCTGCGGTGCTGGCGCTGATGCCGACTTGGGCGCCAGATCCAGGGCTCTCTCTCGCTCTCCTGCTGCTGCCACCTGGTATCGCATCACTCCCTCCTGGACGGCTTCGTTGTGAGGGACCGGCGGCGGGACGCTACGCAAGTTTGGCAGAGAGTCAGCTTGAGGGTCTATTCGCGGAGCATTGATGAGCGACATGAGCGATGATCTCCCCGGGGGAAAATCATAGACTGAGGGCTCGACGGATGGTGTTTTCGCAAACGTACGTTGATGTGCCTCTTTTCGATCTGTCGGAGAAGGCATCTCCGGTTCCGGCTCCTCGTGAGCCTCAATGACAATCTCGGCCTTGCGCTGGGCTTCCAGCTCGATGGCCTCCTGTTCCGATACCGTGCGGAAGACGCCCTCCTGAGGATAGAAGACGGTGCTCCGCCTGGCGCCCTTCCTCACCTTTCCCAGCTTCAGCTCCTGCTGCTGTTGGACGGGCGACGGAAGCGGCTCAGCAGAAGCAGCGCGCTTCTCTTCCGGGATGGAGGCCTCCGCAGACAGCTTCTTGCGTTCGGGGGTTGCTCGAGGGAGCTGCTGCGCCAGCATGCTCGTCCGACGCTTGGACTTGGAGCATGGGCAGCAGTGCATCTGGCACTCGGCCTGCATAAACTCAATCATCTCCTGAGCCCGGTCGGCTCTCTGCCTCTCCCACTGCAGCTGCTCGGTGAGCTGCTCAATCTCCAGCTCGCTGGCGGCCGACGAGACGACCTCCATTGTCGAGAGAGAGACGCGGGGATCCCTGCACCGAATCGTCGACGCCAGCCTTCGCTTCCTTGGCGGAGAGGCAAACTCGTCGTCTGATTGCTCGGTAGGCAGGGGAATGCGGCCCTCTGCAGCGAGACGGGCAACCTCTTCGTTCTTGGCCGCGACCTTGTAGGCATCGCGCTCCTGCTCGACCAGCTTCATGCGCTCGAGTGCTTGCTCGAGCTGGTCCTGGAGGCTGCTCGCCTGGTATTTGGCCTCGAACAGTTCTGCATCCCGAGCACGGCCCTTTTCTCTTTCCTGCTGTAGTGACTCTTCGACCAGCTTGTTCATGGCTTGAGCCGATTTGAGATCCGCCTGCAGCTTGGTAATGGTGGATTCGGCCTTGAGACGCTGCTGCTCCCGAGCATTGCTGCGATCCTTTTCTTCGCGCAGAGAATCCTTGACCATTTTCGTTGCTGCCTTGACCATTCTGAGGTCATCCTGAAGTTTGCTGATGGTATCCTGAGCCTCGCGGGTCTGCTCTTCTCGAGCGGCGCTCCGGTCCTTTTCATGCTGCAGCGACTCTTCGACCAACTTCGTTGCCGCTCTGGTGTTTTTGAGGTCCTCCTGGAGCTTGACGATGGTCGACTGCGCCTTGAAATTTTCCTTTCGGGCGCGTCTGATTTCCTTCTCCCACAGAGCCTGGGTGTGTGCGTGTGTCTCCTTTGCGCGTCCATAGTTTTCCTGCGGAGGCAGAGAAAGCCAGCATTAGCTTGAACCCCCATTGACGGGACGATAGTAAAGTATAACAAAGAGGCGCCATGCTGCAGGATCAGGGATGAAAAACAGGGGCCATGCAGCACGGTGACGTAGCCCATAGTCATGAGGCTATTGGTCTTGTTGATGTCGTTTTGCTGGGCTTACCATGACAGTCTCCAACCGCTCGCCCACCCTCCTCTCGCGCTCCTTGCCCTCCTCAATCTCCTGGCGCAGGTCTCTGGCCTCGTCCTTGAGGCGCCGCATCTCGGCCTCGGCCTCCTCGCGCCCCAGCATGGCCCGCTTGAGCGCCGCGTCGGCCGTCTTGCGCTCCAGCTGCCGCGACTGCGCGCTCATGCTGTTGAACTGGCTGATCTTGTCGTGGACGGGCGAGGCGAGGCCCTCTGACCCGGGGGCGCGGAGGGTGGCGAAGAGAGTGTTGTTGTCGCGGCGCTGGTTCACGCGGTCGGGCGAGGCCATCTGGAGGGGTCCGCCAGCGGCCGCGGGGGAGTCGGGCAGACTCGACAGCTCTTCCATTTGCTGGTGGCTCTGAGCTGCTATGGAGCGGTTGTTTATCGTGGATTCTCCGCGTCGCGATTCGTTGCGATGTCTCGTTCCTCTGCCTGCCTCGAGGGCTGATTCGGGGCGCTGATGATGGTGGTTTTTGCAGGATGAAGCCTTACTCCGTAATACCGGGCAGGGTCGTGCATTTGTGGGTTGTTAATAATACAAATACAGGCAAGGTGCCAATGCTGTTTACCAATTTCCACCATAAAGAGTGTGCCAAGTGGGCTCCTGTTGCTGTGGTGACGCCCCGCTCGGCGATGCCCAACTCAACATGCAAAGCACTCGAACTTGCAACGTCAAAGAGCAACGCCTGGCGTGTGCATAGCCCTCATTTAGCCAGCATTTAGCCGCGCTCGTCGTTTCTGCTGCCGTCTCTTGAAAACGGCCCTGACGTCTTTGGAGTTTGCTGTCAAGAACCCCGGCGTGTGCGCAACAGGCCAATCACCTCGTCCCAGCATCAGCAACTGCCAACGGGGAGCTCTGCTTTCCCGATCCCGCCAAAAGATTCCGCTTATACGAGTTAGAATATTGAAGCAAGCAACTTCTTGAGGCCACGATTCTCTGCCATCTTACGTACCATTTTCACTCTCCTCTTCCCCCCCCCCCCCCAAGCAAGCCCCAAATCAAAGAGCTGCAATAATACAGCTGAACAGCAGAAAAGGGCACAGAGCCATGGCGGACTCGGAACTGCGGCAGCGCAAGCCGCAACACGCCGCTGCGGAAGACCCCATCGAGCCGGCCAGGAGGAAGAAGACGGCCCAGCAGCTGGTCGACGAGGAGGAAAAGTACACGTACTGGGTCGACGCCCTGCGCGTCATCAGCTTCCTATTCCTGGCGTCGTGCGCGCTGAGCTACTGGATCAGCAACGGCGAGAGCTTCTTCTGGGGCCAGAAGCACAAGCCCAACTACATGAGGGTGGACTGGTGGAAGGCCAAATGGGTGCGTCGCTTCCAACTCTTTGGTCGTATAACATGATAGCAAGCAAAGCAGCAGAAGACGGATGTGTGATATTTTTGCTAACTCGAAATGCACCAACACACAGAACGGCCCCCTCTACCTCACCCCCGAGCAGCTCTCCGCCTACGACGGCAGCGACCCCTCCAAGCCCGTCTACATCGCCATCAACGGCACCATCTTCGACGTCTCCGCCGGCCGCCACATCTACGGGCCCGGCGGCTCCTACCACTACTTCGCCGGCTGCGACGCCGCGCGCGCCTTCGTCACGGGCTGCTTCGCCGAGGACCGCACCCCCGACATGCGCGGCGTCGAGGACATGTTCCTGCCCCTCGACGACCCCGAGACGGACGCCCAGTGGACCGCCGCCGAGATGGAGGCGCTCAAGGCCAGGGAGCGCGCCGCCGCGCGGAAGCAGGTGCACGACGCGCTGCGCCACTGGGTCAACTTCTTTGGCAACAGCAAGAAGTACCATCGGGTTGGCTTTGTCAAGAGGGACGACGGGTGGCTGGAGAGGGAGCCGAGGAGGGAGCTTTGTGCGGCGGCGCAGCAGGGACGGTCGAAGAGGAAGCCCAGGCATGGGGGGGAGGACAAGTAGATTGCCCACTTGGATGCGAGGAAGACACCTGAACAAGGACAGCAGGCATTGGTATCAACTGTTATTGCCAAGGGAATCATGCCCAGCTTCTGGAAAATAGACACTTTTTGAACGGAACCAAATGACTTTCCAAGCCGTCCAACTTGGTACGCACAAAGACTCAAGGTGAATCATTCAATCCCTCTCATGATCCCTTACCCTATGCTCACCGAGAATCGACCTACAAGAACGGCTGAACAGGCCAAGCTTGGACAACTCCTATCGGATCTCGTAAAGACATCACAAAGCACCGAATCGATCAGTAGTAGAGAAAATAACCCCTTTTATTGTAACAAGGTTATCCAGATACATTTACACACATGGTCCCTTATTAGCATGTGCTCTTTAACCCAGGACTCTCGCTGTCCTTTTCCCACTTCCATGAAAACCTTTGTGGATCAGATTAACTTTCCATGCCACTTCAGAAAAAAATATGATTGAACATAAAGAAAAAACCCCTTGCTTGCAAGGAAGATGCAGATGTGAATAAACCCCCTCCACTCATTGGCCCCAAAATGGTATTACAGATCGTCGTCTCGCTTTTTTTTATACAAACCGTCCCCGCCGTCATTGCCGTCACGCCGGTCCCGCTTATAGCAGAGCAAAGGCAGCACCAAGAGCCAGCAGCAGGCTGGTGGAAACGCCGACGGATGAGGCAGCGCTCTTGGGGATGCCGGTGTCTGTGGCACCGCCAGGGAGAACACCAGTGCCAGAGGGCGCGCCGGGGGTGACTGAGGAAGGAGGAGCGAGGACGTTGGTGGGCTCGGCGGCCGAGGGAGCGGCCGAGGGAACAGCGGGAGAATCGCTGCCAGAGCCAGAGCCAGAGCCTGAGCTGGCGCTGGGGGCGGGAGCTGAGCCGGAGCCGGAGCTGGGCGAAGCGGCAGGGGGAGCGGCAGCAGCGCCGCCCTGAGCATTAGCAGCAGCACTTCGGTAGTTGGTAAGAGAACGGGTGGCGTTGGCAGAGGTGCTGCAGGTTTAGCAATGTCAGTGTCTATGCTCTACCACAAGTGGCGCTCTGTAAAAGTACTCACTTCTCGTTGATGACCATGCTCATTCCGGCGGAGCAGTGCTTGGCTTGGCTGCAGAAGATCCAGATGGGCTTGGTGTCGTTGATCTGGACGGTGAAGACGGGGATCTCCTTCTTGGAGGCTCCGGCAGCAACGGGCATGTAGCTGGACCAGATGCCAGCGATGGAGCTGTTGACCTGGTGGATGGGCGTGCAAGGGTGGTCAAAGTCGGACTGCGTGACGGTGTGGTTGCCGGCCCAGAACTGGAACTGGACCATGGACCCAGGAGCAGCCTTGATGTTGTCGGGGTAGTACTTGAGAGCGGGCTGACCGGCCATGCCAGCCATGGGGTTCTGGCCAACGGAGACGACCTGGACATCAACGGCTAGAGATGTGTTAGCATTGCAGCTGACAAGATATCTGAACAATAGCAGCAAGTGAACATACCCTGGGTGACGGCAGCAAAGGCCGCGAGGAGGAGAGTAGAGAACTGCATCTTGAATAGAGGGCTTTTTGTTGTTTTTTTGAAGAATAGGCCGGCCTAAAGAGAGAGTACCAGACTTCCCAAGATAAAACCTAATGGAAAAGAGAGAGCGGAAAGGAGGAGAAGAAAGCAAGATTAATTCTTGAATGGGTAAGAGAATGTGAAGTGATAGAACCAGCAAAGGACTAGCCTTTGGAATGTAAATGTAAACTGGATAGAGAAGAGAAGAGAAGAGAAAGTAAGGAGACAAAAGGAAACCCCACGGACGAACAGTAGAACGATTGTTGAGAGAAAGAGAGAAAAGAAACAAGCGAAACACGATGGCTTTTATGAATCTCTCATCTCTCTGTTCATGCCATCCTCAACATCCGCATTAGCGTCCTTGCACCTTGTCCCAAGGGGCAGTCGTCTAGGAGGCGCCTATCAAAGGTCCTCAAACAACGGGGCATGGCTTCACTTCAAGGCAGCTCATAGCGTGTATGAGACCTGTTTGGCCATGGACGCTGGCCTCGAATCGCCCGGGTCCAGACAACTGGCCGGCCCAGCGCAATCGGGTCTGCGAAACATAGCAGCCCCAGATGCTGTCTGGATGCCGGGCATGGGTCTCGACGGCAGGGGTCAGCCTCCGTGGAGCAGACAATGGCAAGCCGCTAGCCTCACTCCGGCCTGTGGCTTGCACGGACAGCCTTCTCGTCGTCGTCGACACGCTGAGCAACCGAGACCCTGGCATTGTCGGCCCCGACAGAGGCAATCTCTCACACTGACTAGCCGTCATGGGCGCCGGGCGACTGTGAAGCCGGAATTGCACTCGTTGCAGCACCGCCGCGCCACACCTAGTTGTGAGGGGCCGCGCCGGGGTCTGATGTCCAAGCTGCTTCAAGTGGGAGCGCCTCCGACACACGCGAGACATCGTCGGTTTCAGCGCAGCTAAACGCAGACGACTGCAGCAAAGCGCAGGGCCGCGACCGCACTAAAACCCCAATGGGCCTCTTGTTTCCCAATCGTCCAAACAACCTCTTTTTTAAGAACGTGCCTGGCGGTTTGGGACTCCATGGCGCTGTCAACGGGAGACAGGCAGAAGCTGTAAACGCCACAAAACCCCTGCCCGACATGTGCAGAATCCGGGCTATTGTCACGTTAGTGAAACGCTCTAGGTAACCGACCGCCAAGCGCCGCAACACTGAGATCAAAAGTCACGATGCTCTTAAACATTTGTCAAACAACCAATTGATAGCCGCATCGGGTGGGATACTGTCTGGATGGCCAAGTTACCAAATCAGAAGCTGTACATGACAAAGTTCATTGAAGGCCATGGATTCGTTTCTTGTACTTGAACTGTCTGTCGATGGAACCGATGATACGACTTGTCAGTGGTGATGCGCTGCTCAACAGTCATGCAGAGGGTGAGACGCTGTCTGAATCCTCGAGACAGGACGTGGCTTATTCCAGACAAGCGTAACAAGGAACCATGTCTGGCCAGCAAAGCGTCCATATGTTTCCACCGCGGCCGCGGACGAATCTGCAGTGAACCTAGCTTCGGAAACACTGCGTTTCATGCACATCGTCTCTCGCATGCTCCTCTGCCAAGTTGGATGCCTCCAACCGCTAACAGCGCTGTCTGATCCTTTTGTGCCAGATGAAACAGTGGATTGGACCTTGTTCGTTGCATCGAGTATCGCCGTCAAGAGGCGAATGTCGAGCCTGTCAATGGCCGATCCAAAGACCAGGAGGAGTCGGAAACGCGTGTGATCTGCCTGGTTGCTCGGACTGGGCCTCGAAGCAGTAGATGATGGATCCCTGGTAGTCTAAGCAACGGCAATTGCTCCGTGACATACTTAAACTTGGCACCCCTAGCTAGAGATCCAGCAACAGCTGAGGCGCGACCTTTTCCAAGTCCTCAACCTTGAAAAGAACCAGTCAGCATTGTCCACTCGGAGCAGCTCTAACAAGACGACAGAGCAGGATGTACTCCCGACGGAACTCACCTCTAGAAACCCTCCCCTCTTCTCAACGGCCGTCCTCGCAATCGCCTCCCGAACAAAGATGTCGACGTACTTGCCCACCGCCGCATTGGCATCCCTCGACATTCTCGTAGCGTCCTTTGTGAAGAACTCGTGCAGAATCCGCGTCAAGAGCGCTCTCGGGATGGTCTTTTCGGGCTCCGCGGGCTCTGGCTCGACGGGCCTCTTTTGCTTCGGCTCCTCTGCCTGGTCATCTGAAGACTCGAAAGGGTTGCTGGACTCTGAAGCGGCGCGAGCAGCTGGTTGAGCTTTGCTTCCCTTGGCCGGCCGGCCGCGACCTGCTCCGGTGGAAGACGATTGTTTAGGCGGCATTGGCACCAGTTACTCTGTGACCGATTTGATATGGTGCTTCTGCAGCGTTCGCGTACGCAGTTAGACACAAGGTATCTCCAGCTTGCAGCGTCTTGGAGGGATTGCAATCAGGCGACACAATGTTGGGTGATCCGCGTTGCTGTAGCTTGGTAGAGCTCGGCCTGCTGGTTTCCAAATCGCCGTTACGATACGCCGTCTTAGTCAGCAGCGCACTACACCATTGCCACGAGGCTGAGGGCAAGGCACGAAGCCGAGGAAAATGCATCTCGAGCCACGGCACACATGCGTCCTGAGGATGTCACATCAGAGCGGTCATTGCATTTTGAATCTCTAAATCAAGGGAACTTGCATTGGTGTATAATTACAGCGACCTAAGGTAGAAAGCACGGCAAGAGCCGAAACGACTAATACCTACGCCAGTGCCCCATGCCAGTCTAACCCCGCAAATAGCAACCGTTACACAGGTCGGGATATCTGGCCCCAACTTCCCTCAATACCCTCCATTCCGGTCTCCTTTTTGATCAACCAGTGGACGCCAGACTACACCCACCTGGCCGATAAACCCCATCTCCGCGTGGCGACGCAGGGAGAATGTCTATACAGAACGTAGAAAAAGCAATTTAACCAGAGCCACCGCTGAAGGCCTTTCCGAAGAGGAGGATCTGGAGCTGGTCGTAGATGGACAGGACACCAGCGCCGGCAACACCACGGAGGATGTTGGCACCGGCACCGTTGAACAGGGAGCGGACACCGTTCTTGGCAATGATCTGGCGGGCGGCATCGAAGGAGTTCTTGTACTTGACAGCCTCACCAGAGGTCATCATCATTCGTCGTCGGATAGTGTCAAGAGGGTAGGCAGCGATACCGGCGGCAGTGGTGACGCACCATCCGAGAGCGAAAGAGGCAAGGAAGTTGTTCTGGAGAGTACCGACCAGGAGAACGGGCTTGAAGGAGTCGTACATGCCGAAGTAGAGACCACGGTAGACAATGATACCAGCGACGGAGGGCATGAAACCACGGTACAGACCGGCAATACCGTCGGAAGCGAGGGTCTTGCGGTAGACGTCAACGAGACCGTTGAACTGGCGCTCACCACCCTTCTTGGCGCTCTTGGCATCGTTGGCCAGACGGGTACGGGCGTAATCCAGAGAGTAGACGAAAAGCATGGAAGTGGCACCAGCAGCCTGGTAGAGAGCATCAGCATCAAGCACGCGAGGTTGAGGGATATTCAAGAGCGGAGAGAAAACTTACACCACCAGAGGCCAGGTTACCGAGCATCCACATGCCGTAGCCATCACGGTCCTTCTTGAAGCCGAACATCTTCTTGAACTTGTCACGGAAAGCAAAGTTCAGGGCCTGGGTAGGGAAGTATCGGATGACGTTGGCAGTGTTACCACGCCAAAGGGACAGGACACCCTCATCGGCGGCGGTACGCTTGAAGCAGTCGGTGATACCGGTGTAGCGGCGGTCGAGACGACCGGACTTGATCATCTCATCCTATCGTGGAGGTTAGAACAAGAGTTTTCCTTGACCAAAGGGTCTGGAGAGAGGGTGGCAAACCTGGTTCTGGATGAGGAGCTTGACACGCTCGATGGGGGCAGCGGCGGTCTTGGAGACGGCAGCGGAGACACCACCCACTGTAGAGTGTTTGTCAGTTCGACTTGTTCAAATGCCGCAATGCATATTGATGCTATCATGCTGAAACCGATTCAGCATCCAAGGCAAGACTTACTCAGGAAGTCGGCCACGAAGGGCTGTGAGAAAATGGTTAGCGGTCAGGTTTCACATGTGCCAACGCGATGCAGAAAATTTTTCCAAGCCAGACACACGACGGCAGATTCCCCCAGATCGATGGTGAGGCCCAAATAGACATCATTGCACGGCATCTCAACATCGTCTCGGCGATTCAATTGATGATGCGTGCAAGAATGTCTCTCGGCGTCGATTCGGAATCTCACGCGGCGTATCCCTGGCAATGGAGGGGACAGGGCGGGCAGAATGGACGAGGCAAAAAGGCAGGCAGAGTCGACTTACCGGCATGCCCAGGACCTTTTGAGGCTTCTCAGAAGACATTTTGACTGAGGTGCAAACGCTTTCCCGGAAACAAAGAAAGGATTGAGGGGAGATGGAGATGAAAGGAGGAAGAGGAGGACACTTGGGGGAGTCGAGCGAAATAAATTCTGCACCGACGGGCGAATGGCTTTTCTGGGGGGAGGGAAAAAAAATTGCAGCGGGTCTCGAAGGGGACACTTTTTCAGAGCGACTCTTTCCGGCCGCACTAGCGCTGCAGGCTTGGGCCTTGGGCCGCCTTCCACCTCCAGTGCCACGGCAACAGCGAAGGTACCTCGTGGAGGCTACAGCGATACAGCGGCAGCCTGAGGCAGCGCGCCTGTGGAGGGCCGTGCCAGCGGCCTTAGCAGGCACGCTGGGGACTGGGCTTCAGGCGCCTATTTCCACTGCGACCCGGACCTCTGCTTTTCCGCAGTCCAACTTCTGGGCGGCACTGTGCCTGTACAACCCACAACGCCGGCGCCTTGATGTCACATTGGGTGCAAAGCAGAACTTGCACCCGGTTCGCCCCGATCTTGGTCTCCCGCCGAGGCCACCCGTCAGTGCGAAACTTGCTGCCAAACCTGCCTCGTCCTGGCATCCCCGAAACACCCTGAGGCCAAAGTACTCCGTACAGACGGACGCAGCTCACGCACTTTGCACGCTTTTCCTCGTCTTTCGCACGCAGAGACTCGTCACCGCTTCAGCCATCGTCCCGGCTGGTGCAGGTACGTGTACGGAGGCCTATCAGGACTGCCCGCCGCGGGAGCCAGTAGTACTCCGTACCTGCAAGTCCAGCTGGCATGGAGAGTACATGTAGGTATGGACAAATATAGCTCGTCATTTTTAGCCGCATGGCCTTGGTTGCTTGGGTCTTGCAGCCATCAATGGTAGGTATGGCACCGGAATCTTCTAGAGGCCAAGTCCGCCCCTTGAACCCTTCAGAGATCCTCAGAAGTCTGGGAGATAAGAGCAATGGAAGGCTTGGTTAGCGGCTACTCCGGCTGCCGTGTCTGACTTGGCCAGTTAAAAAAATCAAGGAGTGCCACCATCTCGAGATTCTTGCCGCCATTGCCAACATCTCTCGCATTGCCACACCGTTGCCGCCGATCTGACCGGCCGTGAGAAGCCATCCCGCGTACTCCGGCTCCACAATTGCCAGGGAGGCCCGAGGTCCTCAGATTCTCCAGCCTTGCTGGTTACAACGGATATTATGGACACTGACGGCTTCGGTTCAGGAGCCGCCGGCTCGCCAATATTTGCCTCACGGCCTCGTCTTGTCGGCAGCACGGGCGAAGGAATAATCCCAAAATTCTAATTGGCTCTATCGCCGTTTCAGGGGCAAAGGTTTGTGCGGTGCCTATCAGAAGAGGAAATATCAAAGAACCGAGGAAGAAAAGAATGCACTGCGGCGTGCGTCCCTAAGCGTATCCCAGATGGAGATTGCTGCTCAGGCACAAAGTAGATACTAGTATCGGATTTGGCGCCTGAACAGTCGCTGCGGACCTTGAGTAGGAAACTTCCACGGATATCTCAATGCTTTCTTCTCGGAGAGCGCATAGACTACTCTTTGTATCTTGTGCACGCCTTACTTTGTCCCAGGTTGGGGACCTTGATAGCGCTGCCTTCACTCAGGAATCGATTGGTCGACCGCCACTTGCAGATGCCTTATACGAGTCCACAAGATTGCTCCAACGAAGAGAAGACCTCAGCTTCTAAAGTTTGATAAGATGGACGACGCCTCGCAATCTATGAGGTCCATTTTCTTTGATGCAATTGCATGAAATCCGGCAGCAATGAATTCGTCCATCAACACCCAGAACAACTGAAGGCAAAGATGTCTACGGAGTACCGAGAAGGGTGGCGCCGAAGGGCTTGAAACTGTGGCTGACGAGTGCCCAGCAGAGTCGCAATCTGCTTTGATATGATTGGACAGGCGTCCAACACCATTTGTGGAAATATCACATTCACAGAGAATTGGCATAAATCACTTTGAGTCTCAGAACGGTCCAAAGAGCCCCGGGACAGCATCCGAATGATATCTTTCTATCCATACCGTAGGTACGAATTATTATGGCACAGAGAATACTGAGACCGTGGAGGTAGAGTGGTCAAAAGCTTGTTACGCCTGAATTCCATGTTTCATGGGACACTGCAGTCATAGTATCCAATTCGAAAATCTACGCTGCAGTGTACCATGTCGACGCAGTTGCGCATGTGATAGAGAGAACAGGTATCTAATAGTCGGATAGGCCGGTCAACGTCACAGCAATAACCATCAGCCCGTCCTCATAAGCTCATCACACACAAGACTTTGCAGTTGAAAATGTGCGTCACACTGGGCCGAGAGGGTATCTCGCGTCGGGTTTGGTCATTTTTTGAAGTTCTTCATTCCGTAGCCATATGCTAAAGCGTTTCCGATCCCATGAAAATGCTACACCGAGCATGAAAAAGCGTCCCAACCGAGGCTGTATGTTCCTCGTGTATCATCCTCTGCTCTCATGGCCCATTTTCTTCCTTTCAGACCAACCAGGCGCCAAATCTCAATGCTTTAACTTTCAAACATGGTGGTAAATTTACTCGCCGATGGCACGGGCTGCGCATTGTCGTTAGTACATTTTGTTCTTCTTCGTCCGCACAAAGGGAGCAACTGGTGAGCCCTACTGTAGATCTTCATCTTGCTATGAGTGATGACCGGCTTGATCATGCCCTTCTCCTCGAGGTCGCGGATGCACTGGCGGGCGAGGGAGCCGTTGATCTTCATTCGGTCGACCAGGACGGCAACGGTGACGAGGCGGTAGGACTGAACATCCTTGTAGAGCTTCTCGGAGATGTTCTTGTCGAGCAGGACGGCGTGCTGGGCCTTGTCCTTGACCTTGCCCTTGGACCACTTCTTCTTTTGCTTCTTTGCTCCAGCTGCGGGCGCCTGTGAGGTTTCAAACAATCAGCAAGTGCATCGCGATCGCGGCGCCCATCTCGACATTCATCATGGTCGGGCGGCGGCGGCGTTGGGCGTTCATATCATACCATTTTGTCTGTGATGTGCTTGGCTTGTCGACAGAGGAGAAGGTGGAGGAATTGGAATTTTTGGCGACGACTTAGAGTAGCCCTTGCCGCTTGCGCGGTTTGCCCACTTCCGAATGCACCAGGGCAGCCGAGCCCTAACCGAACGTGGGTGCAGGGTACGTACCTAACTTTTCGCGCCGTCTGATTCGCCCAATGCACACACCACCAAAATTTCCCCTTCCACGCCCGACCCGAGCCCACCTTCAACCTCTTGAAAAATCACATCTCGACAAGTCCGCACCACTGACCGCAGTCCCGCCCCCCAGCACCGGAATTCCTCGACTGCAAATAGCCCAAGATGTCTGACGGCGAAATCGAGATCGAAAACTCTGTCGTTACCGACGCCCTCCCCAAGGATGTTGTCAAGGAGGTCGGCAACGTCAAGCTGTTCAACAAGTGGGACTACGATGTCGAGGTCCGCGACATCTCCCTGACGTACGTCGAAAACCCGCGATCGAGGCGAGATTGGAGGAATTTTTGATCAACAAAAATATACTGCCTTTCTCGTTGTGACACATTGGAGGGGCTACAGAAATGCTGATGGATTGATTGCAAACAGCGACTACATTTCCCTGCGAAACCCCGTCTACGTCACCCACTCTGCTGGCCGATATGCCGTCAAGCGATTCCGCAAGGCCAACTGCCCCATCATTGAGCGGTTGACCAACTCGCTCATGATGCACGGTCGCAACAACGGCAAGAAGCTGATGGCTGTCCGCATCGTCGCTCACGCCTTCGAGATCGTACGTACTTGCACGCGACCCCCGGGGGAGGAACATGAAGATGAAGAAGAACGAGGCCAAGAACGAGGAGAGGTCGCATTGGAGAACTCGTACTAACAGCCTTCCTTCTACAGATTCACCTCATGACCGACCAAAACCCCATCCAGGTTGCCGTTGACGCCATTGTCAATTGCGGTCCCCGTGAAGACTCTACCCGAATCGGTTCCGCCGGTACCGTCCGTCGTCAGGCCGTCGATGTCTCCCCCCTGAGGAGAGTCAACCAGGCCATTGCCCTGCTCACCACCGGTGCCCGTGAGGCCGCTTTCCGAAACGTCAAGTCCATTGCCGAGTGCTTGGCTGAGGAGCTGATCAACGCCGCCAAGGGCAGCAGCAACTCATACGCTATCAAGAAGAAGGACGAGCTGGAGCGTGTCGCCAAGAGCAACCGATAAAGGTTGCGCGGGTGGGTTACCTGGCAGGAATGGAGTGTGGCTTTTGGGCGTGGATCAGGCATATTTCAGAATTGCATTTTGCGTTCGGGTCTGGGAACGCGGACATGGATTTATCTCAGATGGCTCCTAGAGTCTGAATAAAAAAGCTGGGCTCAAAAAGGGCTGTTATGAATCATGCCTATGGTGTCTCTAATTTACCATACCCTTTTTTTCTTATTTTTTCCTTATCTGTGATTATCAAATGGGGGTCAAATAAAAAGTTCAAAAGTGCAACAGGTAGCATCAGATAAAGAAAAGAAAGAGTCAAAAAAGTTACGTCGTTAACCGTAGGTAAAGTGGAGGAATTTCTTTCTTCTTCTTTTTTTTTTTTTCAATCTTGAGACATGCTCTCTAATCGTGTCTGTACGTAGGCAGATCTTCATATAAGATGTCTGCTTCACACTACCATTTTACTCAGCCCGCATCATGACCCTTAGATCCGAATATCTTTCTCGCCAATGTCCAGACGAAGAAACATGCCAACATGAGGAATGCCTTCTTCATACCACTTGCCCATACCCTCGTCAATCTCAAATCCCCACTTCGCCCATGCTTTAGCAACCTGCTCTTGAGCGTGGACGCAAACAAGGCCCTTCCATTGCGGCGCTTCGGTCTCCGTAGCTGATCCCAGCTGCTCGAGACCCAGTTCCCTGATGCTAGGATCAAAGAATGACGGGTTTTTCTTGATCCAGTCCAGTGCGCTCCTCACAAGCTGGCTTGCAAAGCTGAAGCCTCGATAGTTCTTGATGACGGCCAATCGTCCAAGCTTGATATACGGCTCCTTCCCATCATGAAAAGTCGTCGGGCGATCTTTGACAAACGGGCGAGATGACGGGACCGTGGTGCCATTCTCTTCGCCCTTCAGTACGCCGTTCCAGTACTCGCCTCCTGGCTTCGGGTGAGGATCATGAGGGAAGGGAACCATGCGGATGGTTCCCACGGGAGTGCTTCGGGTCGAGCTCTTGCGCGGCCGCACAATTTCTCCCTGTTCATTGCGAATCTCGGGCACCTCCGTCTTGTTGACGCTGACGTAGATGACCCAGTGGCAGGATCGCGGGTCATCGATGTCGAATTCGTTGTCCTGCGGAACGCCCTGTTCTTTGACAAAGACTTCTTCGCGGACCTCCATCGCGTCGAGGAATGTCCTGGGGATTGTTGCGGGTATCTTGCTTCGAGGGACGCCGAGCTGGAAGCCCTCGAGCTTGCTAGGCTCGAGAAAGCTGACGAAGGGAGTTCCCATGGTGTCTACCTCGTTGGTGGTGATCTGGCAGCGAGATTGATGCTATTGCGATGTAGAGATGGGGGAAGTGGCCGAGATATAGGCGCAGACGTGTTACTGTGTAAGCTTTGCACCTCATTCACTTCGTCTTTGCAAGGAGGAAGAAAATGCCTTGAAAGGAAGAAATACGGCTTGCCAAGACTTTATGCAGTTGCGGGTCGATTGTAGATGTTCGGCAGTTTAACTTTCATGCTGCCTTCTGCGCTGCACGTGGCTTCCGTTACTCTGATTTTGAGTCATACTGGGGAAAATGAGGTGATGGTTGATTGTACGGGAAGTGAAACAGATGCGCCGCCAAAGGTGCAGGTGCGAGCGGCATTGGGCATGAGGGGCGTGTGGTGTGCGGCTTCCCGCCAAGTGAATTGATCCGCGTGATAATGTTCTCTTTTTTCATGACATGTTCATGCCTTATCTCAGGTATTGAATGGTATGATGTCACTCAATGGAAATCAGTTCATTCTGCGCAGGTTATACGAGTCCAATGGTTAGCATTGAGTCATCTGTAACGGGTTGAGGGTGTTGGTGGTATACTAATGCGGTAGTCAGAAGCACCGATGCGCGGAGCAAAAGGTGGGCGTGGGGAAGCTCCGTACGGAGTGCTACACTGCACCTGCAACTGCCGTTGGAATCTATTGACGTGGAGGTCAGTGCTTCGATATTGAGTTAGGTAACAAGTGAGAATCAAGCATCGAGCTCTTCAGAAACTGGTAGTTTATGGCAGAATGCGCGCTGATACTATACCTGGCCGTCATCGGTGCCTTGGACATCCAGCTGCGTACAAGCACTCTATTGCAGATAACTCGGGGGTTCCCTAGGGCATACCCATCAGTGCATGGCAAGCATTTTCGTGGTTATAAAAGGTTCAATGGATTTAAATCGGGTAGATACTTAGGTAGGTAGTCTGGTAGTATTGTTGCCCGCTGACGTGAGGTCTGTATGTAAGTGTGTTGGCCCACATGAGAGCTCTCACAATTCTGGTATAGAACATGGTGATCTCCCGCAAATTCAATTACTACTCTAGAACCATTAACTTACTATAACCGCTTCCCTCTCGTGTAGACATTGAAGCTGGTTTAATAGCATGACTGTACATCCAAGGTATGGAATGGTCTGGGCCGGAGTGGGCTTCAGCCGTGCACTGAGATAGTCGATATCAGGGTCCTCTGTGTCCGGGACAGTGGGATAAGGTGACTACCTACCTAGTTCTTGCCTATCACAGGTACTACTACGATAGGTGCACGAAGCCAAGACGTGGGATCATATCCCGGCACTTGAAGCTCGGTATATTCATAATCTAAGTCTTACGACGGCGTCAAGGCCAATGCTAACTAGGTAGTACATGTATGCAGCTACTATATTAGAGGTTCAATCTCCATCAAATATCAGATCAATGTGCTTCAGACTCACGGGTAGCAGATGCCCACATGCCGCCATGAAACAACATACAACTACCTACATGAAGAAATGTCCGTCGGCCGGCCGGCCTGAGCACACCTGGTCCGATCAATTACACGTATAATGCACCTCTTAGGCAGCTCCGTAATGCTGCATTGTACATAATCGATAAGCGACGAGTTTGATTGCCAGCATGGGTCAGGGGTGCGAAAGAGATCAAATCAAGAGATCGACCAAGGACGGGAGCACGGAGTAGCCAGAAGGATGGCGGCAAAGGACGGGTAATGCTCCGGGCAGAAGGGAAGACTCGAGTGCCGGCAGGGCGGCTCGATGGAGACGAAGTTCTCAAAGCCTTGAAGATGGACATGAGAGGTCTGAATAGTATGGAGTATCAATGTGAAGTGGGTACGGGCGCGGGCTTGAGAGGGACGTGTAGGCCACTTGTTCATCGTGAAGACACAGGTGACATTCGACAATTTGTCGGGCAGGCACACAAACAAACAAACAGATACTGCTGTCCATAACGAGAGAGCCCGCCGGCGCTGCTTGCGACATCGCTTGACGTTCCTGCATCGGGTGCTCCGTGACATACGGTAGGTACCTGGCTTCGAGTGTGATGGCTGTGACGCTGATGCGCCCACAGGTTCACGACCGCGCCGCTTTGGGACAGGAGGTGACAAGCAGTTCGTCTACGGGAGGATTTGTGCTGCAGCGCGTCCATCCCGGTTGAGCTGAGTGCTGACATCGGATGCATGCTGTTGCATGCTTCGAGGTCGGGGATGGCACACAGAGACCCATCCCCTGGCAGCGAACCCCTGTCGGCAGCCCATCCGTACCTGAACCTACGGGAGAGGGCTCAGCACTCTCTCCACTGGAGATGGCCCCGTACAAGCTTCAAGGTTCCCCCCAAGCCCCCCCGTCCAGGGAGCCCACCGCTGATTCCTAGCGGCCACAGGAGCGGGGCTGCAGCACCCACCATCACTGAAGCGTTGGTACCTGCTGCTGCTGGGAGGGATCACCTAGACTGAGGTGTGATGAGCCTGAATGTGAGAGATTGAACCTTGGAACACCCACGATTCCCCTCTGCCGTGATTTATCTTTTTTGTCTGAGATTTTGTGTCACAACTTGCGTCTGTTTGAGAGAGCCTTGCAGAGCACGGTGCATCTTGGCCTTGCGATACTTGATACCTTTTTTGTTCACGGCTTTGCATTCTGATCAGCATTGGGCGGATGCTTTAATTGCGCTATCGGATCGCTATCTCTTCGCCAGCGTGCATAATTTGGTCGTGTTTGCTCAGGGGTTCTCGAAAGGGCCAGCCGCCAGCCAACCGGCGCTCTGCAAACGAACTTCACGCATCGAATCGTAAGTCTTTCTAGAAGGGCAAAAAGAGTCCATCGGCTTCGAAGTCTCCTTCTCGAGTCCTAGGATCGCGCCGCCGGTCAACGAATCTCGTCGGAAACTGAGTATCAACACGCTAGGCGCCGCCATATATCAACACCACCGCGTTTCCACGTCGAAGCTTGATGCGTTCGCAACTTCCGTCCACCAGCGTGTTGCTTCGTCGAGCCTTGCCAATCAGCAAGCCGCTGCCGACGGCTAGAGGATAGCCGCTGCTGCCGGGCCCAATCGAACCGTATTCTCGACAGAGGCCGACATCTCGACTTCTCAATGCCCTGGCAGCCTCTCCCCCGGATCGCCTTCGCCGTCGCGACCTACCCTTTCACAGCCGCGAGCCCGGCCGACCTCCCGCTCGAAATCGGCGATGAGCTCTACATAATCGAAGAGACGCCAGACGGCAACTGGCTGCGCGGCTATCTCGTTGCTCCTCCCAGTCTGCTTGCTGGCCTGACCTCCGTCAAGGGGCAGACGCTGGAAGCTCGCGTTTTCAGTGGTATCTTTCCGAGAAGCTGCGTGGAAGTGCGAGAGCTGCTTGGCGAGGCCGACGAAAGACACGACGAGGATTTTGCGAGCGACAGCGGCATCGATGACCGCCCGGGTAGCGACTCTGCCAAGAGCGGCATCATCGACGGCATAGAGTCGGGCAAGGGACAAGGCCAGGACAAGAAGCATGATTCGGCGCAGTGGAACAAGACTTTGCGAGACCTCACAGGGGATGGGGTCAAGAACCTCTCAGTCCCCGTTCGCAGAGACCCCAATGCGCCTCGACCCCCAGCGCCTGTGCCAATGCTCAAGATTGGCGACGAGACGCCAACCTCGGTCGACGAGCCACTGGTTGACGAAATCGCGTCGTGCTTGCGAGAGTGGCACTCCAAATACCTCCATGAGCTGCTTCTTTCTCGGCAGTATGCAAAGCTCGAGAAGCTATCGCAGCTCGTCAACTCCTTGAACCTCCACCGCCAGCAGTTCCTCTACAATGTCCTCACCGCGTACGAATATGAACAACTGAGAGAGAAGACGGTCTGGGACCTCGTCACCGTCAACAAGCTATGTGGTGGTGAGGTGGTTGTGCGTGACCCCTCGGCGCGCGGCAGAGTCCTGACGGCTGATGACTCTGTTGTCGATGTTACCAAGCTCCAGTCGGTTATGAGCCTGCTCGATGAGCCTCCCCAGGCCGCCTCTGAGCTTACGAGCTTGAACCACATCTTGCTGGACGTTAAGGGATTCGCAGGAAGCTCTACCGAAGAGACGACGATTGTGGCTTACCTGGTCAGCAAGCCTCAATATGCCAAGGGAACCAACCTCTCCGAGTGTTTCAGTATCGAGATCCCCGCCGGCGGTTCGATCAGCGGTCTTGCACAGAGCACCAGCACCCGAACACTCTTCACCGATCTCTCTGCGCATGACATTGGTGAGGCTCCCGCCGCCGACTCGGAGCTATACCTTGTTGTGAAGGTGTTAGCAGCACAGCACATCTTCATCCCCCAGCCCCTGTCTCGGTCCGGCACCGACAGCAGCTTTACGAGAGAAAACGTCAAAACGCCTCCCGCAAGCTCAGGGAAGGCTTCTAGGAGGAGCATGATGTGGGGGAGCAAGACTGCGCGAACCGCCTTTTCGCGAGGAAACGCAATGAACAAGATGGAACCCCTTTCAGAGCAGCACGAAGCGAGACCCTACTCCAATACTCGCCTGGACAGCCAAGACGGGAGTAGCAAGCCGCCAAGCAGTGCCGGGTCCAGGAGTACCACGGATATTCATGAAACGGGACAAACTGTCGAGCGTACTGTTGGCGTTGGAGTCTTGAAGCTCAACTCCATCATGAAGCAGTCAGAAGAGGTTGAGCAGGTTGTCACCATCTGGTCGCCAGCGCTCGGTTACTCCCAGACCGACAGAGATGCCGCTGAAGAATTTGACCCCCTAATCCGCGAGCTGATCACCAGTACGTCCGGTCAGTATGAGAAGTCGAGGAGCGGCGAGCGGCTGCAGGTCTCTCTCAGGAAGTTCCAGCATCCGGATGCCGATGGCCTGATCAAGGCCACGCCCACCATCCTATCTGGCGTATCGAAGACGAGCAGGATCGGCTTTGCTGCCGCACCAACCAAGCCAAGATCGGATATATATCTCACGCTCAACATTGCCGCTTTGGCAAAGCAGCACATGATATCCAGGTATGCGGGCAGCGCAATTAACCTGCCTAGCACGGTCAGCGGGGCGAACTTGCAGCTCACGCTCGAGATCCGCCAATCGTCTGGTGAACGCTTTGAGAGATGCATTTTCACATCTTCCAATACCGAGGCCCTCACCACGTTCAAGTCCTGTGCCGTGGAAAGGGGAGAAGCCTGGAACCAGACTCTCCGCCTGTCGCTGCAGCCAAGCGACGTAATGAATGCTCACGTCGTCATGTTTTTGTCGGACATGCCAAACCCACCATTTGCCGTTGCGCACATGCCTCTGTGGGAGGACCAAGCCTTCATTCGCGATGGACCTCATGGGCTCTTGCTCTATAAAATAGACGAATTCACCTCGACTGCGCAGGCCGGCCCCTCAGGTAAGGGTGGATATCTTGCCGTCCCGTGGGCACCGCGAGGCAAAGATGACCGCTCGGTGGATGTGACTGGGCCGCTTGCCGTGATGATGGTAGACACCTACCTCTGCAGCACGAGGTTCTCTCAGGACAGAATTATCCTGGGGCTTCTCAAGTGGAAAGACTTGCCCAAAGACGAGATACCCGCCATCCTGAAACAAGTCGTGTTTGTCTCAGAAATTGAAGTCGTGAAGCTCCTCAGCGACGTGCTGGACGGGCTCTTTGGAATCCTTGTGGAGTACTCTGGGAATGACGAATACGAAGATCTAGTGTTTACGGCTCTGGTTAGAGTGCTTGGAATCGTACACGATCGACGGTTCAACCTGGCTCCCCTGGTGGACCATTATGCGGAAACTCAGTTCAACTACCCCTTTGCTACCCCTTGTCTCATACAGTCCTTCATCCGGCTGCTCAAACGTCACGCAGAGCCCGAGACAGCCCGCAAGCTGCGTGCGACTTTCAAGGTTGTGAGACACATTCTAAAGTTCATCACGCAGTCCCGAGGCCAACAAAAGGTAAAGGAGGCGGAGATAGGAATCCAGTCCTCCGCTCAAGGACTTACCAGGAGCCTCCGGAGCATCTTCAAAGCACTCGACTCGATGATGAGGAAGTCGGCGCCAGCACTTGTTGGTAACCAAACGCTGGCGGTGCAACATTTCCACACCTGGCTGCCGGAGCTGACGGGCCTCTTGACGACGGAGGAGATCCTGCATATTGCCATTGACTTTATGGACTCGTGCAAAGATGTCAAGGGCAAGCTCATCATTTACAAGCTGTGTCTTATCATCAACTACTCTAAGCTAGACCTATTTGCTCATCCGGAGCAGAAATCTGCCCTGAGTGCCAACACTGTGCGATGGATCTCTCCTCACTGGGGTCACACCGAAGAGGTCAATGATCAGTGGCGGGAGCAGATTCGCCTATGTTGTTCCATTGTCGCCTGCCAGATCGACCATCTGGGCCCGGAAATACCTGACCATATCCCCAACATTGTCGACTCGTACCTCACAATCCTCTCCTCGCCACAGAAACCAAGAAACAAGCTTTCACTCCTATTCCCGTCATCGTATCCTTTCCCTACGAAACCAACAGCGGAGGAGATCACCTTTGATGAGTCTCTGGCAGAATTGGCCGCGGTGCTTTCCGCCCTGGCGAATTCTCCGTCGGGCATGCAGCTCGAGCTGGCTTCCGAGGACGACCTGACGACACTTTTGGAGAATCTGCTCAGAGTGCAGATGAGCATTCTGACCGGCGAAGCGTTCCCAAGTGGATGGCTAAGTGTGCTCATCTATCACCACAAGTCGACGATGCGCATCCTGCAGTACCTCGCTGGCATACTTCTAGAATCCTGCCTACCCGACCCTGACGAGGCAGAATCTTTCAACACCGAGCTCTGGAAGATGTTCTTCACAACCCTGCTGAAGCTTGTTGGAAGCTCCTCGCTCGCTCTGGAGACGTTCCCTGAACAGAAGAGAAGAGCTGTGTGGAAGATTGCTGGCGATGTACGAGAACACGGAGCTGATCTCTTGAGGAGCATGTGGGAGGCTATCGGCTGGGAAACCACTCCAGAGGAGCGTGAGAAATACGGACTCAGCAATATTGGTGGCTATCAGGTGCAATACGTACCAACTCTGGTTGGCCCAATTGTAGAGTTGTGCCTGAGTGTTCACGAAGGCCTCCGCAGAATGGCGGTGGAGGTTCTGCAGACCATGATTGTCAGTGAGTGGACCTTGAGCGAGGACTTGTCTGTGATACAGACGGAGCTCATCGACTCACTGGACACTTACTTCAAGTCGAACCCCCTCACGGAGAGCACTCTCCAGAAGCTATTCATTGCAGAGCTGCTTGAACGATTCCAGCCCCTCTCAAAGGCTGCTGACGAGCCCCTCTACGCGGCTGTGTGTGAACTTGTCGCCACTTTGGACGAGTTCCTAGATCTGCTGGTAGCTGTACACAGCGGTGGTGATGGCAGCGGCGAAGCCTCCAACATCATCAACCGACTTCGGCTCATGGAGTTCTTGCGTGACATGCAGAAGGAGGAGATCTTCATCCGCTATGTCCATCAGCTGGCTAAGCTGCAGGCCGAGTCAGGGAACCACACCGAGGCTGGCCTGGCGCTTCGTCTTCATGCGGATCTCTATGAATGGGATCCGATTGGGCATGTTTCGGCATTGGCCGATCCAGAGTTCCCGGCGCAGTCTCCATTCGAGCGCAAGGAGAAGATCTACTTTGAGATGATCAAGCATTTCGAAGACGGAGATTCGTGGAGCAACGCCTTGACTGCGTACAAGGAGCTCCAGGTACAGTATGAGACTAACGTGTACGACTTTGCCAAGCTGGCCAGAGCTGGGCGGGCCATCGCAACGATTTACGAGAGCATTTCTAAAAGCGAAAAGGTTACGCCCAAATACTACAAGGTGGCCTTCAAAGGCCTTGGATTCGCTACCTCCATACGCGACAAGGAATTCGTTTATGAAGGATCCCCGTCTGAACGTGCCGCGGCCTTTACAGACCGCATACAGGAGCAATATCCGTCAGCTCAGATCATCACGGGTGGTGACGTTGACGAGATGGAAGGCCAGTTCTTGGTTGTTTCGGCTCTGACGCCACACCGGGACCTCTCTCATCAAGTCTACCAGAGAGTTCGAGTGCCTCATATTGTCCGAGACTTCTTACTGTCTTCCCATCCCCAGGTCTTCTCCGTGACCACCAAGAGAAATACTTCGGGACCAGTGCAGGAGCATTACGCGGAGAAGTTGGTTTTCACGACTGCTGAGCCTTTCCCCACCCTCCTTCGCCGAAGCGAGATCGTCGAGACCCGCGAGGTCAGGCTTACCGCCCACGAAACCGCCCTGGAACGCATTTCTAGGAAGACGCAGGAGATGACTCTGCTGGAACGCCGATTGGCGGAGGGCGATGACTCGGTCGCCCAGCAGCTTGTTGACGCCGTCACCGTTTCCGTCAGTCCAGCTTCGGAGAATAGCGTAGTACAATACCGCAAACTGGTCCCCGAAACGACAAGGAGCGAAGAGGAAGAAGATGGGACGGACTCTGACGAGGAGGGAGAGGACGAAGTTGAGCTTGATCCTCAAGAGACCGCAATCAAGATGACTTTGGTGGACCACGCCATGATGCTCAAGAGATGCTTGGCACTCATTTCTCGAAATAAGAACCAAGCTATTTCCCGAGCTTACTCGGAGCTTCAAGGCTGTAAGTGACGTTTTTTCCTTCTGTGTGTGACAGTACAGATGGCTAACAGGTACTAGATTTTGAGGCAACCTTTGCACCTGAGATTGCAATATTCGCGCCCCCACAGCCAGTCTTGCAGCCCATCTCAACACCGTCCCCTACCTGGAGAGGCTCAACACCAGGCGGCGACAAGGGCCCGCAATGGACGAGCGTTGCTGTTCCGGTGAGCGGGGTGAAAGCTGAAGAAGCGACGGTGATTCGACAGATTACGCCTCGGCAACGCGGCGCGCGGCTGAGTTTCTTGGGCGGCCGGAAGAAGGAGCTGGACGGCCAAGAAGCCGGCGATGAAGCCAACAGCAACGCAGGCGATGTAAAAACGCACACGCGCGGGCTCAGCAAAGACGCTGCTCTCCTTAAGCTGGCCCAGGTTCAGGCCAAGGATCATGCCCATCAAGACAGCGGCAGGGAGAGGCGAGGTGGCTCGGTTGGCCGGGTGAGCCTGGACATGTTGACCAGGGACCGGCCGTCCATGGATGAGCCTGAAACCAAGAAGAAGCACAGCGTGAGGAAGAGGTTCAGCTTGCTCAAGCTTGGCATGAAGCATCATAAGCCAGGAGGGGTGATGGGCAGCCTGGACGAGGAGCAGTAGTCCGCACTGCTTGCTGCTCTGTATTTGCCTTTTACACTCACACGGACGTACCTGATCGTCGACTACACGATGATAGAGCTACCGCTACAGGCCGAGTAGCCCGACAAGTGTTGATCCAATCTAGGACCAACCTTTTCAGTGTCCCTTTATGGGAGGGAGACACTATTAAGCAATACCGACATACAAATGTACAAACACGAAACAAGAGACACGCAGACAAAACAGGCGAGAGCGACGAACAAGATATATAGAAGGGGTGTGCAGGATCTTTGCTTCATTGGTTTCCTTTGCAACTGTTTAGTATCCCATCCTGGCGGAAAGAAAGAAGGCTTCTGGAACTTCTTTTGGCTCGGGATATGTCGATACCTCTCTCATTGTTGTCACGCTTTCCTTTTTTCTCTACATGACAGAAAAGAAAGGCATTCTGGATCTGCCTCATTACATACAACCAACCGGCCTGGACTATACATACATCTCTTGTGTACTATTTCCACTCTCTCTCCGCCCGATATATATCTGCCTCTCACTCCCTCTCCTTTTTATACCTCCCCTTTTTATACCTCCCCTTTTTCTCCTCCTCTCTTTGATTAAAGAAATGGCCGGGTGTTCTGGATAAGCCACAATGGGCCTCAAAAACTACGCATCGGCTGCCGCTTTTTTCCTTTCCTTTCCCTGTTCTACTCTCTATCTTTCTTTTTTTTTTTTTTCTGCATTAGGCACTGTTTCGTTTCGATACGTCCCTTTTGTTGTCTGTATAACTAGTTTTTTTCCCCTTGTTTTGTGTACTTTTGTCTTTTTCTTTCGTCTTTTCTACATTTGATGATATCTTGTCTGTATGTCGCTGTTCGATACAAAATACTCTCTCGTGCCATTATTTTGTTTTGTTGGTCCTCTTTTTTTTTCCTGTTTTAACGTGCTTTTTTCGTTGTTATTATTCTCGTCTTTGTTTGAGAAAAGGCGTGTAGAGGAAAGGGGAGAAGGGAGATGGGAGGGGGGAAGGGGGATTGCGGGCTCATATATAAATGCTTTTTCGTTTTTTCCTTTTCCCCTTTGATATATAGCGATACAGAAAGTGTGGAACATTTCTTCGCGTTGTACTAAGATATAGTAATTCATATTCTTTTCAGTTTCTTCAGTTTGTATTTCTTCACATTTTGCTTGAATGATGGAAATCTGTTACGGTATTTCGTAGAATGTTCTTCGTTGTTGGTTGTGACCGTGACCGTGACGGTGGCCTCATGAAGTGCCTACTATAGGGCAGGCAAGGCAGTTCTATATACAGACTGTGTTCACTACCTAGATAGTATCCCGAGTTGACCTCTGACTCCCCCATAGATAAGCCAGCAAATACGATGAAAAGAAATAGATTAGAAAAGCAAAGAAGGAAGAAAGAATCAGCTAGGTCTAGGTTGCTCAGACATATTCGCAGGTAACCGTATCATATCGCTGATCTGCACTCTCACAGTTAGCCCATCTTGCTTCATGGGACAAGGCACACGGAAAGAGGGAAGAATACATACTATTGTATAGGAGCGTATACGTGGTCGAAGCAGACAGATAGACGGCTTCAATCTTGCAACTGAGCTCATAGTACATCTGCCCGTCTTTGCCCTGGCGGCGGTTGAGCAGGTGCTCGGGAATGTGGCTCACGTCCGCCTCGACGTGGGCCAACACTTGCACGTTCGCGTTCCTGTCGATGGGGGCCTCCTCGGATGTTTGGTCGCAGTAGATGGTCATACGCATCTTGCGGATACGACCGTGTGCCACGAGGCCCGTCCAGACGAACGATGTGATGTATGGCTCATTCTCAGAGACGGCGTCACCCTTTGTTCGTTGCGTTAGCTTGCTTGGCCGCAATGGGAATGGGGGGAGGGGAATGCATACTTTGCGGATGAACCATTCCATGGCGTTTACCTTATAATAGCCCTCCATACCGCTCCAGCTCTTCTTTTCGGAGATGTGGCTATGGATCCTTTCATCATACTTGGTCCGCCACTCCGTGCCGTAGTGCTTCCTCGCTTTGCGATTCTGAACCTTGACCATGGTGAGAGTGTCGGGCGCGCTGTTGGCAAGACCCTTCATGACTGCCCCCTGCACGACGGCCTGCCAGGCATTCGGGGGCTGCATGATCTGGATAGACTTGTCCACAGCGTTCCTCAGACGCTCTTTGAGGTAGTTGGAGGCACCAAAGCCGCCAACCAAGAGCACGGCGCGGATGGGCACGTTGCTAACAGTGATCTGATCCTTGACGAGCTTGATGACTTCCAGGACGACGGGTTCAAAGATGGTGTTCAAGTCGGAGGCCTTGAGAGCATACCGGCCGCGGTTGATTCCGAGAGCCCTGTTGTTGGCCAGGCCACCGACGGGGATGGTATACGTCTCGTCGGGTTGAGCCGCCAAGGTAAACTGGCGCTTGACCTTCTTTTCAAAGACCTCCATGGCCTCGGCGAGAACCTCCTCGTCGAAGCCGTCCTCCTTGCCCAGCTTGGACTTGAGAAACTTGGCAAACCGCATGTTGAGAAAGGTCGAGCCGCAGAGGGCACCAGAGCCGGGGGCGGCCTCTTGGACCTGGAGAATGGGCTTCAGCCCGGTAATTGTGTAGGAAATGAGATCGACAGTGCCGCCACCGGCGTCGACGACGACAACGGTTTCGCCAATCTTGAGACCATGGGGATCCAGTCCGTGCAGGGCGTAGATGGCGGCAGCTTCGGGTTCGGAGACGAGATGGATGAGGGTTCTGGACGAACCGGGGGCTAGGGGAAGGGACTGGACGGCCTTTTGGCAGGCCTTCTTGGTCTTGTCCTTGGCAAGGTCGCTCCAGATAGCAGGCACGGTGACGACGAACTCCAGAGGGGTGCTTTTGACGACGCTTTCGCCCAGCTTCTCGCGCAGGGTATAGAGGAGATGCTCGCAGAGGGCACCCAGATAATCGGCGACGAGCCTATCAGCATCTCTGCCTCCTCGGGCACCATCATTGGCAACGGCCTGGCCAATGTTTTTCAAGGAAGGATCCAGGTCACTGTGGACATGATGTCAGTTCAAGGCACGTCACCCGATACCGAAGGAGACGGAGATGGCTTACAGCTTGAACCACTCGATGACTTCGTCCTGGGGAGCGGTAATGGGGATAGAGAAACCCCACTGAACCTCGTCCTTTGCATAGCGTAGCTTGGTAGGCACCTTGTCCGAAGACTCACCCTCGCGAGTGGTCTTGCTAATGGGCCAGGTGGTGATGGCTGTGCGCCTGTCGGGCCGCTGAGTCTCTGCCCAGGCGACACCGGAGTAGGTGGTGCCAAAATCGATGCCCACGATGATCTTGCGATCGGTGATGGAGAGCTTATCGAACTCCATGCTAAGTAACTGTGCAAGGGCCGCGATGGATGACTGAATGGAAGAGAGGAAAAGGAGCGAAGGTCACACGAGAATGCAGATGAAGCGGAAGAGTCCAAGGATGAGCCGGCCAGCTGGCTTTCAATGCTCTATCTATATCTGCCAGGCAGGGCACAGCTGGCAAGTGATTGGAGAGGCAAGGCGCAGGTCAAAGTGCAGAAGGCCGAGGGCCAAGATTGCTCTGGGGGCACAAGGGCAACAAAGGACGGCACGTATAAGTGAAGCGGATGAGAGGAAGCTCTGCTTCAGAGAGGCGCAGCTGCGGATAGGCACAGAGAGGCGAGCGATGGTGTTAGGTATGGTTTAGGATTCAAGTAAAGTAGATGTTATGTGTCTTGTTTGGTGCTAGAGCCGGCGCTTCTTGACCTCGGCGGCACACGAAGCTGGAAAGTGATGATAGGATAGGATAGGATACGGCAGCAAACAGAGCAGCAGGATCCCCCAGATGCCCAAGCAAGCGGCACGACAAGGAAGCCCGAGCGTGCTGGTGGTGCCTTGCAAGAGCCTCCGGAGTCCAGATGGCATTCAGCTGGGTGGGGCTGATGCCTGGGCGAGTCTCGTCACTGTCACGGAGTGTGTCGATGTTGGCGAAGTCGAAGTCGAAGTACAGACGAAAGCGAGGTTGAGATCAAGGGCGTTGTACACGTCGATGGACTTGTAGCGGTACTTGGGCTCTGCATGGCGTCAGTGGTGCTAGCGAGGACAGGACAGCAATGTGATGGCATGATGGCGAGGCAGGGAAGAAGAAAGCGAGGCAGCAAGTCTGCCTTGTCTCGACGCAGGAAGGATTCGAGCATGAATGGAGAGGTGGTGAGGGGGAAGATTCGAGTGGATGGAGTCACAGCATGCGATACGCACTTGGAGGCGAGGGGCGTGCTTCTAGAAGAGGCGGGGGGCCTACAGCGGGCTGCTAGCGGTCGGATGGCGCTGTTTACTGGACCAGCGCTGCAGGGGCTTCCGCGGGGGGGCGCCTGTGCTAGCGCTTGTAGCGGCTGCGGAGGATGGAGGGGTTAGTGGACTTGATGGCGGGGAGCTGGAGCTCTCAATGCTTGCTTTGACGGCTGTGTCTGTACAACGTGTAAGTGGGCAGTTTGTGGTTGATGCAAGCATGGACAAAGGCCAATGAATGGATTTATGTCTGCTTCTGGACACTGCCGAGTTTGTCTGAGTGGAGGATGTAGATAAGGCCAGCTTCGGTGATGGATGGGGCAAATGGTTGGCATGGATCGAATATGCCAGCAACATGAAGCCAGTAAGAGCAAAGCGAGAAAGCCCGGCACCTTATGTACGTCTACTCGCAGCAAAAGAAGCATTTCAGAGGCGATGTGAGCAGTCAGTTTTGACGTAGATAATATGACCTGTCTGGTTCACTGGATGTTGATCCAGGGTACAGAGCTTCGAGTACATCTACATGTGGTGCTTTGAATCGAGCTGCCAACCCAACGTCCCGTGGCGCAGTGTGGCTGCAAACACAGTGTACATGTTTCCATCGAATGAGCTCTCTCTTGTTCCTGGGATCATGGCTACATATACAAAAGAGGTAAGATAGGCTCAATCAAGCTTAGGCAATAAATACCTAGTAGGTAGATAGGTATTGCAGACCGTGGACTGGTTTCGTGATTTCAGAGGACGAGCACGTGGTCCGAGTGAGTGAGTCAACACAGTCGAGCGGAGCATGTCACCGTGCAAGAACTAGAGATATTCGACTTCAAGACACACAAAAGACAAAGGTCGAGGAAGGAGAAGAAATTCAGTGTGAAAACAGCCAGTATCTCAATGGGCGTGTCAAGTTGGGAGTATACCATCGACCGATACGGCCAGCGTGCTGCTGAAATTCTGGCAGCGGAATGGCATCTCGGGTTCACCGCGTTTGGCGGACCGCCGGTTCACTTCAAGATTGTAAGCCCAAACGAAAGAGTGTGAGGATGAGCTATTTCTGACATGGATTCAAGCTCCACGACAGGTTTGTTACCAAGTTGAGATGGGTCGATGATCAAATGGTTCGTGCCCCCCTCTCCTCCGGCCGCAGTTCGTGAGAGGTATCAAACTCACCTGGTCGTTCAACGGTAGTATCAAGAACTCTTTGGCGTTGCTCAAGCTCTATGCGGCCCGGCTAGTACCAAGATGCTGTATTGCATCAACTTGATCCACGATGGATTCTTTGGTGCCATCCTTGGATTGCTCATATGGAGGTAAGGATTCAAAACACCCATTGCGCATGTCGACAGAACAGCAATCGCTAACGACCTCGATAGTCTCCCTGGAGCACTGGGCATGTTCGGCCTCGCCGTTGGCGTTTCCAGCATCGAGTCGGCTCTCCCTAGTGCCGTCTATGCTCTCTTATCGGGCCTCAACGCGGCCACTGTTGGCATCATTGCCCTGGCAGCGGTGCAGCTCTCCAACGCAGCCGTGACGGACAAACTCGCCAGGACATTGGTGTTTCTGAGCGGCGCTGCCGGGATGCTGTACAACGCCCTCTGGTACTTTCCGCTGCTGATGTTCCTCTGTGGTGTTGCGGCAGTTGTGCATGATTACCGCTGGCTGCATAAGCCGATCAAGGCGGCAGTGGCTTTGTTCAGCTGGAGAAAGAAGGAGGCAGGTGTTGTTGAAGTGGAAGCCGTGTCACCTGGAACAGACACGCAACTCAGAGTCTCCAGGGGCAAAGAACCTGTGCAAGAAGTGCAGCACTCCTCTTCCGCCGGGCCTTCGAGCGCCGCCGTCACGGGCCCTGGTGCTGACCAGATGATTTCCAACTCGGAGAGCGAGGAGAGGCCCTTTGGAGCCGAATCGGAGCCCAGGGTGATTCCGCGAGAACATCGCCTGAACTTGTCCTGGAAAGTCGGAACAGCCATCATCGCAGGCTTCTTCGCCACCTTCATTGCGGTCCTGGTCTTGCGCAGCGTCTTGCCCTACCCGCCTCTCCTGTACCGCCTCTTCGCCAACCTGTACCTTGCAGGCACCATCATCTTCGGTGGCGGACCCGTCGTCATCCCGCTGCTTCGAGAATACATCGTCGCCGAAGGCTGGGTCAGCCCGCGAGACTTTCTGATCGGGCTCGCGATTGCCCAAGCGTTCCCGGGCCCCAACTTCAACTTTGCCGTCTTCTTGGGCACGCTCGCTGCCTCCAACAGCGGCAAGCCCTCGGTTGCCGGAGCGACCATCGCCTTTGTGGGCATCTTCTTCCCGGGCATCGCCCTCGTCCACGGGACCATGGGCGTATGGGGGTCGCTGCGGAGCAAACGGTGGGTGAAGTCTGGGCTGAGGGGCGTGAATGCCGGTGCCGTCGGGCTGATTTACACAGCCGTGTATCGGATCTGGCAGGTTGGATATCTGGATGAAGGGTTCCAGTCTGGGCGAAGCCTGGGGGACGATCCGTGGTGGGTTGTCGTCACAGCCACGGCGTATGTCGGGGGCAGATATTATGGAGTTTCGGCGCCTGTGGCCATTCTTCTAGGAGCCGTGATGGGGCTTGTTCGGTATGGTGTTGTGGTTGGTCGAGGCTAAGAATGGCCTGCAATGATACGGAGTCCAATGTCTGAAGCCAAAGTTGATGACAGTGCGTATATGACATATATGCGCACTGTATCAGCCACAGACGTTGGAACTTCAAGTTCGTGTGCATGCACTTTCACACTCCATCCTTGTCGGCAGTGTCAAGTTTTTGTCACATGTAAATTCCATGTAGTCGTTGTATGATTCATGTATTGTTAGGCTTTGTTGAAACTCAATTCCGTCGTCCGGGAAGGGGTGATAAACTCAAGGTTCTGTAACGGCCCGGACTGCTGAATACGACTTCATGATTGACTCACAAGCCGCAGCATTCGGTACGTCGACAGGGCATCAGCCCACGTACCCTCCGGACCCTCTCCCACGCAGTGATTCGAGACAAGGCGACAGGGAATGCCATCAAACTGCACAAAGTGAATCCGGACCACTATCGGCCTCCCGCGCCACAGAGATGGGCCGCGGACAAGCTCTCCGTTTCCCCTCCTCCTGTGGACGGCAAGCGACTTGTGAGGCTGAATTCCACTAGTAGTCGCCCATCGCCCTGCATTTCTGGGATCATGGTTCCCACGAAGGAGGGGGCGTGCAGCGTCGGCTTGAGTGGTGAGGGCGGTTGATTGCACTGCTGCTGTACAGGTACTCGCTTGATGCGGTTCTGTGAGCATGCGCCGTGAGGAGAAACAAGACCACTGACAGGCAGACTGCGCATGGCTTCGTGGTTGCTTCAGCCCCGGGCTGTGAACTCCAGCACTCGAGGTTGAGCTGCAAGCGCCGCCATCACAGGCAGGGTAACAACAGCGCAGAGCAGAGCAGCGCAGATCTGACATTGGATCGCGAGCTCTGGCAGTTCTTACTTTATTCTTCCTTTTCTTCATCGAGAACTCTCTTTGTCGTTGCCTGTGCGGAAACCCAATATCAATCTTTGTTCTGCGTCGCTTGTTTCCCAACTTGGCCACAACGGGATTGCTGCCGTACAGTATATCGGACAGCTTCAAAGTGCCTGTTAAGCGTTCTCGTCCAGTCTTTCTGCGCTGCACAGACCACATAGACACAGACTGTCATGTCTCCCGAGAAGAGCCAAGGGACCATCCCTCTCGACAACATGCGAAGCCGACCGTCAAGTGGCCCCGCGGTGCTGCGGAAGGAGAGGAAACCGACCAAGCCAGGCGACAAGGACAAGGACAAGGACAAGGACAAAGATAAGGACAGAGACGAGGAGCCCCGGGAGCGAACAAAAGACGGCAAGAAAGAGAAAGAGGCAGAAAAGGGCGACGACAAGCCGCGGGAGGACCAGGAGCACAAGGACGACGCTCCCGGCGGCCGTGAAGTAGACCTCCTCGATTTCGACGCAGACGAAGTCACCGAGCCCATGGCCCCAGACCTCGTCCCAGCGAGGAGATACAACCTCACCGTGCCCGCCCCGTTCCTCGAGACCACCAACTCGGACGACGATTTCGACATGATCCCCGGCTCCATCTACGCATCGGCAGAGAGCTTCGACAGCATGGAGAGCGAGAGCTTCACGCCGCGGCGACGCCTCTCCAACGGCGGCGGCGGGCCGCGCGACGAGCAGCGAGACCAGGCGCAGCTCAAGCAGCTCCGGGACACCGTCATCAGGCTCACGGTCGAGAAGGAGAGCGCCGAGAGGGAGGCGGCCAAGGCGATGCAGCAGCTGCAGGAGCTGAAGCATCTGCTCAGCTCGGACATGGAGGCGATTGCCAAGGACGCAGATTCGCTTGGCCAGGAGATCAGCCGGCTCAAGGAGGAGAATCACGTCTTGCGGGAGGAGTTGAACGATGCGCAGTCACACATTTTCAGTCTCCAGCCGTATCGGAAAGACCTCACGCCAGAGGAAGTAGGACGGGTAAGTGCTCTGCATATTGGTTGATCCTGATCAAACTATCTCGAGTTATTTCCTAGCTGCTTTTCAACCTTTTACTGACGCCCGCCTATAGCAATACGATGACCTCGTCGAGCAGGTCCAGGACTGGGTTCAGAAGTTCATGGACCCCTGGCTGGATGACTACGAGGCGGGCATCGAGGCCCTCGCCACCAGCGCTCGCAAGCAGTCTGGTGAAGCCGCCAAATTTAGGAAGACTCTACATAAGTATCCGGATCTTGTCCACGGCTGCATGTTCCCTGAGACGGACGAGGACGTCATCGTCGCCATCATCATGCGATATCTCAACGACCACATCTTCCAAAAGGTCCTCTACGGCTCTGCGCAGCAGTACACCGAGATGGTGAGCTTTATCGAGACGCAGATGCAGAGTGCAGTCGAGCCCAAGCGAGGTAACGTTTGCTCATGAACAACGGAGAGATGCGTGGGCCAACAAGAAACTGACAATGGCGGGCTCTTCTGAAACAGACTTGTTTGCCGTTCGAACATGGACGGCAGAAAGCTACAGCGCCCTGATGAGCGCGCCGCAGTTCAAGGGCGTGCGCACACGCCGCAGCAGGGACATGACGCTGGACCTGGCAGACATGCTGCGCATCTTCTGCAAGAAGGACAAGTTCACGTGGTTCTGCCAGAACATGGAGGAGAACTGCATCAAGCCCGCCATGGCGCTGTACGAGAAGATCCAGGTCTCGACGCACCACTTCTACCTCGACATCCAGCCGTACATCTCGTGGAGCGGCTCCCGCCTGTCCCTGTCGCCCGAGTTCGTCGAGAGCATCGACAAGCTCGACTGCCGCAACATCCTGCAGAACAGAAAGGCCTTCAACATGGCCAAGCTGGACCCGCAGCCTACGAAGAAGGACCTGTACGCGAACATGCTCAACGTGTGCACCGTGGTGCCGGCGCTGTACATCCGCCAGATCGGGCAGCGCGACGCCATCAAGGCGCCGTCGGTGGTGCGCAAGCAGCAGGTGCTGGTGGCCTGGGGGCCGGAGGAGAAGAGGGACAAGTTCGTGGAGGAGGGCGACCCGTCGCTCGTCGCGTTTCTGTGCTTCCCCAAGACGCGGAAGAGGTCGGACGGATGGCTGGGCTGACTGAGGGATTGCACCACCTACTACATGGCTCCTGACTAGGCAGCAGATGCGAGTACTACGGGCGGATAGACAGACGCAGGCAGAATTTCTTGTAGATGGACATGCACACCTTTGGATGCAGTGGCTACAGTATGTACTACATGTATCTGATAGGGGTTTGTGGTCTGGGGGTTTAGTGGGATTGGAGCAACGTGAGGCACATGCATGGGGTGAAACCAAGCCTCATGTACGGGGGGGAGCATGTGGGCGTTTACAGGGCGCCGGGGACCATCTCTCTCTCTCTCTCTTTCTGTCCCTTTTTCATATGTTGAGCCGTCTATATAGGGCATATCTTGGCTGCTGCCACATGTATTCATGTTTCCTTGGCTGTTGTTGATAGGACGGCCGCGTTGCCACGTATTCGATCGATAAGTGCGTCTTTCATAAGGTCGGTAGGCAGGCAGATCATGTTCCGCGGTGGAAATCGTCTCGACCCCTTTCATGTTCGTTTGAAACCAGCTGCTTTTCATTGGGTGCCTCTAGTATCTCGCGCCTGTATAGGTAGGCAATGCCACGTTGACCCGTCTTTTCTCCCACTCGCGGCGATTGCCTTTACCGATGGTCGGGAGGATTCAACGACTTCCATCCTCCTCCCCTCACCAGGGGGGGGTGTGAGGCTTAGCTTCAGTATTAGAGTGCATGCACACTCCTCCTCGACCCCTGTAAGGCACACTTGAAGTTCTATCCACGATTTACGGCGGATCCAATGCAAGCAAGTACCTGTACAACTATCCATCTCCGCCTCTACCTGACATCACAGGCGAAAACCTTATCCGACCTCTGCATTCAGGAGCGCATCAGCGGCCACTCACAGCGTGTCGAGTGCTGCGTCCAGGCTGAGTGCATGCCGCTGACAGCCTGCTGGAGCGCTATGGGCAGCAGCTAGACCGAGGCGCTGGGGTGTCTCGTCCGCAGCCCGCTATCGATCGTGAGGCATCATTTGATTGATCCCCCCCGGCTTCAGCTTGGCGGCTCGACTCGACTGTTTGCCGTGCGGCGGATTGGATGCGCTCTGTGTGAGTACGTAGTACTAAGGTAGGTCTTAGTAGGTACTTACCTCTTCGAAGTCCAGCTACATACCTACACTTAGCTTACAGCCTGCCTTCTGTTTGTCTGTTCCCAGTTTCTTCCTTTCCCTCCTCAATGTGAATCGTCTGCTTCAAGTTTCAGCCTCTTCTTCTTCAATATCAGCTTCTCCTACCTATTATCAACTACTTTCTGTATCTCTTCCTACTATATGCATCATTAACAACATCTTGCTTCAACCCGAATCTACGCCATCGCCGGCCGAGTCACATCCCTGCTCTCCCTCCTGCTTTCATGTCCGCCGTATAACAGCTGGACCAGGCATGTTCCGGTCCCTCAGGAAAAAGACAAGGGCTGCTTTCCACAGACGAAAGACCAACAGGCCCATTGACACCACCGTCACCCAAGTGACTGCTGCTCCCGCCGACGTCGACTGGCCCTTCCAGAACGACTCCTCATATCCGCCGTCCACGCACTCGCCGGCGACTAACACCGTCACCGTCCCGCCCGGCGCGGATCCAGAGCAGCCGGCTCCTGTTGGGACATCTCGGCAGTTTAGCTTTGAGGGAGATAATACGAGCGCTGGCGAGGAGTCTTCGCTTGACCTTTCTTATCTGGAGGAGCCTTTGTCTGAGGAGGAGCGAGTTGATGCTGCGGAGGTTGAGGGTGCGGAAGAAGAGCCGAAGGAAGACCAGTATACCACAAAGTACGTTCCGTTTGTGGAGACTTCGGCGATGAGGAACAACATGTTTGTCCATGCGGCTACTTCGCATTATGGCATGGTGAATCCTGCCATAATGAGTGGCTTTGGGGACGACGACGACGACTCGATATGGCTGGTGGATGACGAGGATTCGGGAGAGGAGCCTGCAGTCGAGAGAGGAGGGGAAGCAGATGGAAATGAAGAGGAAGAAAGAGAAGAAGCAGAAGAGGACGAGCCGGATGTTGCTCTACCAGCAACAAGTCAACCTCCAGTGGTGCCAAGCGCGTCTGAAACAGCTTCAAAGGCTGGCCCGCAGACTGGATTCACATATCGCATCAACTATGCCCTATTTGATGACGACGAGTTTGCAAGCTCACAGGAAGAAGAGACGGCTCGCACCTCGCTGAGCGCGGGAAGGGCCCCCAGCCTGCGTCCGCGGTCTTCTGGCACCGACTCAACGGAACACTTGAGTGTCGACAACGAATCTCGACGTGCCGGTGGAAGCCGAGTCGAGATCGGTGCCTCTAATGGCTCCTCCACCCCTGGCACAAGCAATCCGTACGTCGATCTCCTTGAGCAGCAAGACTCCGCCATGACGGTGGCGTATCAACGCCGTCTGGCCTTGTCCGAAAGACGTGGAGATGATGAAGCTGATGAATTCAGGTAGGCTCCCCGAACCTCTGCCCCTTTCGCCTCCCAGCACACCCGGTTCCTTTTGCTTTTAAAGATGCATAGACTAGATGAGGGCTACCTTGCTATCATGAGCGCCATGTCGAATTCCTCTGTTTTATTTCACTTAATGATCAATGTCGATTAGCTTCGGACAGCGGTATCAAAAAGACCCAGACACGCTGGCTGTCCTCGTTACGCATCAGCGTGTGCCGGCAGACCATGCGGCAGGGGATCGGGATTGTTCAATATGTGCTGATACTAAGGAATCCGTTCTATTCCCCCGATTCTCCCCAACCGCGTTCTGCGAACACCCCCCTACGGCATGCCTCGAGTGTCTGGAGAGGTCTATTCGGTCTGATCTTACCAGCAAGATCTGGACGGATATCAGATGTCCAGAGTGCCGTGGATTGTTAGACTATACAGACATTCAGCGCTATGCTGATGAGGAGACATTCAAGAGGTGCGTTCACCAGAGTTCTTTGACCCTCAGGTACATATGAATCTAACGCACAAGGTCAGATACGAGACGCTTGCTCTCCGAGCTGCCATGGCTGAGGCCGACAACTTTTTCTGGTGCACCTCCGGCTGCGGCTCTGGTCAGATACATGAGACCGGCCATGAACTGCCCATTGTCATATGCCTCCACTGCAACCACCGGTCTTGCTTCCACCACAACGTCGCCTGGCACCAGGGCTTAACGTGTGACGAGTACGATCAGCTGCTCGCCGATCCGGACAACTTCCGTTCCAGGCTTGAAATCGACAACGATGCGTGGGCAGCTTCGCAGGAAGCACAACTTAATGCAGACAGAGCCATGGCCCAGGGCTTGCTGGAAGAAGAAAGAAGAGCTGCGGAGATGAGACAGCAGAGAGAGCGCGAGGAGAGAGAAAGAACGAGAAGAGCGATCGAACTGGCGAGGCAAATTGCGGCAAGGAGAAAGGTAGAGGAGGAGATGAACAGGATAACCATTGGGAGGACGACGAAGCCGTGTCCCGGGTGCGGATGGGCAATTGAAAAGAATGATGGATGGTACGTCTACTGACTCTACTCTGCCCCTATTTGCCATGTTTGGTGGTTGTCTGGAAAGAAAAGGTTGCTAACAAGATTTGCATAGCTCGCATATGACTTGTAAGTGGCCCGTTTTGCTTCTCTCTTTCTTCTTTCGTCTCCATTCTCTTTCTTTCTTTTCCTGCTGTTCTACCTCCAAAGATGGTGCGTACATGCAACACACACGCCTCTCTTCCATGCCACGTCTCTATCCTTAACCTACAAACTGACAGGAAAGATACTAAATCGAGGTCTACAACAGGTATCAAATGCCACTTCCAATTCTGCTGGGGCTGTAACCAGATCTGGAACGATGTTCATAGCATCTACTGCCAGGGATAGATATGCTTGAGATGCACAGGTTTGACTGACGACGTCTCTTCTTTCCACCCATAGGCGTCAGGTGCAATCACCAGTTTTGCTACGAGTGTGGCGCGGACCATCAGCAGATACTGGAGAACGATAACACCATTCACCTTGAGACTTGCAAGTTTCACCCGAGCCAGCTGGAGGAGTGGGACGGGGAAGAGGTGGAGGATACGCATGATGATGATGAGGAGGAGGAGGAGGAGGAGGAGGAGCCCGCTTTTTCGGAGGAGGAGAGGGAGGAGGAGGAGGGGGAGGAGGGGGAGCGTGCTTTTCTGGAGGATGGCGGGCGTATTTTTCTGGAGGAGAATGGGGAGCGTTATTTTCTGGAGGAGGCTGGGGAGCGTGTTTTTCTGGAGGAAGAGAGTGCTCTTTATGATGAATATGATGAGTTTGGCCTGTATGAAGATATTTCCGACGAGGAGGAGGAGGACGACGAAGGAGGCATGGAGAAGGAGGTTGAGGAGGACGATGACGATGAGGACGATGATGAGGTCGAAGATGAGGATGATGATGAGGTCGAAGATGAGGTCGAGGTCGAGGTCGACGATGACTATTATGACGACTATGTCGATGACGACTATGGGCTTGGTCATGACGAGGCGGTGCTTATTTACGATAGCACGGGTTCATCTTAAAATCGGATATTGCGGTGGGATATTCATGATGTTCGTACAGATAGCAGTCCATCCGATCTTGATCAAGCCATCTTTACATATCAGTGAGCCAAGAAGACTGAACAAGTGTATGATGACTGACGCATGAACTTCAAATGTTCAGTTCTAGATACTCAAAACGATAAATAGGCTCAATCGTATAAAGTGCCTCGAAATCCGCTCCCAACAACACCCCTAATCGTACACAAAAGAAACATCTCACATAACGGCATATAAGCCCAGCCACATCTCCTCTCTCCCCCTCACGCAATAACCATGGTATAATATCCCCCACCAATCCGTTGACCTTCAAACAGAAGTCAACTCCTGCAATCTCCTCTCCAGCTCGGGAACCTGCCGCAGCTTCATCTCCAACTCCTCCTTCTCGTCCTCCAGCCGCAAACGCCTCTCCGCATCAAGCTTCGTAAAGACGTAGTTGCCCTGCCCGTCAAACTGCAGAATGTGCGTGTGGTACTTCCACAGGCTCCGGCGGTGACTGACGGTCAGCAGCGTGATGCCGAGCGATTTTGCGTTTTCGTACATGACCTTTTCCGTCTCGAGCGTCACGCTGCTCGTGCACTCGTCGAGGATCGCGTACTGCGGCCGGTGGTAGAAGAGCCGCGCCATGGCGACGCGCTGCTGGAGACCGCCGGAGAGAACGTCGCGCCATTCCGCTTCCGCGTCCCACCCCTCCGGGTAGAGCTCGACGAGATGCTCCAGGCCGAGGGTGTTGAGGATGGAGAGGAGGTCGGAGTCGTTGACGCCCTTTGAGCGCATCTGGCGCAGGGAGTCGGGGTAGATGATTTGCTGGCGGAGGGAGCCGCGGGAGAGGTATGGACGCTGGGGAAGGTAGAAGATGGAAGTAAAGGGGGGCTTGTAGACGGTGCCTCCGTAGACGGGCCATAGGCCGCCGAGGATGCGGAACAAGGACGATTTGCCGCAGCCGTTGGGGCCGACGACGAGGAGATGGTCGCCGTGAGAGAGGGAGAAGGAGAGGGCCTTGACGAGAACATCGCCGTTGGGCGAAATGATGGGTCTGAGCATTTTTCAATGTTAGCATCGAGGCTCATCGAGGCTCATAGATTGGCAAAGGGGCGGTTCAACTCACACATCCTCAAACTTGATGTAGTCTTTGCTTTCGTGGACAGTGCCTCGGCCCTTGAGAACTGCCTCGTTGTTCTCGGTACCAGAGGAAGAGACGAGTTTCTTCTCAAAGTGACCCATCTGGATGTCATCCATGACGTTGAGCAGAGTGGCAACTCGGGAGGTGTATCCAGCCAGCTCCATGACTTCTCTGTAAGAAAACATGATTCTGCCAAAGGCGTCGGATGCAGACAGCAGCATTCGGCGATTCGTCACAAAGGCCTCGGTCCTGTCTCCCATGTTCAGGACCAGCTGCCCAGGCAGCTTGACAAAGACGGGGACACTGCAAAGGAGTAGGCCCAAAGCACCCCAGAAATATTTGATGACAAAGTCCTCCATGAAGCCATGGTAGAAGCGTCGCCGAAGGATGTAGTTGACATGCTTGATGAGCGTGAAGTAGCCCTTATCCAAGGTGTCCTTCTCCGCAATATGGCCACCGTAGAGGGCCACTTCTTCGCTGTAATCAATCAAGCGAGAGTGCTGGAAGCGGAATTCTCCCTCCAGACGAGCCTCGTCAGCAACGTATTTGCCAAATGGCGGCGTTAAGACACGCATGAGGTTTGCCGAGAGCTGGACCAATAGCGACATGAAGATGACGCCCTCGCTTCCAACGCTTTTGGATAGTGCATATGTGTAAATGGTCTAGAGAAACTTGGTTAGTTGATGATTCATGCCGTTGGTTTCAGCGATATAACGAACCATATCAAGCGCCGGCTTAGCCAGATTGCTGTATAGCTCCGCCAGACTGTTGGAGAACTTTGATACATCGACAGCAATGAGTTGGTCTGGGTTCTTTATGCGATCGTCGAGTGCCGAGATGCCGTAAAATGTCAGCTTGGAAAGGTATTTATCGTGAATATGCTGTGTCAACCTCGTCCGATACTGCAGGGAAAGCTCGGCTTGGTGATAGGACAGCTGCGAGACAGGTCGGATTAGCATGTGCCCTGGCAGCTGCGCAAGCAGACAGAAAGACGGGTTATTACCATGGAGTTTGTAAAGGTGGCGGGCACGGCAATCAGCATCCACCACACAATGCGCTTCAAGAACTCCTTGCCATTTCCCTTGACCAAGGCCTTGACAATAGCACCGTCCATCTCGGCCACGCGAACGCTGATCAAGGTCCGAAGAACCAAGAAGAAGCTGTGACTCGCCAGCATCCTGGCCTCCTTACTCCGCCAGCCAGGGACCACGATCTTAGTCAAGCGCATCAGAGACCTGAAGAATTCGCGATTCAAGGCGACCTTCTTTCTGGGCGCTTCCTCCGAGCCAGCAGTGACGGTGCTTTGGCGGGCTGCCCGTTGAGCGGCCTCGCGCGCCGAGGCGGCCTTTTGCTCCGAGATGGCATGGCGGATGCGGTTCGCGAGAGCGACGAAGAGGGAGATCCAGATGGCGCGCGAGATGCGCGTCCGGTGCTTGACATACAGCCGCGTGAGGCTGGAGATGATGCCGCGGAGGCTGCGGCCTTTGGGCAGGGCGAGTTTCGACTGCCAGGCCATGGCTGCTGCACAGGCGCGGCTTCAAGCGATGTCTCCGGCTTTTATCTGTCGTCCTCGTTGACTCTCGTCCAGGGATAGATCGTGCCCTGCTTGTCACGTATCGTCGATGGCGCAGCGCATTGGTCGGCGTCGAATCGTCACGGGTGGACTCGGCTAACACGGGCAGCGGAGGGCTGCGATGGAGGCAGCCGCTGTTCTTCCTCTTCTCGCCGTCTTTGCGGCTTTTCTTACAGCTGTCCTAGCTGGCCCGCGCGTCGTTGTCGTTGTTCTTCCGAGCACCAAAGCATCTGCTGGTGATGATGACGCTTGGTGGTGATGACATCAAAGAATGCTGGTTCAACAGCACAAGGAAGGCGCTGTAGCGATAGCACCTGAGAGTGGAGATACGTCCACTGGCCTCGGCCTGGGCAAGGGCAGATGCGGCGCGGCTTCCCCAGACTCCAGCGCCACAGTGCCGTCAGGGAAGGAGCCCCGGCATGTGATTGTGATTGCGATTGCATGGCTCAGCCACAAGCCACAGGGAAAGAACGGACGGAAGCACCAGCCACACTCGTGGGGTGTTGGACTCTTTTTTTCTTTTCGTTTTGCCCTTCTATCGCGGGGTGGCAAGTCGGCGCAATAACAATTCTACGCCTTTCATCCTACTCTTCATCCAGTGTTTACCTGCAACTCGCATACCTCTTGCACGATGGCTGACGACGGGCTTTCAATCTACGACGAGATCGAGATCGAAGACATGACCTTCGACGAAGCTCTCCAGATCTACCACTATCCGTGCCCTTGTGGCGATCGCTTTCAGATCGCCCTCGACGACCTGCGTGACGAGCAGGACATTGCCGTGTGCCCCAGCTGCAGTCTGATGATTCGAGTCATTTTTGATCTTGTTGGACACCCCAAATGACCATGACGTGACGACGAGGCTAACATAGCAGCAGGACGACTTGCCCAAGCCTCCTCCTACCGGCAACTCTGGCAGCCAGATCCCCGTTGCCGCTTAAGTCGCCAGATACAGTCTTCCCTGGGTAGAACTCTAATTATTCTGCCAAAGACAGCGAGATGCCTCACGGCGCGCATGGCACCCATGGTACCCATGGACCGAAACGGCCGCCCGAAAGAGGTCATTCGGGTTGACCAACCGGGTTGACCAACCAACGTCAGGTGCTATAGACTCCTGCAAGGCAGTCGACGATCTACAATACCGAGCCGAAAGTGCCGCTTCCTTGAAGCGTCCCCTCTGCTGACGCAAGTCTCCCAGTGTCTTGGATAGCATAACGAGGCCAGCCAGACGGACGGGGCGATATGCTTACAAAAGTGAACTTATCGAGACACTTTAGGCGAGCCTTGAGACAACGAATGGTTATACCAGGCGTGGGCCATTTGGTCGAATGCCACCAACTTGATAGCCTGAGATAATCACGGTGTATCTAACGTTCACCGAAACCCAATGGATACGCACAACAACTCATTTCATCATCTCTTCCGCGCGTTCTCTGTCATCTCAACCACTCAAGTCTCGCTGGGTCGAGCCGTCCAGGAGGATTCGACTGGCCCGATGTGCACAGTGGTGTGTGAAATTGCTGATTACAATTACTCTATTATCGGTATGCTCCTGTTCAGTCAGGAGGGTAGAACTCCAGGGTCCCGTGGTATCTCGTTGGTTTTTTCTAAAACGCCCGTGTCCAGCCTGGGACACAATCTATACATGGCGCGCATATCGTCCAGCGTCATTATTCATAACACTTTTCCCGTCCCCGCCTATAACATGATCAAACCCATGATGCAGAATCCTATCAGCCCAGCCATGGAGCTCTGCATCTGCTGGGGGATTGCACCGCCAGTGACGTGACTGGTAGGTGTCGTGGTGTTTTGTGACTTTGTAGGAACTACACTGCTAGCCAGCGTCGCTTCATCAATGTCAGCAGGGGAAGCTTCGGTCTGGGAGAAAGCGATGGCAACTTACTCGTCGCATTAGGGAAGCCCGCAGGCCGGGTGACACCAGTGGAAGAAACAGAAGCATCGTCCGTCGTTACCGCATCGACATCTGTCCGCGATTTTGAGTCCGTCAAGCTTGGTGATTGCGTTGCGGATGGCGAAACGACGGGAACGGTGACATGCTCCGAACTGGAAAGCCCGCTCTCGATGCTGACGGAAATGTGCAGTGCTGTCGAAGCGTCGGGGGCAGTTGTGACGCCGTCCGTGAGCACGTTCGCCGCCGCAGTTGCTGCAGCGATAGCAAGGACGAACAACTGGGCTGAACGCATCGTTGTTGATCTCTCGGGAACTGGAAGCCGAGACTTGGCGGGAGATGTGCAGGATTATTGCGGAGAATACGACTTGTGGTAGATGCGAGTTTGCGAAAGGACAGCAGCGCCAGGCTGAAGGCAAAGAAAAAGCGAAGCGAGGACTATAACGCCGACAAAGCCATATGCCGTATACCGCGAGGACGAAGCGATTGCTGGAAGTGAGTGACGGTGAACAAGCGGCGGTTGCTGCTCAAGCTCTTTTTAAACCAACGGATTTTGAACGGGACGAGGGTTTGCGCATCGTGGAGAGAGAGCAACAGCTTCTTGTTTTCGCTGCGGACCAAGGCGACATATACATACTACCGTGTGTACAAGCGTGTACAAGCCATGGCGACAGGGAGCTACGACTAATTACTGCCATCAGACCCGCGAATTGCGACCCAGCAAGGCTCCAGTCCGTCCCCCAAATCGGCTTGGTCAGGCTGCTTTAATGTCGCAGGGGGCAGGGATGGCTTCATGCTAGCTGCTGGGACGGTGGCCCATTGTCGATCCATCCAGAAGCAGCCCGCTGCCGGCGTGGACGAATAACGTTCAAGGCCTTGTCATGAGAGGCTGGAAGAACATTCAGGGCTGCGCAGAATGGCCTACGAGATATGTACTCTTACATATGTATCTCAATTTGTTGCGTCATATTTCCGATGAAGCAAGCAAAAGATCGACTCTCAGCATTTATTAGTGCCGAAGCGGCGTTGCAGAACGACCCCGACAGGATAATACAACTTCAAACCGCAAATATGTCGCCGCGTGAAGCCGCCGGCCGAGGCGATGGATCGTCGGGGCAAGGGAGCCAGAACGCAGGCAGCACCAAGTTCTGCTCCAGATGGTCGTGGAAGCAGTAGCAGTACGATATCGCAAGACGCAGGCCAGGTTTTCCACCACTTCAAGCCACCTCCAAGTACCGCAAGTACACTGAGGTACCAACAGGCGGTATGAGGGACGAATCTCTCCGTGCCCCATGCGGATCTGACCAAGGGGAAGGGAAACCCAAGAGACAAGTGAGCGGAAGCCCCCCCCCCCCCAATTGTTATCTACAAGGCGATCCACATCTGGAGGCGCTTGAGTTAAGCAAGCCCCTGAGCCGGCAAAAGGAACCAGCGTCTCTCTGCGCTGCGGGCCTTGGAATTGCGACCACTTCGCTTGCGAGGCAAGGCCGGCGGCGAAATTTTCTCAAGAGCCCAGCGCGCCCAGCTGGAGTCAATGCAGAGATGCTAGCCCATGAACATGTTGTTTCTTCTGTTTCTTTTTCGTCTAGCCTCGCCTGCCTGTCCCCTTGCGCTCCAAATCAGGCGGGCCACCGACGCCAGGGGTGCTGAGAAGGGCTTAGGCTGGCGATAGCTCCGTGGCCTTTTTGGCGGGCCGGCTCTCAGACAGTTGAATTCACAGGAAAATCACAGCAGGAAACGCTGCGCTGGCTACGGTACCACGACTTGCGCGGCTGTGGGGCTTCGCTGTACTGCAGTATGTACAAGTACAGTATCACCCAGGATGGATCACAACGACTCAAGCGACTGCCCTCAAGTCGGTTGGGATGACAATTGCTTGTATCTGACCTTATCTGCTGGTGGTACGAGTTGTACGCGTCAAACAACATCACGGGTTCGGATAGGCATCGAACTGTCTATCGGCTGGTTCCGCCAGAAAGGAGCACTTGAAAGGACTTTGTTGGGCAAAGGGCTAGGGACAGACACGTTATGACAGGGCCGCGCTGCTGGAATTGGAAAAGAAGGGACGAAGAAGGCCGACAGACCAGGAGCAAACGGAGGGACTGGCCACGAGGGGAGGCGAGGGTAGAGAGCTTGTGGACACTTCCAGCCGTGCTCCCACATGGATCTGTTGAGCCTCTCCAACATCGGGTACCGCCAGGTATCTTTCCTCGGTAGCCGACGCTCGGCGCTACCTGCAAGTACAAACTCACAGATACCCGTGCCAGCGGCAGCATGGGGGTCATTATTTAGAGTGATGCTGATCGAGAATTTTGCACGCACAAGCTTTTCGACTAGGGGCGAAACAGAAGGGGGGGAGAGGAAAGGGGGCGTCGCTAGAGAGGAACCGCGCCGCGCCTCCTGAAAAGACTTGTGAGAAGAAGAGGGAAAAAAGAAACAAGTACGGAGTACAGAATGCTAATACCGAACCCACAATTGGCGGAAGGCGGCCGAGACACACGGCGTTTGGGAGACGGTGCGCCGGGCTCGAAATGGCCGATGCCAATAGTACTATGTACTAAGTGCTTAGTATTAGCCTTGAGCGTTTGGGCCCTTTTTTACCGTTTGGGGCTTTTGTCGGTCAGTTGAGAAACGGAGGTCGGCTGCTTCTGTGTTTCATTACCTGCATAGGCAACGCAAGGGAGATGGGCGAGGACTTTCGTATAGAGTGCGAAGTACGCGTTTGGTGGGTAAGATGCCCAAAGTAATTTGGGGCGAGTCCCAATTTGCGGCTGACGTTGAAATTGCGGTTCACTACACTTCACTACCTGGAGCTGAGGGCTGGACTTTTGTACGGAGTAATTGCAACTCCGTAGTAAACGGAGGGAAACTCGAGAAGCAAGCAAAACAGAGCCTCCTGTCGAACAATAATCGCGAGAGATTCAGCCTTTTCAACTACGCATTTGATTGATGAATCAAAAAAGGTTAGAAGCCGTGAAAGAAATCTCATTCTCTCTTCTAACCCGATTTCTCTCTCTCTCTCTCTCTCTTTTTTTTTTTTTTTTTCATCTCTTGGTCTCTAAACAGCTTTGACAACTGTCAATTCCTTTTTCTCCTCTTCCTTTTTTATATCTGGGCAAAAGAAACGTCTTTCTATAGAAACCAACTAAGCCTCGACATTCTCAAAGAAAAACGTGGGCTGGCCAGGCACCGCGTTCTCGGCCACGGGCACCGCAATGTCCACCTCCTGGCCGTCGTCGAGCCGCACGCCCTTCTTGCCGCCCTCCTCGACGACGAGCACCTCGCAGACGGACAGGCCCGACGTGCGCTTGAGGCCGGGCAGCATCTGCGTCAGCGTCTCCTTCTCGTCAAAGGCCAGCTTCTGCTCCAGCACCACGCCCGCCGGCTCGCCCGCCTGCAGGCGCTTCTTGAGCCCTTGCACAAAGGGCATGGCCTTCTTCATCTCGCCCATCTTGGCGATGCGCCCGTTGAGCGCCTTGTCGTCGACGCTCTTCGTCGCCGGGTCCCACAGCTCCTTGAGCAGGTCAATGTACTTGGCCTGCCACGCCGGGAACTTGGCCGCCATGTAAATGGTCAGCTTCTTGGGCCGCTTGGGGTCGAACGAGACCTCCTTGCCCTTGGCCTTCTTCTTGAGCTGCTGGCCCTCGGCCGAGTTGATGTTGGAGGCCGTGCTGCGCACGTACTCGCGCTTGGCCGACAGCGCCGCGTCCACGGCCGGCACCTCGGGGAAGCGCGCGTTGTGGATCGTCGACTCCTTCTTCAGCACCTCCAGCCAGATGTGCTCGGCCCAGTGGGGGGCGATGACGGCCATCAGCAGCGCCTGCAGCTCAATGTACCGGAACACCAGGTCCTTGTGCATCTTGATGCCGCCGGCCGCGCACGCCTCGCGGTAAAAGTCGCGGGCGCTCGTCAGCTCGTACAGCGCCGCCTTGAGCGCCAGCTTGTAGTTGGTCAGGCCGTACTGCTCGATGGCCTCCTTGGCGCACGCGTTCATCTCGTTGTTGAACAGGCCGTCCTGGAAGTTGTTGATCTCGCCCGTGCGCAGCTCGTTCTGTTCCTTGACCATCTCCTCGCACCACTCGCGCAGGGTGAAGAGGCGCAGAATGTTGTTGTCCGCAACGTCTTCCTCAAAGTTGGCGTCGCTGACACCATCACCGGCATCGGCCAGGGCAATTCGGGAAGCATCGGCGCCGTACTTCTCAACCATGTCCTTGAGCGTCATGAAGTTGCCCGTGCTCTTGGCCATCTTTTCGCCGTTCAGCATCAGGTGGCCGTTGGCTCGGACGCCACGAGGCCAGTACTCGGGCGGGAAGATGGCCAGGTGGATGTACAGGAAGAATGTCAAGTGGTTGGGGATCAGGTCCTTGCCCGAGCTTCGCAGGTCCAAGGGGTAAAAGTATTCAAACTCGCGGCGCATGCTCTCCAGAGTCGCGCGAGGGATGCCGGAGCTGGCGACGATGTCGTCCGAGATATCGCGGCGGCAGAAGATGGAGTCCCAGACTTCATCAGTCATCTGCTCGGGGCCGACGTTGCCAAGGCCCTTGGTACGGCCGAACAGGTCCTTGTGCAGGTAGTGGGCGACAGTGTAGTAAGCCATGTAGATGGTCGAGTCGCTCAGACTTTCGACCAGGAACTGAGGGTCCCAGGGCAGTTTTGATCCCAGACCGAATGACCGAGCGCAAGCCCACTGGTTCAGCCAGTTCAGCACGCCCTCGAAGCCGTTCTTGGTCTCGGGAGCCCACGTCTCCAGGCCCTTTCCGTCGGCGTTTTCGACCCATTTCAGGGCAGTCTCCTTCCAAGACTGCTCGCCGTAGTCCAAGTACCACTGGTCCATCAGCGAGACGATGCACTCGTCGCCAGATCGGCTGACGACCTTGCGCTCGGGCTCTGAGTAGGCAAAGGCCAGGCCAGCCTCGATCAGCTGGCTCCTAACCTTGGGCTTGGCCGTCTCAACCTTCTCGCCCTTGAAGTCGCCGACCTTCAGGATACCTTGGTAGAATCCTTCCTTGTAAGCCAGCTCCTTGGCCTCCTCCAGCTGCTTGGTATCCTTGGGCGATGCAATCTTGAGCTTCTTGACCAGGAAAGGCGCGCACAGGTCGCCGTAGGACGGGGTTTCGATGATGGGGTAAATCTCCAGCTCAGCCCACTCCTTCTGGATCCCGTAGTAATCAGCCTTCTTGGCCAGCTCAGTCACGGTTGCGAAATCGTCGGGGCTGTCTGAGGGGACTGAGGTGACGACACCGGTGCCCTTGGTGGGCAGGACAGTCTCCATGGGCAGGACTCTGACACCCTCCTTGTGCAGCGACAGAGGGGCGTTGACCAGAGTTCCAACAAGGTCGGAACCCTGGATATCAGCGGCCTTCTCGATGGAGCCCTCCTTGGCGAAGATGCCCTGGTAAGCCATGTTGCGAGCAGCTCGCTCGGTAATGACAAAGTAGTTGTTGTCATCAACCTTGAACAGGCCGTACGTCAACTTGGGGCCGACGAAACAGCAGGTCTGTCCATACATGGTCTCAGGCCTCAGAGTAGCGGGGACCAGGAAGACGTTGGCACCTTCAGGGATCTTGCCCTTGATGGCTTCCGCGGCCTTGGGCGCCCACTCCAGAACCTTGAGCTTGAGCGCAGTGTACTCCTGAGGGCCGACAGCCTCTCCCTCGGCACGGTCGTGGTCCATGCAGGGCTGGCCGTCCTTGATGGAGTAGATGGTATACCGCTTGCCAAACTTGATCTTGTTCAGCTCCTTCAGCCGGTTCATCTGCCAGCGCACAAACGCATCGTAGTAGGGGTTGGCATCGGTCGTGACGAAAGATCGTCGCCAGTCGATTCTCGCGCCGAAGCTCGTCAGATCCCTGATGGCCAGGGGAGGGAAGTACTGCAGCCAGTACTGGGAGTCGGCAAACTTGTGGATCTCCTCGGTCGGGATGCCAATGGCCTGCATGATCTGGAACTGATACTTCATCTTGACCGTCTTCGCGTTGGCCTTGCTCTTGTTGGTGCTGAACTTGGTGGGGTCCTCCTTGGTCTGCTTGGCGACAGGCTTGGGCTGCTCCTCGATGACGGACTCGTCCTCCTTGTAGCCGGAGAAGTCCTCGCCGAACATCTTGATCTCGTTGACCAGCTTGTCGGCGCAGGCCTTGATGGGCATGCCGGTGCAGTGGAAGCCCATGGGGAACAGCGCGCGCTTGCCCTGCATCCTGGCCGTGCCAGCGGCGAACTCGACCTTGGTGGCCGAGAAGGTGTGGCCGGCGTGCAGGGTGCCGTTCATGTAGGGGTAGGCCATGGTGCCGAAGAACTTGGGCTGCTTCTCGCGCAGCTCGGCGGGCGAGACGGAGTGGAAGGGAACCTCGGCCGTTGTCGGGGCGTTGGTCTCGAAGACGCCGTCCTCCTGCCATTTCTTCTGGTACTTTTTCTCGACAGCAATCAGGGAGTCGCGCTTCTCGGTCTGGCGAGGGAGTCAGCAGATGCGATCATGAATAGAACAGGCCGACATACTCCTTTCAATTCCTTGGTCTTGGAGATGGTCAGGGCCTCCATGGCCTTTGGCACTGAGGTCGTCGCCATGGTTGCAAATCTGGGTTGGCGACAATAAGAGACAAGGAAAAAGAGACTAAAGACTTGTTTGGGGGTCAGAGAAAAAAGAAGCCCGGGTGAAATTGGCCCTGTTTATGCGTCTCTCCCGCAGCTCTGCTCCCTTTTGACTCACTTGCACAAAGGGGAAGAAAAGGACCGTCTCGAGTCTCTTCTCTGGGTTGACTCACGGCGAGCAGATGAAGTTTGGCGGGGGTTTAAAATTCCAGAGCCGAAAAGCGCACGAGGAGGGGTGGAAAAGTGATACAAGGTACAAGGAACAATCGCGGGGCACTGTGGCGGTGCAGCGTGGCTGACACATGGCATGCGGCATGTGGCATTTGTACGTACCTATGTATCTAATCAACTTTTGCTAGCTCCTCCAAACAGCGTCATTCCCGTTTTTGATTGATATCCATCCATCTCGCCTTCACCTCCGATACCTCATTGCCTACAGAGAGTCTCTCCCCCAAACCTCTGCAGAAACCCTCACCTCACAATGTTCAGACCGACGCTCGCCAGACGGTTAGCCCAGACGGCAAAGGAGCAGCTCTCCAAAAGCGCTCCCGTGCCCGTCGCAAACAACCCCTACAAGGCTCGCAAAGTGTGGCCGCCCGACTTCAAAACCCTGACGCACCAGCAGCAGCTCCGGTTCGAGAAGAAGTACAAGCGCCGCATCGCGCTCGCAAACTATTCGCCGAGGTGGGACAAGGGCGTCAAGTATGCGCAGCTCCTCACAATTGCAGGTCAGTTACCCTTGCACGATACACGTGAGAGACTGGTGGTGATGATTGCATCGAGACTGACTGCTGCGGAACAGCTGCGCTGGTGTGGCTTCTCTTCTACTCTGAATTTGAGTGGTGGGGACAGAAGTATAAGCCATCGGAAGAGGTTTGTCGCAAAATTGCTTACAGTTTGAGGTTCAATGCGCTCACAATGAAGCTCTTAGTTACGGAAGCACGCCCAGAATCTCTTTGGCGTACTCGATCCCGAGAAGCGGTACGAGCGCCGCAAGGATGCCCCAGAAGTAAATCCGTCGCCGCGAACCCCAGAGTCGAAATAAGGCATTTTATGAAAGACTCGGGAACTTGTATGATATAGCTCTTTGTATATACGGCGTTTGGCGTGATACCCATGTTGGGCGACAGGTGGAAGACAAACAAGAATTGTATGCATATGCTGGCCACGTTTCTATCCGGCCCGTCTTCTGTTCCAAATTATCACAAATTATACCCGCCCAGTCCAAGCAAAGTTTCCTCCAATGCCCATTCCCGACCCAATCGTGCTCCGCCCCTCATTCACCGGCCGTTTAGCAACGGTCCCTTGGGCTCGAACACCAGCAACAATGCGGTCAAGGCTCGTCTCGATAACAACCCCCCCAATGATCATTTCCGACAGCGTCGCATGTAAAGTCTCAAAGTTGAAGATGAGATCCAGCTCGCAGACATTCTCAAACAGCTTGTCCAGCGCCTCAACGTATACTTGTATCAAGTCGATCAGCGCAAGCGGCGATTCCGTCGTCGTCGAGATGATGATGAAGTAAAGCGTCGCATAATGGCGGTACGTCACCAGCGAAGGCACGTCGCTCTGCTCTTCCGTCGAAGTATGCGACGTGCTGGACGCGGCAAGCAGCGGGGGCAGAGGCAAGAAGTTGCAGGAGCCCGCCGGGCGGTTCGACACGAGGGTGAAGATTTCGGATATCAGGCGCTGCTGGATGCTCGTGTCCTGTTTTGAACGGATGATTGCTTGAGTAAGCGCTTCTATGTGTGTGTCTCTGACGTTGAAAAGTGGTCGCAGACTCACCAGCTGGGTGTAGAACTTGGTCAGCCGAGGCTGGCCCTGGCCATTGAAGACCAAGAATGCGTTGATCATGGCCGCGAAACGAGTCTCATCATCCCCCGAGAGACTCGGTTTGGCGGGATGTTGGATGTAAGAAGAAGTGGCAGGTCTGGCGCTTGGTGGGGGGGCCGATAAAGGCGAGAACCTGAAGCTCCCAGTGACGTTGCCAAGGCTGCTTGACTAAGCTGAGAGGACCTCTCTGTACTTGTAATCGCACCGAAGATATGCGGCCATCAAGGTCCCTCTAGGTTCCCTGTCGCAAGCCACATGCCGAGCGCCTGGTATGGGGTACATGCCATGACGAACTCTTTTCGGCTCGTTGCAATTGGCGTCGTGCCGTTTTCTAGAGCTCACAGCTTCATCAGCTCCGTCTTCGTCTCCTCACATCCTCCACCTCACCAGCCGGCAATTGACCATCCACCACAGATTCACATCTCCCAACGCATCAAACGCTCCTCGACCCTCGCAGCCGCAACTACTAAAACCATTCAGCATCATCAACCTCTTCTCCATCCAACGAAAAGCAATCCTCCTCAACCCCCGCCAAAGCAAACAGCAACAATGGCATCCCCAAGCCGCACCCTCAACCTCCTCCTCCGCCGGACGCTCCGCACGTCCAGAGCCTCACCCGCAAGCATCCGGCCCCTCCTCCCCAGCATCTCCGGCGCAATTATCCCTCCCTCCTCAGCGCTGCTCTCACAGCGACGCCCGTTCTCGGCGCACGCGAGCCTGCGCAAGGGCATCATGCCCGACACCTCCAACCCGGACAAGGCGCCCACCAAGACGGAGACCAAGTTCGCCGTGGCCGAGCTCTCCAGCGAAGAGTACAATGACCTTGCAGACGAGTATATGAATGACTTGCTGGAGAAGTTTGAGACGCTTCAGGACAATGGCGCGCCGATTGACGTGGAATACTCGGTTAGTTTTTCTCTTCTGTCTGCCCCCCCTTCTCTCTGCGGACACTTGCCTCCCCATGTAACCGCTTGAATGGATGAGCTGACCATCTTTTTGCAAATCTACAGTCCGGCGTCATGACCGTCACTGTCGCTGGCAAGGGCACCTACGTCATCAACAAGCAGCCCCCGAACAAGCAGATCTGGCTGTCGTCCCCCCTGTCCGGGCCCAAACGGTACGACTTTTGCGTCGAGAGCGAGGGGCAGGGCGACAAGGAGGGCACGGCGCTGGGGACCTGGATATACACGCGCGACAACTCGAGCCTGGACGAGCTTATACTCAAGGAGATTGAAATGGAGCTGTAAGTTTCCTTACAGAAGAGGAGAGAGGGACGAGGGCTGGCATTGGCAGGGAGGTTTTACCTTAGGAGAGAATGTACTTGATAGAGATTAGCCAGCAAAGTGGCACGCGTGATCTATTCCGCTCTGTAATATTATCCTGATATGAATATTAAAAAAAAAAAAAAAAAAAAAAAAAAAAATAACTCGTATGGCAACAATGCTGAGACGTTTATGGAATTCTGTTCTCCTGTTGCAACATGTTTTGAATCCTTCCTTCGTGGCCTTCATGCACCAACCTGGTATCATCACCCATACAACCTCACCTTCTCGTCCCCATCCATCTCAACCCCATCTCATCGTAGACAAAGCCCCATGCTCTTATTCAACATCGCAACCGTCATGTTATAATGCTTCATTCCCTCCTGCTGCAACTGCTTCATATCGGCTCTACATCAAACTTCATCAGCATCTCATCCAAATCAACCCAACGTCCACTCCAATCCAACTCTCCAAATCACGAAAAGCACCAGATCAAGGGAGGAAAAAAAAGAAGAGCGAGGAAGGACAAAAACTCACTTCTGCTTCGACTCATTCACCGCCCTCCGCCAACTCCTCACCCCCCACCCGCTCTCCAACCTCACCCTCACCAGGTTCTTCAAGATCCTGTGCTCCAGCCCCCTCTCCCGCGCCGCCGCCTCCAGGAACCAGACCGTCCTCTTGACGCCCTCCCCGTCCAGCACCGCCGCCGCCGATGCCCCGTGCTGCCCGGGCTTCTTCTCCTTCTCCCGAAACGCCGCCCGCAGCTGGTCCCGCGCCACGTACCGCGCCGGAGCAGAGTACCGCACCGCCTGCAGGAGGCTGCGGTAGAGGCGCCGGTAGGCGTGCGTGACGTCGAGGTTGGTGGAGGCTGCTTTTGTCGCTGCGGCTGCTGCTGCTGTTGCTGGTGTCATGATGTTTAGGTTTGTGATGAGATACTATGAGAACGGGACTTCATAACATGATTTCCGGAGTCTTTCTTTGTTGTGAGAAGGCAAGTGAGAATGTTGTATAAAGAAGCGTATAACCTTGTGGCGTAGATGGGCAAACCGGGTCCTTTACCAGCTTTTATACCGTGCGACTCTGGTGCGCTGCGCACGGAGAATTCTTCATCTCAACGCCATCAGGAGATTCATCTAATTCATCGGCCGCTGGGCATATCGCTAATTGTCACTAGTGTTGAGTAATTGTACTACCGGACTCTTCACCCACTGCTTGCCATTATCTCCCATCAGTCATCAATCTGTACATCGTCAAACCACGAGCTGTTCAAGCGGTTGTCGCATCGAAACACCTTTGGAAGTCCTCCTCAGCTTGACCAAGTGCCCCCCGACCGTCTATAGATCCCTTTATCCTTGTGGATGTCAATCACACCTCCTCCTTCTTGACACAGGTGCAACCCGTGCGATTCCCATCCTCTTATATACTGAAACCCATCGCCTTATGCTGAGGAGTAGTCTAGGCCGATTGTGTACCCAATGGAGCGAGAGCAAGCCACTTTTGCATTGCTCCGCATTCTAAGTGCTCCGAAAAAGTAAGAGAAAATCAAACAAAAAGAGCAAATCTATATGGATACTTCAAAATTTCAACACGACAACCCTCTTCAGTTGTCCCGGCCCTCGTCTTCTTGCTGACCGAGAGGGGTGTACCGCCCTTGCCCACTGCTTGGACTGCCCGAGCCGCCACGGTTAACGACCCTAGATAGCCATCCGCTGATGCTTCGGTCGTCACCACCACCCTGGGCAGCCTTGCCATCATTGATATCAGGCGGGTCAAGAGTAAGGCTGGGAATGGGCGTCGTTGACCGGAACGGCGTACGCCCGGATCCAATGGGCGATCCACCCCGGATGAGAGACCCGGTTTCGGCATGGATGGAGGGTGTCGCTACCGTGCTGGCATCACCAAAGATGGAGTCCATGTCCTCGAGGCGAACTCCGCATGTCTCTGGGTAAATGAAGTAAACTAAATGGGCCGGGTCAGCAACTTCTGAGGCAAGAATATAGGCAGGCTGTGAGAGCGTCGGCAACGCCAGCAACTTACCAATGACGAAACTGGCAACGCAGAAGAAGGCGTGGACGAGATACAGGCGCCATTTGATCCACTCCTGCAGAATCGGTGTCATTTCACCCACGAGCCAGTTGAAAGCCCAATTCGTCGCTGTCGACAAACTGGCACCCTTGGATCGAATGCTGAGAGGCAGGATTTCGGGAGGGTAGAGCCAGGGAATGGGTCCCCATGAGTAACCAAAGGCAGCATTGTATATCATGACGAACAGAACCACCATCCTAGGCGTCCACTTGACGTCAAGATAGAGGAAGTATGAGATGAGAGACAGGGAGATGGCCATGAATATAGCTCCGGTGAGGAGAATCATTCGTCGGCCCCATCGATCAACGAGATACCACGGCGGGATGGTGGAGAGGAAATACGTGATGCCGTTCAAACCAGTCATGAGGACAGCGTCATGGCCAACCCAGCCGGCAGACTCGAACACATAAGGGGCGTAGTAGGAGATGACGTTGATGCCGTTGAGCTGCGCAAGGGCCTGGGCAGACATTGCGATGAAGACTCGTGTGCGATACCGTCGGAACATTTCAGAGTACGACCGCTCGCCCTCCTGGCGCTGCAGGAGGACGTTCATCTTGATCTCGCGGTACTCATCGCGGGCCTTGGCGTTGTGAATATCACCGCCACCGTAAAGGTTCGCGATGACGACCATGCCCTCCTCATCGTGGTCATTGTCCAGGAGCCATCTACAACAGCGGATTAGCGTCTCATAGCTGGGCATAGCAAGGCGGTAGTAGTTGTTTACCTGGGCGACTCCACAATGATCAAGCTTCCCAGTCCCAAAAGGGCGCCCATGATACACTGCATCATGAGCGGAATGCGCCACGAGAGGTTACTCTCAATGTATCCGCAGCCATAGTCGACCCAGACGGACGTCGTGTAGCCGATGATGTTGCCGGAAAACTCGATACAGGCAAGCTTGCCACGGTTGTGAGGCGGGGAGATTTCGGATTGATAGACAGGCACAATGGTGGAAAGCATGCCGACGCCAATGCCGGCAATGATTCGTCCCAGCATCATCATTGCCATTGACGTTGCCAGCGTCTGCAATGCTCCTCCCACGAAGAAGATGCAGGAACCGTACAAGATTGTACGTCGACGGCCGATGATGTCACCGACGCGGCCAACAACGAGAGACGAGATGAAGGCTCCGATTTCGAGGATGGCGACCATAGTCCCGACCTCGGCTTTCGACGGGTGGTTGAAGTAGTCGATGAAATACGGGCCGCTGGGAGAAGGGACGTCGTCAGTTTCGTTTTGCCTGCTGTTGCGAGATGGGGAGGGTCAAAAGCCTACGTGATGATGCCCGACATGACGCCTTGATCATATCCGAAGAGGAAGACTCCCAACGAAACAAATATGCTCGTAAAGTACCTATCGCAAAACTGTTAGCACGATTAGGTCCGAGAGCAGAAAAACCGGAGAGTGCATGTGTCGTACAGCAAGGCCTTGCCGGTCAGGCCGTGGATGGAGCTCGATGAGCCCGCCATGATGGATCCGATGCAGCGCTCCGCTCGAGTCGGTGGTCGAGGACGAACGTCGGGAATCTCAATCGCCTCTTTATCGACAAACGGCGACGGCGAGAAGGAGTGGGTGCGGCGGTGCGGCGACGGGTCGTGGATGCGGACCTTCTTGTGCTGCTTGTAGTGCGGCTTCGACTGGCGGCGCTGGACGCTGGCGAGCAGCTCGTCCTCAATGTCGGCGGGCAGCTGGATGCGGACCGGGTCGGTGTCGTCGCCGTACTGGTCGCCAATGTCGCCAGTGTCGGTCCAGGACGATGTCTCGGACTCGGACGACGGGCGGTGGGGAGGGGCGCCGTATCCCCTGGCGGAGAGGAGGGATGCCGACTGCGAGTCGTAGTCGTCTCGGTCCCTGTCGCCGTCGGCGCGCGAAGGGAGGGGGCGAAGGGGGATGTTGGAAGGGAGCCGGGTCGATGTTGGAGGAGGAATGTTGGGTGGTTTTGGGGGCTGATCAGCAGCAGCACCCGTCTGCAGGCTCTAAGGCAGAGAGAAAGAGAGAGAGACAAGACAAAGAGGAGAGGGAGAGACAGAAGCAATAAAAGAGCGAGGCTCCAGCTGTCGTGTCGGTACTGGATACTTGTCGACGGGGTCGGGTGACAAGAGAGGGCGGATTGGCGTCAATCAGCGACGGACGGACGGCGGTTTGATGTTCGTTCTGTGGTCAAGCGGCGTGAGACAACACCTTGGCGGCCGGCTGAGGTACAAGCTGGGTACAAGGCTGGGCACCGTGGAGTGCAGGGCAAAAGACGGGCAAAAACACGCAGAAACAGGCGGACGACAGGGCACACGAACACGAGGCGCGACAATGTCCCGTGCAGGTACCGCTCCGGCCCGGCAGCGCGGCGATGGCCTCCCAGGCTGGACTCGCAGATGACCCGGAATCCCAGAACGCGAGGGCCACGAGCCTCACGATACGTCACCGGCGGGCCGTTTTTAGGGCGGGCTGCAGTGGTTAGAGTGGTAAAAGGTGATAGTGCGGGTGGAGTGTCGGCGACAGATGCACGATGAGGGCGCTTTTTGAGGGGGAGGAGACGAGATCGATGCCTTGATTGGGGTAGCCAAGGGGAGCTGGGGTAACAGCTGATTCTTTCCTTTCTTTTTCCCTTTTCCCTGTGCCGAGATAGGCGGTTGAGATCCTGGAGAAGCGAGCGAGACAACGAGAGACGAGGAGACGGAGAGAGACAAGGACGAAGGCAGCAGAAAGGTGGAGATGATTCAGAGGGCGGAGGAGGAGGGAACAAGACCAAGACCGGCCGCAAACTGCCAAGTGGCGGCTGTGTGTGGCGCGCTGATCCTGATGACGGCCGAATAGGGGGTTGAGGCGTGAGAAATGCGATGAGATAACAATACAGGCGTGCAATTGACGGAAGAATTAATTAGGACTCTGGCTGGATGGTGCTATGGTAAGGTAAGTAAGGAGAGGAGAGAAGAGAAGAGGTTCGAGTAGAGTTGAGTGCAAACAAGGGGAGCAAAGTTCAAGTTGGGCTCAGTTCATCAATATGTGTTGTTTGGCGCGCTCAGGGAGATGACGATTGGCGTCCCGGTCCCCTAATCTACAGCGCTCTCTCCCGCCAGATCCGCCCCGATAACGCGCCTCTCAGGGGACGGGATTTGACCCATCATTGCCCGCGCCTCATATGTATGAGAGCAATGAAGATGAAGCCCTCGGTCTGTACGTAAGCCCAGCTGTAATCAATAAAAGTTGCATCGTTCGGTATCAACATTTGTCATCAACTCTGTTTCAAGTTGATCCTCTCCAGAACTCGAAATTCAACCGGGATACCCACCACAACGTCGTTGTACGAGTACATGTACGGAGCAATGTACACCGATTGCCCTCAACTGCCCGTGATGGATCACCACATGCACACATATGAACACACCACCATCTCCAACCTCCTTGACCACTCCAAGTAAATCTCTGTGAATCTCACAAAACGCCCACCAGCATTCCAGATAACAAACATACAGGAAGTTGGCAAGTTGGACAAGTCTACCAGGCATCTCCAAGCCTAAAACCCCAGCAAAGCTCCGCTGTTTCCATAAATCTCCCCGCTGATGTACAACGACGGCGCATCAACAACGCTTACATACAGCGGCGCCAATTCCGCCGGCTGCTCAGGCCGTTTTCAAGAGCAACCTCCGAGATCTGCTTCGCCGCGAGGAAGCAGAAGCACGGCGGCTCCCGTCAGAAACATGGGCGCCTAGCCATTAGTTGGTCAAACTGCTCTGTCAAGTCAGCGGCAAAGGAGCGCCAGTTGCCGCCTTGGATATACTAGACTATCCCGAAACACCATGAAACTGTCCACTCCATGTCTTCCTACATCGGCCACTTTCGACTCTCGAGCCACCTCACCCATCGAGGTCAACCAGAACATCGAGACCTCGACTCCTACGAAACGACTTACAAAGGAGCCAGCCGACTCCCCGTCAAAGAGGATTCAAGACCTGGATATGAGTACCTAGGTAGTAGATGTGTTGATCAGGTCCGTGTTCATGAGGCAGTTTGCGTCGCCCACCAAGCACATACGACCATATCCATTGGAAAATACGGGATCCCGTCCGCTCTCCCAGAGTCAAGCCAATGAGAGGCAGATTAGTAGTCAGGTGGGTGACCACTGGCGAACACCGGCTGTTGTATGTTTTTGTTTTTTGGTTCTTTTTGCTCCTTTATTCAGGTGTTGAAGGCATCCAAAGAGTGCTTCTCCCATGTTGCGTTGACTCGGTGGCTGTTGTTGCATCAGGAGGGGCTTGGTCGAAGCTCGATTGGAGGACTGGGAATCCGAGCTGCAGCACCCGTTAGTAGATTGAGATGCATGTCTCAGGAAAACGGGCGATTGGATCAATCAGGGCTCTGGAAAGGTTTCTCTCTGAACCTATGTAAGTCAGTCTTTTGGAGATGTTTCCATCTGGACCCATGTAAGCCAGTCTTGAAGAAGTTTAGAGTCGTGATGTGGTTTGGCTCTCCTGTAGCCAAGTCACTTTTCGGACGGATACTAACCTGACATCAGGCAAACGACTTTCGCCCTTCATAGAGCTGGGAAAAGCCATTCAGTCGACTTGGAGGCCGTGATATCAGTCCTGTTATAAAAGTCTGATGAGAGTCCATCAAGCCTGAAGATTCAACCCCTGAACTTACACTCAAATGTACCTTAATCAGTCACCAACAGATCACCACCACCAAACACCAAATACCAACATCAAGCTCTCTATTAGTATTGCTCCCACACATGCACCACAAATCCCCCCCCAGTGATCCGCACAACGCCAAGCGCCCTTCCAGCCCGTCGCCTCACGTGGAATCCCCGGCTCAATCTCAGCTGTGGGACGCCCACGTCAGACGACATGCTCATTAGCCAAGGTCGTGTGCAGATCCTTTTGTGCGACCCTCGGCCGATTAGGAAACGTCTGTCTAGTAAGCGTTGGATAATGGAAACGTACTTGCCAATGAGGTATCATCAGTGGTAATTATATGAGATGGACAAGAGTTGTGTGATATCAATCGGTGGTGATACGAACAATAACATAAATCTTCAATTCGTCTGTAGTCCGGTTAAGCTTAAATCAGACGGTATCCAAGCTATACAGCCAGCAATGAAGCCACTCCAAGTTGACTCTGTGCACCTCAACCACAGCCCACATTTATCGTGGACTTACGCTTCAGATTTTCACGGTAACTAAATATCTTGTAGTCGTAATGACGCTCGGCCCCAAAGTCGTTTTGCTCCATGTTGGAAATGCCAAAACCCATGATGCAGTCCCTATCGGCTCCGTAAGCTGAAATCGAAACGGCCGATTCACCTCTTTAACTCAAGAGATTCCAATGGTAGATGCCACAATCTCATAACCCAGCGGCTAGCATCGTCATAGTAGATACTTTTCAAGCCAACAGCGCATCCAAATCGTCGACGGCAAAGCGGAAAAAGTGTCCTGGGCCGTCAAACCTGGATTGAATCACTACAGACCCATCGCGCAATACAATGTTTATGGGCCGGTAATCCGGGGGCAGCCACAACACCCGCTGCTGTCTTTTAAGCATCCATGTCCCATCGCGAGAGATGTTGAATCCAGACATATCAAATATACGAGGCTGGGCTTGCTTGAGCGATTGGTCGCTGCCCTCGCTCTGGCCAATGAGATGCTGCAATTCATTACGAAGCTGCAGCGGACAAGGTTGACTTATATCGAGTGGCTCGAACAAGTGTATGAAGATAATGTCGCCTGTATTTATGTCGCAGATAGAAATTGTCCCCAAACCTGAGAGCAATCCCAGCTTTGTATCGTCTGGCGAAAACACCGCAGCCACAGGCCAATCATTAGGGATATCGTTCCCAAAGTAGAACTGCTTTGAAATGGCACCTGAAGTTAAATCCCACATGACAACGTGAGGGTCACGCCCGAAAATCGCTGCAACCAAATCCCCGTTCGACGAGATCGCAATCGGCGAATCATAGAATAGGATAGTCGCATGAAGCCACTTTAATGGACTCTCGAGTCCGATCGTCTGTACGTTTAGTCCCGTAGCTATATCCCATATCCCGATACAATTCTCTACCCTGGATGCTAATCGTTTGCCATCCGGAAAGAATGCCAGAGAAGTGATGGATGTTCCTGACCATGGAAAGTCCGTTAAGCAGGCACTGGTGAGTGAATCTCGGATTCTGATGATCTTTCCTTCTGTCTCGGAGATAGACGCTGTCGCCAGTTGTGCTCCATCTGGCGAGAAAGCGATTGCCGTAAGTGCTTTTGTTGTTTCTTCGGTTGTACTGTTTGGTAGAGTGGTGGCCAAGTCCCATAACTCAATATTTTGGGCAGGGTAGTAGCGACCATCTCTTGTTTCTGCAATGAACATGCCGTCAGGAGACGGTACTGCTACATGTACCCTGATGCCGGGCCTCCCACCCCCGCTGAGTTGCCGCAGACAAGTGCCCGTGGTAGTGTCCCAGATCCTAGAGGATGCATCTTGTGACACTGACATCAGTCTTTGAGAATCAGCCAGAAACTCAAAGAACCATGAATCATCTTGGAGTTCCTGAAGGCATTCGCCCGTTGAAGCCTCGAATATGTAGATGCAACCCGCCATTGCTACCGCCAGTCTTGAAGCGTCCAAAGAAAACCTTGCGGCCCAGAAAGAAGACACACGTCCATCGGCGCAACTCTTGCCAACGCGTAGAGGCCTATTGGTTGTCATGTTCCAGATAGATAACATGCCATTCTGGTCTGCCACGGAGGCGAGGTGTGTCCCATCCGGTGCAAAAGCGGTGGCTCTGCACTGATGCTGGTGGAGATGATGTGTCTTCACTTCCATACCTGTGCCGAGATCCCAGGTGCGAATGAAGCTTTCCGTGTCCGAGGAGTGGACTGCAGCCAGCCGTGCGCTATCTGGTGAGAACGTGATGTCGACGATATTACAATCATCGTAAAACGTATAGATGCTTGTTGAAGACATCGCGTCCCAAACCTCAACCCCCCGCCAAGACCCAGCAGCGAGGTACTTGCCATCAGTTGAGAAAGCCACTTGACGAACAGAACTCAGGCAGGTGAATGTATGCAGACACGTGCCTGTCTCTGTGTCCCATATTTTAGCGATGCCGTCACCGGACCCAGATGCCAACTGTGTTCCATCTGACGAAAATGCTACTGCGTCAACAGTGTCCGTATGCCCCTCGAGAAAATGAAGGCGGGCTGTCCATCTTGATGGCATATCTGGCTTCTTAACGACCCATTTTGGTACTTCGGTATCCTCGTATAACAGCCGTACCAAGCTCGATTTGGGAGAAAATATGAGTGCTGAGCAATAAACCTGCAGGGGCGCAAGCCCGATTCCAACTTTGTGATACAGGACAAAGCGATAGACATCTTCTATGAGGTTGCGCATTGTACAATCGTGAACCAGTGCCTGGGCATCAGTTAGTCTTCATTGCTTAATTTTTCGAGCGGTTACTTTACCTACCAAGCTCCTCAAGATCCTGACAGCCCTTGCGGCATCAGGAATGCTTCTGATCAAGCTACAGGCCTCCAACCAATTCAGAAGCTTATTGTTGAGAAATCGGTGGACGACACCGTCGTCTTGTAGGCTCAGCACACATTTCTCCCGGTCTAGGTCATTGACAGCTTTGAGATGATTGATCCAATAGATGCAGGAGTATCTCGCATGTCTCAGAACATCTTGATCTTGATCTTGATTCGGCGCGTACTCCTCGATAAGGGCGCCAGGATGGCGGAGATTGTACATATCGCGCCGCAGGGTTGTTGATAAAATCTGCAGTGACCTGGAGAAAACGGCATAATGCTGGCTCCCAATCCGAGGGGCAACCATCTTGTCCCTGAGCAGGAAGTCTTGCGCAGATTGATGAACGAAACGCACCACGTTATCCCTGACCACACGCGGCAACTATTTCCTCAAGCTCGTCGCCGCTGAAAGCATCTTCCATGTCTAGGAGAGAGGCCAGTTCTGCCAACGTGACAGGTCTGTATACGACGGCAACTAGTCGGAGAATCTTCTCACACAGATCGGAGTCTTCGGATTCGCGAATCTGCTGCATCATCCTCTCGTAAAGGGGTCCAAGATCAGATGGAAACTCAGCCATCTTCTTCAATAAATGTCGTTTACGAACTCCCAGTTTCAACAGCTCTTTGCAGACCAAAGCCACCCAGAGGAATGTTCCTCTCGCATTGTCGGTCAAGTAGGTGCGAACCTTTTGTTCCATCTCCTCGTCCAGCCCTTTCGCATTTCTCAATTGAGCCGCTTTGTGGGAAACGAAAAAGCGAACAGCCTCAGAAACTGACTGCTCGTTAAGTTCGAGGGAGAACCGAATGTTTTGTGATACTGTGCCCAGCTTTGCCCCAATCGTGGTCCAGTTTCTGCTCGATACAATCCACTTCGCGTGGGGATTCGCAGATGTTCCCACGATTAGGTCGAGAAGCCGCTCCAAGTCTGCCTGGCATTCATCAAGCGCATCGACCATAAAGACTTGGCCGTCTAAGCTAGGATCGTCCAAGAGTTTGGTGAACATCTGAGAGAGCACAACCCAGGAATTGGCATCCTGGAACAAGGCTGCCCCGGCTTGGTCGTGTTTCTCCTGAAGCTGTGGGAGAAGATGTCGATTTGCATTCACCAATAGGTATATAAGGCCGCGTAGGACAGCCGTGGCGTTGTTAAGTCGGGGATCAGTCGCCTGGCAGAAGAAATAGCACGGCGATATATCGCAGCTCTGCAGTTCATCGATGATACCGCACATAAGCATCGTCTTTCCTTTGCCGGGATCACCTTTGATCCATAGCAGGTGATTTTCTTTCTCATCCCGCCAGGCGATGAAGTCAGTATGCCCTATAGCCCAGCCATAGGCGTCTTGCAAAAGGCCGCCATTTGTGTCTTCAATTCGGGACTTGTCATCGCGTGGATCAGTGACGCGCAAGTCCTTGAGACATTTTTCCGCCTTCTCACCAAGGAAATGCTCTTGTATTGTTGGCAAGATGTCCTGGATCTCGTTTTGGAGTACTCGGCTGCCACGGTCGATCTCGCCAAGCCGTCTTTGGACCGTCAACGCGTTGAATACTCTCGAGTCTTCTTGAACAGCCGCTTCAGCGTTCCGAATATCGTCCAGTTGGCCAGCCCAGTCATCAGCTTTGATTGCATCCCTCCAGAGGGTCGGTCGATGTCGGCGATAATAACGGCAAACGCTCTTCATTTGATAGAGAAGCAGCTTTCGATAAAGATCGATTATATGTTTTTCCATCTCGCTTCGCAGTGCGCTTGGCGCAGACTCGCTTTCGTTGCCATCCAACAGTAGTTCGGCCAGATGCCAGTACCAATCCATCCTTGACACAACGTAGATGATGCCTTGGTGGTTTGCCTTGGCTTCTTGGAAGGAATTCGAGGCCATCTTTGCCGTTATTAGTCACCAAATGGCCACAGATAGAGCACAAGAGCTTACCTCGAAAGCGAAACAGACACCAGTCCATGCAACTGCAGCTTCTGGAACAGCTCGAACAGCTTGGCGCATGGCAGAACTAACTACGGCAAGGCCACCACCAATCTTCTGTTGTTCGCAACTCTCTCTTCCTGTCGTTTCAGAGCCGCATTCACAATCGTATGCATTTGTTTCCATCTTCCGCCATATGCCGCATCGATTCGATTCTCCAGGGACGCTGGCTTGGAGACACAGCCTTGATCGTGAAGGAGCTCCCGGGAGAGGATTTTCTCGTAGGCCTCTACGAGCTCGGCGTTGCTCAGTTTCAGCAGCTCGTATGCTTCGTTCCATAGCCTCCCTTGGAGCGGCTTGGGTTCGATAACGGGCTCAGTGCTCGCTGGAGGCATGGGAACGGCCGTTGATCCATTGGGCACAGGTGGAGGATCAGGCTCAATGGGTACATGTACTTGCTTGTCCTTGTTTGGATCTCTGGTCGACCACTTTTCTTTCAGCTTGTTCAGAAGTCGCGGCATGTTTCCAATGTCTTTTCTATCGTAGCGTGGGAGATGGATATGCTAACCTGTCGTCTCGTAAGGTTATTGAGTAGACGTTGTGTTGATCTCAGCGGCATGTCGACTGGATGTGTAGAGGTACAGCCCCAGGGAGGCTGAATTGGAGGCTGATTCGCTCCAGTCTTTCGTGCCTTCATGTGTCACAGAGGTATCCATGATTGGCCATACCTGCCTGGTTGGCTGCAGTCATGATTGCAACCGACCCAACCAGAGTGCTGCACTTCACCAGGTACATTGGAATATGACCGACCTATAGAGAGATGCAGGTAACTCGCTGTGACCTCAAACGAAGGTTGGTGTTCACGGACGCAAAGAACAGCTCTTTGGCGTTGACGTCAAGGTGGCCTACCCTGGAGGAGTATGAATACTGCTGGGTGCGCTAATAGCAAGGCAATTGATGCTGTGAGAGTGCCGGTGAATTTTCGTGATGTTGTTCTCGAAGGTTGGGTCTGGTGAGAGATCACGTAAGTTTGCTGGGAGCAAACAGTTGAGGTGTATATGCGATCAATTGGCTTCTTTGTCTTCCGTTGTATAGATCTCCACGACTGGTTGTGAGATCCGATACCAGGGATTAGTTGCAGGTACAAGGAGTCCCTTGGTTGAAGATGGACTGTTGACCCTCATAAAGCAAAACTGTTCTACTCCAGGCACGTGATCCGCTACAACAGGCGCCCAACGCCTGCAACATCTTCCGTAGTATAGTGGTCAGTATGCAAGCTTGTCACGCTTGAGACCCGGGTTCAATTCCCGGCGGGAGAGATTTTTTGCCTGACGTTCACTTTTTGTCTGGCGGACAGGACTTCATCACGGAATCTTTCCTTTTGCACTCTCCTGTTCGACAAGGCAAGGTCGGCTGTAAGCGAGGAATAGAAAGGCAGCATTTTCCTTGTATCTCTTGGAATATCGGACACCAGAAGCATCCTGTCTAGCAGCAAGATTCACCAGCGCTACACCGGGATGTTCCGGATTTACACTGAACAAGAATAAACACAACACATACGAACAAACACAGACCGTCGTTTCGACGATCCCATGTGCCGTTTATCGATCAAGCAGCACGGAGCGAAGAGGTAATCTCAGGAAGAAAAGGAAAGAAAAGGAAGACATGGGAAAACGAGGCCACCCAACCGCGGGAAGAGATCCGCTAGGATGGTGGAAGAAGTAATTAAATCGTGACACCCGATTCACACTAAGAAGCCGTGGACGGGGTCTCATAGGTGGAGCGTCGTTTGAGCCGCGGGTGATGTATGAGCGTGTGCGACAAGGCAATCAAACCAAATTTCATCCAAGACAATGTTTCCCTACATGCATGCAAAGACTACAACTACTATCGGGCTTCTGACTGTTTTTCTTTCGAACCTTTACTTACAAGACATGCCTGGGGATATAAAAAAATAGTAGCGATGACTGATGATTGGAAACGCCATATCATTTAGCTTTGCAGAGCCGCGATTCGCGGCGTCCGCTGTCTGACGCATGAGCTGCGGTGGAGAGCGCCATGAGCCCAGAGCTGGCCGTGCTCCGTACGAGTGCATGCATGAACATGCCCCGTGCTTTGGGCCTTGATTGCTTGGGCCGGGATTGTCACGAGCATGGAGTCCGGATTACGAACTGCTCATGGAAAGAATTTTGTCTGCTTTGTCGACGACAGTTGCTGTATGGAGATGCTCAGAAATTCCCATTGGTTCGCTTAGGAGTGGTGATAACGGTGTCCTGAAGAAGTAGACCGGGGCAGAAGGAGAAATAGAACAGAAGAGAAAAAAAAGAAAAGAGAACGCAGAAAATGGGCGTCAAGCTGCATGATGATCACCTGCAAGATGCAATGCGTGGCGGCTTAAGCGACGGCCACAGCTGGGAACTCCCAAATGAGGGTCGATTTTGCATACGAAGCCACACGTCGATATGCAGCGCCACGTAGCCTTACATCAACCACCTCACTCGTGTATTGTGTGTGGTGGTCTCATCAACTAACGTGTGCAGGCGATGTCTGAGGGACGAGTCGATTGGCTGGTGTGCGCTATTACCCATATACGAGGGAGCATGAAGACGGTTGGATTCTACAACGGCAGCAATCACAAGCAAAGAATGTCGATTTCATCTAACAAGCGCTTCTGTAACATTGTAGAGGCTTCGAGATGGCCATCGTCGATGGATGGATGTCGTTAGCGCGGATTTTGGTGGTCATGAACCGGAGACTGTCTTAGTGGCCGGGACGGTAAATTGCAATTGATGCACGAGACTTGTCTTGTAGTTGTACTGTGCTTCATTCAAGTCAATCGGGGTATTTCAGTGAATGAAACAATCAACTGCCGTCTGTCATCAGTCTCAGACATTCATATTCCAGCTTGAGGCTTGCTGACCCCTACTGTTCCCTCGAATAACGTGATGTGAGGTCGCACTCGCTGCCCCAAATCTGATTGTTTCTCCGTTTGCGTCTCTTTCCTTGTCTCAGCCATTCAGCCATGGAGCCAGCTCTTGCCATAAATAACAAGGGTATGCCCCTGTCTACGCCAGGATTATCAGCCAATAATGATGCACCTAACCCTAGCGCAGAATCACCCGAGGCTCCACCCCGTCCACTCAGCGAGCCCGTTCCTGCTTTAGCTGCCCAGTTGGGCCCTCGAGGTCAAGGTCGGGCGTGCCAGGCTGCCGCTAACTAGTGCTAGAGCTCAGCACCAGGCCGCTGTGAGTTGCTGGGCCCGGGGGGCTTGACGGGGCTTGACGGAGCGTGGCTAGGGCGAGGAACAGCGAGGAACAGGGCCATGGATCCTCCACTCAATATCTGATGGTTGCTTCGGTCAGTTATCTAGCGGCGCGGCCCAACCACTCGCGATGGGAACATGCTCCAGCGGCCATGGGCCAGACTTGGCGACTCCAAAAGGTCCCCCGTTAGGTGCTGAGGCCGTTGAAATGGATGCTGGGGTACGCATGTACCGCGACGGGAGTCACCGGCGACTGGCATGTACATGCGCAGCCCACGCGTTGCCGGTGCTGGCCCGCGGTACTCCCTTCATCGCCAATACATGTATCAGAATCTGTATCGCCAGGCGCTGCCCCCCCGGCCGAAAAGCTCCCTCAGCAGTTGCTGCAGGTGCGTCGAACACCCCCGTTTTTTCCCCTTCGGACCGCCAGCAGTTCTCCCTTGCTTCTCAGGACTCGAACACTCTCTGTCTGTCTTCCCACAGCACTCATCCTCCTCCGCAGCCACAACACCGGCAAGCCCACCTTTGAAGCGAGACTCGGCCTCGCCTCGCATCAGATTGGAGCGTCTGGCCTGGCCCAAAACACGGCCCAAACCACTGGCACAGACGGGGTGACGCATTGGAGACGGTCCATCCGCAGCCGGGCCACGACACCGCGCATACAACTGACAAACGAGCTCCTGGTTCCTCTGGGCTGCCTGTCGAGCGCTCGTACTTCGTCCCGTTGCTTGTCGTAGCCACAGCCGCCAGAGACAGCGCGTGAATCACGTCGATATAAGCGGCAGCACTCTCACAGCCTCGCGTCGCCTCCACAGCCATCGATCCGACCGGAACGGGCCCCGAGTAGTGACGAAGAAAAAAGAAAGGAATCGGACGAAACGAGACGAGGAGAAGCAGCAAGGGCTCGAGCCTCGTTTTGCATCTCGGCCCTAACACGCGCTCCCCGACCAGCTTCTGCAGCTGCCTTAGCGCCACCTGCAACCAGAACGCCGAACTGCTGCACTCCGACCGTCTCATCGTCGACATTGCTCATATCAGCCGCCGACCTGACTGCTCTGCTGCCGTCCCGTTCCTTCGTTCACTCCCGGTTGTGATTGCATCGCCGGATGCTGCTCGCGTGCTGACCGAACTGCCAAAGCATCCGCAATCACAATGGGGTCCACAGCCTTTGGCAACTTTAACGTACGCTTTCGTCCAATCTCCGAGTCGCATCGCCTCTGCGTTTGTTGTTTGTTGATGTCGCTGACTCAAGCTCGTAAACAGGACTTTTGCAAGGATTCGACCTTGCCGGTCTGCAACGTAAGTGCTCGCTGAGCTGAGGGAGAAGGTTGGACAGAAGAAGGGCAAGAAGAGCAAGGGGGGGAGAAACGGGATCCAAAAGAGGATTGTTTGCAAAGCTAACCACTCGCCTGCTGCAGTTGCTATCACAACAATTCAAGAACCAAACCGGTCCCTGGGGAGGATGTACGCTCACGGGAATCCCGCTCAGCGGCGGCCGGCATCTGGGTAACCTTGGATCGATTATTTTATGTGGCCTCGGCATAGCCATGGCGTCGTTCCTCATCATCAAGTCGGACAAGAAAAAGGCCGCCGTCGGCCGTCGGTATGTGCTACCGCCGCCAATGCTTCACACACACGGGATCACAGAGCTAACGGCGCGGCAGTGAGATTCAACTATTCCTACTCAGCTACATCCTGGTCAGCATCTGCGAGATCTTTTCGGTGGGCGAAATCCCTCTTGGAAAGACTGTGCGAGTAGTATGTCTACCCGCCATCCCTTGATCTTGACGCATCGTGCACCTGTTGACGGTTTACTGACATTCCAACTCTAGGCTTTTAGCGCCATTCACATTGGCATGATTATCGCATCTACCTGGATTCTTATGCTCAACGCTGTTGTTGGATATCAGCTTATCGATGACGGAACCCCCTTATCCCTGGCGCTGCTTGTGATATCCGCAGGCGCCCTCTTTGTTGGCACCGGCTACATTGCGCTCGACACAGGATTCAGCTGGACCGGATTCTGGGACAGCAGCTATCAACTTCCGAACCGCAACATTGCCCTCTATGTGCTGTACCAGCTGGTTCCCCTGGTCTTCATCGTTGCCTTCTTCGTCCTCGAGACCGTGCTCGTTCTTCGGATCCTGGGCGAGCTTCGTCCCATGATCTACTTGGCCGCCGCCGCCGTGCTCTTCGCCGTCGGCCAGGTTTTCAACTACGTCGTCAGCAAGTACATCTGTGATGGAACCCACGGCAAGATTGACGGAGCCCTCTTCGAGACGCTATTCACCCTTCTGGCCGTCGGCATGGTCTGGGTCTTCTGGTCCAGCATCACCGAGGACGACTGGCCCATGCCCGCCACGGAGACCTACACTTCGCCAGGCTATTCTACTGCCACTGCGGGTTATGCCAACACGGGATATTCCAGCCAAGCGTACGCCAACCAAGGCTACGCCTCTCAGTCGTACACTTCCCACTCTCCATCTTACAACACCCAACCGTACAACTCTCAGCCATACAACTAAAGACAAATTTCCTTGACATTTCTTTTTTGGGTTTGAAACTCGGCGTTTAGGCGGCAGCATTGGCGGCTTCACCCTTTCTCTTATACGTACCTTTTATTGCTCTCGACGAGTTTTATGACGAGTCGAACGACGCGCTCACGCAGCACATATGACACTGGATGCAATAAGCCAGCAGTGACGGATCTCCTTTTCTTGAGGCGAGTGGAGGAAGCGACCAGCCGCATCATGTTGGAGCCAAAAGTTGCTTTCTTTATCTTCTTTTTCTCTTCTTTGTTCAGCCCCCGGAAAAGGGGGGTGTTTGGTCTTCTTTGGTAATAACGTTTTGCGTACTGATGTCGCTTTGGTTGACGGCATCTCGAGAGTTGGAGAGAGAATGTGGGAGAAAACATTGACTATGTTCCTGGTTTCTAGGTTACACGCTTGAGCGGGCTCACGGCCCGGCAACATGTATAGTGGTTTAGATATGACTTTTAGTATACCCCGAAGGAAGAGAGTAATCTTTGCAGCTACTGAAAATGAAGTAGCAGATTGAATTGTGGTGCTCGTTAGAGTTGAGTTCCGTTTCGGAGAAGATGAAGCTGCACCAATTCGGCACATTCAGCAAGCATCTGATAGGCCGGTGCTGTAGTGGAGAAGCTCGAGCACTAACAAGGCTGTAAGTTTCCGTCCTTCAGCAGCCTTATCGATTCGTTGACTTGACCTCTCCAATTGCACGTCATCTCTTGCTCTCTTGCAACAACACACGTTCCTTTACTCTTCGTTCCCCTCTTCTCCTTGAGTGAACCTCAACCTTCTCTTCCTTGACGCATCCCAGTTACTCTCCGCTTTTTTGACACGCCCAGTTTCCACCATGGCCGACTCCGATGGCGAGTTCGTCGCCGACGACATGTCCGACGACGACATCATGGACCACACCGTGACGGACGGCGACCCGAGCGCGGCCCGCCCCAAGGGCTCCAAGCCGCCCAAGAGGAAACGCGACCGCAACGGCGGCTCCAAGGCGTGGGAGCAGTCGCGGCGCACGTGGGAGACGGACCTGCCCGAGGAGAGCGACGGGATGCTCAACCTGGCGGGCTACGAGGCGGAGCGGCGGCGGCGGCTGCTGCGCGACACGACGCCGCTGCAGAGGGGCATCATCCGGCACCTGGTGCTGGTGCTGGACATGTCTTTGCCATGGCGGAGAAGGACCTGCTGCCGACGCGGTACCGGCTGACGCTGAGCTACGCGGCGGCGTTTGTGCGCGAGTACTTTGAGCAGAACCCCATCTCGCAGCTGGCCATTGTGGGCATGAGGGACGGCGTGGCGCTGCGGGTGAGCGACATGGGGGGCAATCCGGCGGAGCACCTCGAGAGGCTGCGCGAGTTTGAGGGGCAGGATCCGTCGGGGAATCCGAGCTTGCAGAATGCGCTGGAGATGTGTCGGGGCGCCTTGTTGTGAGTAGTATTACTATTACCCACCGTTGATTTGCCCAACAGGGTTGTTGTGCCGGGAGTGCTAGAAGAGCTAATTGCTGTTTGCATGTAGTCACGCTCCTTCACACGGCACACGAGAGGTGCTCATCATCTACGGCGCCCTGCTGTCGAGCGACCCCGGCGACATCCACGACACAATCAACAATCTCGTCGCCGAGCGAATACGGGTGTCCGTGGTTGGGCTGTCCGCCCAGGTTGCCATTTGCGCGGAGCTGTGCTCTCGGACGAACGTGGGGGACGACTCGCAGTACAATGTCGCCATGGACGAAACACACTTCAAGGAGCTCTTCCTGGCGCTGACGACGCCTCCGGTGAATCGGACAAAGGAACAGAGCACGTCGAGCCTCTTGATGATGGGCTTCCCGTCACGGACGCTTGCCCCCGGGGGGACCATCAGCTACTGTGCATGCCATAGCCAGCCTTGCCGAGAGGGATACCTATGCACTCGCTGCGGCGTCAAGGTGTGCAGGCTGCCTTCAGAGTGTCCCGCTTGTGGACTGACGCTCATTCTTTCCACGCATCTTGCTCGGTCATATCACCACCTGTTTCCCCTACGGAACTGGGTCGAGGTACCCTGGGCCGAAGCCGGACGATCAACAGCCTGCTTCTCCTGCCAGTGTCCCTTTCCCGAACCCCCCAACAAAGCGAACAAGGACAAGGGCAGAGACGAAGTAGTGCCCACAACAAAAGCGCCGGCCAAGGGCGTGAGCGAAAGCGGGCGATACAAGTGCCAGGTGTGCGACAACCACTTTTGCATCGACTGCGACGTCTTTGCGCACATGGTGATACATAACTGTCCCGGGTGTCAGAGCCAATCTCAGGCTGCTGCTGCGGCTCCTCCGATGACTGATGGCGTGGAGGCCAATGGGAATGGGCACACGAATGGTGGGATGATGGCTATAGATGGATAGGTGGAGGGGCTGAAGCTGAGACCAGGATTTGGATTTCAAAGCAGAAAAAGCGCCATGGGAGCTGTTTTATTCGGGGCATATTGGGTTTTTTTTTTTTTTTTTTTTTTTCTCTCGCAGAAACACATATAGTTCTGTTACTTGGGGCGTTTAGATGAGCATGTACGGAGTCTCGGTTGGTATCCAGCCACCTTTTCTTGGGGTAGCTTTCATTCAAAATTGGTAAAACGGGGGAGAACATCATTTTAACATAATTAGAAGACGAGAGGGAGAATAGTGTCATCTTGATGAAGATAAGTCTCATTTCAGCGTGATTCATATCATGGCTGCAAACTAGCATAATGCTCCCATTGTCAAATAAACAGAAAAACTCCGGAACAGAATGCTGTCCATCCACCACTCGCCTCATTTCCCCTTGGTATCACTATCACTCAAAACACTTTATGTTCTTACAAGTTGCCTCTCTCCGCCTGCTCCCGCTCAATGGCCTCAAACAAGCTCTTAAAGTTGCCCGCGCCAAAGCCCTCAAAGTTGTTCCTCTGGATAATCTCGATAAACACCGTCGGCCGGTCCATCAGCGGCTTCGTAAACAGCTGCAGCAGGTACCCGGCCTCATCGTAGTCAATCAAGATGTTGAGCCGCTGGATGGTGTCCAGATCCTCCTTGAGCTGCCAGTTGCGCTTGTCCGTCTTGAGGCGCTGGCGCATGGTGTCGTAGTAGGTGGACGGGACGTTGATGAACTCGACGCCGCGCGCGCGCAGGGCCGACACGGACGAGATGATGTCGGGCGTGAGGAGCGCAATGTGCTGCACGCCCGGCCCGGAGTTGAAGATGACGTACTCCTCGATCTGGGACTTCTTCTTGCCGGGGGCGGGCTCGTTGATGGGCATCTTGACGAGGTTGTTGGGGGAGGACATGACGATGGAGTTGAGGGCGGAGAACTCGGTGCAGATCTGGGAGTCGTCGACGGACCAGAAGCGGTGGAAGGACAGGCAGCGCTCGTAGAAGGCGCACGCGGACACCATCTCGTTCCACGACTGGTTGCCGACGCAGTGGTCGATGCGGGCCAGCGGCACGTCGGGCAGGGCCACGGACGAGGCGCGCTTGTTGCCCGCGCGGAAGCCGGGGAGGAAGGGGCCGTTGTAGTCGCGGCGGTTGATGAGCGTGTGCGTGGTGTCGCCGTACGTGCAGATGACGGCCGTGGTGACGGAGCCGTGCTCGTCCTTTGTCACCGTCGGGCCTTGGACGGCGACGGCGCCCTCCGCGACGGCCTTGCTGTACACGGCCTCGACGTTGTCGACCTCGAAGGCGACGTCCTTGACGGCGTCGCCGTGCCGCTCGAGGTGGGCGTGCATCTCCCGCAGGAGCTTCCTCTCGGCGTCGGTGATGGGCTCGTCCGCGGGGAGGTGCACCTCGGACCGCAGCGGCGACGTGAAGACGAAGCGGACGCCGTTGCAGCACACGACGTACGACGCAAAGTACCGGCTGCCCGTCTCGAGCCCGCGGTACGCCGTCGTCTCGAAGCCGAAGAGCGTCGTGTAGTAGGACGCCGCCTGCTTGGCGTTGCCCACCCACCACGTTACGTGGTCATAGCCGGTGAAGTCGGCGGGAGCCTGGATGGCGAGGCTGTCCGGGGTGGTGCCGTTGGCGGCAGGGCGCTGCTCGGGGGTGTTGTCGCTGATAGCAGAGGGGGACATTGCCACTCAGAAGGTATAGGGGGGGGGGATGAGGTCTGGGCTGTAGATGCCGGAAGATAGATGTGTTTGGTATATAAGATGTAGACGCAAGAGGTCTTTGATCGTTGAGAAGATGAGTATGGTGGTAATGCAGAAACAGATATATGATGGCCCATGCGGAGGGCAAGCCTTTCTTATGAAGCCCGAGAGACTTCATCCTGTCCTCCACCGAACCCAACTCCTGCATCCCATCGGAACCGTCCCGCACCCCGAGCAAAGGCGAGCGGGCGATGGATTCTAGCGGCCCAAGCAAGCTTCTCCTTCGACATCAAGGTTTCAGAGGCGGCTTACGTTGGTCTTCGCCGGCACCTCCTCCTTTGTGCTCCCGTCATAGAAATACAGCAGCAGCTTTGCAGCAGTCATGCTCGGTAGGGCTTCCGCTAGCCGTAGCTCCGATCACACAGCCTGCTGCTCTCGTCCAGTCTTCCCTGTAATCCGAGCGCCCTGACTGGCTCTGAGTGGCTGCAGCCCAAGCCGCGATCGTCCAACAGACGCCCTCGAACCTCCTTTTCGCAGCAATCAGAGGCCGTAGCGCCGGGAGTCGAGGCTGTTGTCTGCCGTGCGGAATTGCGCCGTCCCGGCGGTGCCAGCCGAGGAAAGCCGACAATGGCCGCCCCACCACCGCCCGGCTTATGTTCCGCCGCCACCGAATCGAGGGAGAAATGACAGAATGACGGCATGCTCGCGCTCGCGCTCTTCTCTTTGACAGTTGCTGGCGGATAAAGGCTTATACGGAAGTCGATCGATCGTTTCTGACAAGGGAGGAGGAAACGGGGTTCCGCTGCGGTGCGCCTGTGGCCAAGCTGCGCCGAGTGCCGAAGCTGCTGGCAGGTAAGGTTTTGGGGGGGCGTATTAGTCGAGCCAAAGATGACTGCGGAAAAACCGTCACTTGACGCGGCTACTCGAGGGATTGCCCGCGACAGCAACAGCCTGGTCCGGGTCTCATATGAATCGAAGCCACCGCTTGTGGCTGGTCTCTTTCATCTCTGTATTTTTGAGACTCGTCTCGCTGCTGTGAACAATATCGAAATCTCAATCCAACACCACTTGTCAACTTCTCAACCCAAAAAACAGACAGACCCGCCAAGATGACGACGGTATCGCTCAGCAGGCACGACATCAACGTGCTGGAAAAGATCAAGGATCCCGAGTCCAACCCGGCCGCCGGCGTCGTCATTGACCCTGCTCTGCCTCGCGATCCCCAGATTGTCGACCACAGCGCGTACGAGAGAGTGGTGGAGAGGGAACGCGCCATCATCCGCACGCTCCAGGCCATCGAGATGCAGCTCGGCGGCTTCCAGAGCGACGACGACGCCGACAAGGCCGTGGAGAGCTACAAGAGCTGCGTGTCAGATTTCGATCATCTCATTTCAGATTATCCTCTCTATGCTAGCGCGAGAAACAACCGCGCCCAAATCATGCGCCGGCTGTACGGCGACGCCATGCTGCTCAGCTACACAGTGACCATGCCCATGCCGCTGATTCCCCAGCCAGAGCAGTCGGAGAAGAGAGCAGCGGCGAAGCAAACATTGGAGGACATGGAAACCGCAATCCGGCTGCTCACCCCGCCCTCGCCAACGTCTCCCATGTCTGCACAGGCTGCGCGGACGCTGTCCATGGCGCACACGCAGCGAGCGGCAATCTACCTCAGGACAGCCAAGCTCATGCCAGATCGCCATGTGGATCTGGATGAAAGCCGCGAGGAAGCCACCTGGTCTCGCATCGACTTTGAGGAGGCCGCATCGAGAGACTTGGCGCTCGGAGGCCGATATGGAAACCAGATTGCCAAGGCGTTGGCCGTCAGTGTCAATCCCACGGCGAAGCTCTGCGGGCAGATAGTTCGAGAGGCGATGAAGAAGGAATATGGCCCCGCGTTTGAGGTCTAAATCTTGTATGAGATTCCTCGCTGTATATCCGAGAGAGACGGATGGGTCATGGCATTCGACCAGCCATGGTAACTTTGGCGTTTTGTGTGTTTATAGCATGGATTGGCGGCGTTTCTTGAGCTGGAAACATGAGATGACGACATAAAGATAGCAAATCTACTTTTTAGAAAGCCCAATGCGTCTATACAAACAGAATCAGCAATCGTGAAGCGTCAATAGAGTCCATGTCTCATACCGTAGGCCAGCTTCAATCGTCTCATTCGTCGTCCTTCCCTTGGCCTTCTCTTCACGGTTGATCCTCGTTGCAGCGGCCGACACTCCGATCAGGACGGCAAAGATGGGGTCTCCGACCCGAGAGATAATGTACGTTGGGGCAGGCATCTTGATATCAGACTGGTGTACTGCGCGTAATTATTTGTCGAGCTGTGAATTTTGTATATCGACACTTTTTCCCCGTGATCTCAAAAAGATTCATCTCACCAAAAGCGAATAGAGACGCACACAGAGAAACAGCGCCCCAAAGCGCGCCCCCCCTTCCATCCCAGCGCACGGACCACGTCCGATAAGCCAAGCGCAATCACCACGTGATCGCACACCTGCGAGTCGCTTGCCCCAAATCCGTCAGCCCACAAACCCCAAAATTTGCACCAAATTCCCGTATCACGGCTCCTGACCTTACTCGACCTGACGAAATTTCCTCCTTTTCCCAGCCAACCTCCCACACCCCCAAAAGGCAGGACAAAATGAAGTTCCTCAAGGTCGGCCGAGTCGCCATCATCACCCGAGGCCGATATGCCGGCAAGAAGGTACGAAAAGCAAGAACAGATTTCACGGATTTCCCAAAGCTACGAGGACGAGCGCCCAGTTGTTCGTATCGGTTTCGACGGTTCTCGATATAATAATTCCTCCATGGTCTCCTCCCATTTTTTTTCTTCGGACGATTGGATTGTTGTTACAAAGGGGAAATGGGAGGAGTTTAGAGGAGAAACGAGGACGACGAAATCGATACGGACAACGAGCGCTGCGGAATTGTCTTTTTTTCCTTCGGGCACATGTGACAACCACCACCCCATACAGAAGTGCTGACATTCCTCCCCCTTCAACCAACAGGTCGTCATCATCCAGCCCGTCGACAGCGGCAACAAGCCTCACCCCTTCGGCCACGCCATCGTCGCCGGCATCGAGCGCTACCCCTCAAAGATCACCCGCCGCATGTCCAAGACCCGCCAGGAGAAGCGCTCCAAGGTCAAGCCCTTCATCGAGGGCATCAAGGGCACCATCTCCGCAGACACCTTCAAGGAGGTCAGCCAGCGGGAGGACGCCAAGAAGACGGTCAAGAAGGTGCTCGAGGAGCGATACACCAGCGGCAAGAACCGATGGTTCTTTACCCCTCTGAGTACGTCTTTCCCCTTCTACTACTTTGCTCTTCCTCTTCTTTCAATCTCTCAAGATTGCAACATGGGGCAATGGGAGATGCCGAATCGATTGAACATAGCAACAAGATAACTAACCGGACTACTTCTTCTACAGGATTCTAAATAAAAATCGTTTTCTCCATCACAGGTCTGGGAGTTGGCGGGATGTAAAGAGCATCGATTGGTACTTTTAAGGAACCACGGTTTATGGGCTCAAATATGAAGTTCATTATCAAATTCTGCAAACCAAAAACACAACACAATTTTCTTTCTCGTTCACTACGTGAAAATGACTCTTTTTCTTCTTTGCCAAGTGACATGGTTAAGAAACAAAAACAAATCACTTCCTCTTGAGAGAGAGGTGAGACACGAACTTTTAGTGTCGTCGATGTTGATACTACTACCATTGCTGCTCATGGGACATGGCACGAAAGCTGAAGAGATGGGGCAAAAGGACATGGACCGTTTCGGTATTCTGTAGACACAAAGTGTGTACGGAGTACCAATCGGCTTTTTGCACCCCAATTGAACAACTGCCATCCCCCTCACTGCTATGCCGAGAAATTGGACAAGACGCGAAAAAGAGCCACAAGAGTACAATTACTACTTGTACGACGTGACACTCAGCAAGAAACAAAGTAGTTCAGGGCATTTTGTAGAAATTTCATCTCTATAAACTCAGCTTCACGCGCCCCGTCTAAAGTACATCAAATCAGACCGAAAGGCGCGATACAAACTTGATTTTCGAGCAGCATCGACCTGGGAATGCCGCCCGGCGCTCTATAATTATACACCAATAGCAATAAGAATAAAAACAGGTCTCTCTCTCAACAGCCAAGGATAGTACCTAAAAAGCCCACCTCTCTTGTCTCCAATTCAGAGGGCCTTTTTTTGTCTTTTCTTCGTCTTCTCTTTCTGTTTGCTGGGGTTATTTCTGTTGGCGAGAATGAAACAAGGGAGGCGCTGGGGCCGCTCAGAGGCCCGTCGCCCACAAGAAACAGAAGATTGACCCTTTAGATTGTCTGTCCTTCCAACCAAACAACGCCGTTGACGCACTCATACCTCGTTTTACAGTTGGCTCTAGAAAGAAAGAAGCCAGTTTGGTTCGTTTCATGACGGTTTTACTCGGCTCCCTGCGCAGCGGCGGCGGCGGCAGGGTTGCCCTTGAAGTGGCTGCTCACTTCAGAGGCCAGCTTGGAGGGGTCGTATTCGGGGGCATAGGTGGGAGCCAGGCCGCCGAAGACGCAGAAGATGAACATGACCGCCATGACGATGATGGACAGCTTGCGGAGAATGGGCTTGCGGGCGCCAAACTCGGCCCACTGGCGGCCGGCCTCGCCGGCGTAGCCCTTGATAGCCTCGAAGCCGAGCTTGTAGTACACCATGCCGCCGAGGGCGATGGAGTAGCCAAAGAATTGGAGGGCAGTCACCTGGGTGCCCCAGATCATCATGGAGGCGACGACGAGCATGATGTCCTTGAGAACACCGCAGAGGGTGAGGACGACAGCAGAGGTCTTGCCAATCTGTAGGAAGGGTCGGGGTCAGCGATTTGGACTTGCATGCGTAGAAACAAGGGGTTTATCACATACCAAGAACACGACGGAGACGTTGAGCATGAAGGCGCAGAGACCGTTGAGGAAGAAGGTGAAGAAGCCGACGTTGTACACCTCAGCCATGGAGACCTTGGGGAACTCCCAGATCAGGGCGACCACTCCGTTCATGACGGCGCAAATAGGAGCAAAGTAGTAGAGGGACACGAGGGGATCCATCTTGAAGTCGGCCGAGCTCAGCAGACGCTGGACCATGGTGAGTCGGAGGGCCTCGAAGATGACACCGGCAATCTGGTAGGCAACACCAATGACGACGAAGTGGATTTCGCCCATCGAGGCAATGATGACACCGACGACAATGGCCGAGACGTTGAGGAACTGCTTCAGGTTCGGCTGCGACACGCCCAGGGCCCAGCCGGAAATCAGGACGGCGACGGGCGTGGTGGCCTTGAGCATCTGGATAAAGGCAACCGACAGGTACAGGTAGGTCAGGTTGCCGCAGATCAGACTCAGACTGAAGAAGACACCAATTGGCACAACGGCTCGCAGGTACACGCGACCCGTCATCTTAACCGTCTTTCGGCCATCGAGCATCGTCGTCCAGCGGGCCATGATCTGAGTGACGACGGTGGCGAAGGTGAGGTGGTAGGTCGTGAGGATAACGGGGTAGCCTGGATCCGGGGAGCGTCAGCACACACCGTTCACATAACACAATTGTATTCAGAGCTCAGGAGGGAGCGTCAAGACGTACGGAAGTTGAGCGTGTCCAGGAGCCATTTGTTGAACAGAATGACGGAAGAGCTGAAGCCAATCCATGTGCTGCCCGCGCGCTATTAGCATCGTGTTCGCATGTCGGGTCGGCCGCAATCGCAAGGGACTACTCACACAACGTAGAAGACGGGGTGGAAGGAGGCCTTTGCAGGCGCGGGCTTGTCGGCCAGAGGGTTGACGGTGGGAAGGACAGGAGAGCTGTCGGAGCGAGCGATGTCGCCCGACACTCTGGTCTTTTCTTCAGCAGACATGGCGGCGGCAACTGAAGCTATTCACAGCGAGTTGCGTGCGAGAGAGAGGGAGATGATGGAGGAAGAAGAAGTCGGTCGACGGCACCGCTTCGCAGGTTTGCTCTGGAGTTTTAGGGGAGACGCGCAAACGAACGAGCGGACGGACAGACAGGCAGTCCTTTTTTTAGCAGGCAGGGTACGTAGCAGCCTCGAGGATGGCGACAAGGGACAAGGGGGGCGCAAGCCGGGCTGGGACGAGAGACGGGAGGAAAAGAGAGAGAGAGTGAGGGGCGGCCAGGATATGCAATAAAGCGAGTGTGGTGGAAAACAGGGACCGCCCGGAAGAAGAATGGTCTTGCGCAAGCAGCCAAGGAGCAAGTTTCTGGCGCTTGCGGTCAACAAGTCAAGACGACGATGAGAATACAAAGGAGGATAAATGGAAAAGAAAAGAAAAAATACAAGTTGCACGAATGTAGGCGATGGTGTGCTTGAAGAGGGGGGGAAAGAAGAGGGAAAAAAGAGAAAAGAAGTTTCTCTGTGATGGCGATTGGGAGGGAAGGGGGAAGTCAAATAGGGGACTATCTAGGTACGAGTTACACTGTATAGCCGCTACTACAGTAAGAGGTCGAGATCAGAGGGTCAAGACAGGCAGACACAGTTGAGGCTAGATAGACATCCACGGCACATCACATCGAGGCAATTAAAGTCAATCAGAGGAAATTGGCCCTTGATTCCTGCGTGCTGATTGACGAAGGTGAAGAAGTCGAGCTTTTCCGCACCGAGTTGATCCCGCAAGCACGCGCCACGGGGGTTGCGGGTACTCGACGTCAGGGCGCGCTCAGCGACCCTCTCCAGGTACCCAGTACTCGCCATCCGCCGTGCCTGGCTGCGAGCCTTCAGGGGTTTTCTTCCAGGGAGACGCTCCAGCCTACAGGGGGGCCGCCCACATCTCGCTCACACCCCCTTGGCGAATCAATCCACCCACGTTTGAGGCCGCGATAAGACAGGCAGCTGGAGCCAGAAAGATTGGATCGTCTCCCAGTATGGAGCAGACTGGGGGTGCCAATAAAGTGCAGCCCGGCCGGCCAGCCCATCTGCATCGCCACAGCCCTAGCCGCGTACAGGTACAAGGACGCGTCGGGCTGGAGACTGTGTTTGTCGAGGCAGTTGGTAACCTTATTAGGATTCATATGGTCGAGAGCGATACGAGTAAGCCAGCGTTCGAGTATTACTCCGTATAACTGTGACGTTTTTATAAAGTTCTCGAGTCTGAATGAACGAGGCTGACCGGGCAGGCGACGGTGAGACCTGACTCAACGGGACAGTACGTGAGAGTTGCGAGAAATGGAAAAGAGGGCCACCCCAATTTTCCAATCTCTTCATTTCCGTTTCGTCTGATGCACAGTGCCTTACAGACAACGTTGCAGACAATTTCATCTGCAAACAACCACGCAGCTTTCGTCCGAACTCGGTTGCTGCTGGAGTGACTTATCCTTCTCCCGTCCTCTTCTCCCCGTTACACCAAATCCGGACGCGGCAAAGAACTCGAACGGTCGATAAACAGCATCAGGCATTGGATCCAACTGCTTCATCGTCAACCCGTTCGTTGCTATGTAAGCTTCGTATCGGATTATCCCAGCATCCCAGCAGCGGGGCCGGAAACAAAAGAAAGGTTCAGGTTACTATAAAGATCGCGGGGATGCCAAGGCGGCCTCGACCTGTGACGCATCCCTTTTTTTGCTCCGTCCACCTTATTTTTACTCGCTGCGATAGTTTTTTCCTGCCTGATGCCGTTGGAGGCGGCAGCTTGCGTCTTTCTCCGCGTCTCCTCCGTGGCAAGCTTGGCGAGCAGGTCGTAGAACCTGGTCGGCCACGATGCGAGCTGCGCTAGGACAAAGCTTGGCACTGAGCTTCAATGGACCTTGCCTGACTCTGCCGGATCTGTTAGCAGAAGATGGATGTTCGATAGAGCTTCTAGTGGTTTTGACGACACCTATTTTTCATAAGATTGCCCTGCCAGAGTCTCTCGCGTCCTTGGGTACATACAAAAGGTGTAGATACTCATGCATTATGATATTGGCCTTGTCACTGTCCTTCTTCCCACTGTGCTGATGTGGACCTGGCTTGTATTGAGGAGAAAATTCTGCATTGTCGAGTACAGTAGGATTACGGACTGGAAGTACTGCAGAGCACCTAGATAGTTCGCGTGTATCACAAGTACCGACGATCATAAGGAGCCGGAGCCGGAGGTCGGCGGCATTTCATTCAGGAGAAGCGCCTATCCGGATGTGCAAGCCGTTGTGTGTTGCGAACGCCGGCACATGAACTGCTCCAGTTGGTTCGACGGAGAATTTCCAACTGCCAGATATCTGACTGCTCCGTGTTCTCTGACACCTCTTTTGAAGCCAATTACTCATGTCGTCCTCTGAATAGATGCTACTATTCCAAGTGGCAAAGAGAGCAGTGCACAGTCTCGCTCGACGTTGCCATGCAGACATCATCATGGCAGTGGGTCTGCGGCAAACCACCACACGACGCGATTAATGCTCTCAGCAATCGTTGCGCCATGCAATGCCAAAGTCAAAAAGGACTAAACCTCAATCGTATTACCGCCAGGCACGGAATGCCGAGTCCATCAGACATCTCTTATCTCCCCTTCTCTCGCTGGGTGCACCCATCACCGCGTCGCAAAGGTGCACAGTACGTACTCGTACAGGGACTCGCACAAACGGCCGCAGAGAACCTCGGGCGTGCCACAGAGCACGGAGCAGGTCGATCTCTGATCTGCCATTGTTTCAGGATTCACTACGGAGCACCGCATGCCAGCCAAAGAGTCAAGGAGGTTCCCATGTCGTCCGGAGCAGCTGTGGGCAAAAGCTAGCCTCTTTCAAGGAGCGGGCCAGTTGATCGTACAAGGATCCAAAATGACGTCGAAAGTCTCCAGAAGGGTGACGACGCATTTGTCCCTTTTTACTGGTAGTATTGCAGTAGTAATATGCACTGCTATCGCCGTCCCCATCTCCAGCTGTGCTGTGGCCCAGAATGCCCTTTGTTTCTCACGTCCAGGGCCGAGGATCTGCATATCTGACTGGATCTCACCGTCTCCTGGCGCAGGCACAAACGCTCGGCCGCCTTTTTCTCCTGGTCTGACCTCCCTGAAGATCATTCCTCTAGGTAGAAGGCTTGTAACCCTCTGGAAACCTGTTTGCCATTTGTTGGTGGGGGAGCTTCAGTCCTGATAGGTGTTCGCTTGTGCAGAGTACCGAGAGACGGCATGGGAAGCGGCAGCTAGCCTCTCCGAGTATCACGAGCCAGAACTGCAGTGCTGGATGCAGTGCTTTGGTACGACAGGAAGCTCCCGCCGTGTCTCCTTTTTCCACAGTTTGCAGGGCGATGAACTGCCGCCAGTTGCACGGCTGCGACGCTTGGTTTCCCGTCCCTCGTAGCTTGCTCCTAATCAGCACAGTTTACATATGGGCCACGGAAACGGTCCTTGGTAAGAAGTAGTAGTAGATTGCTGTCCGCATGTGAATGCGTGTGCCGCCCATCTCACTCCAGCTGAACCTGTCTGATTACAAGTATGCATCAATGGCTGAATTGGGCTGAAGCTGTTCTTTGTTGAAATAAGCTGGTGGAGCGAGCTGCGAGTGTCGCAAAAGCCGTCAATGGGGCCATGTGGTGTGCAGCTTATTACATGAAGCAGCTTATTTGCAGGCAATTGGTCTTGCTCTCTGATGAGAAATTGCGATGGCTCTGCTGGTGGATGCCATGGCCGGGATATGGATATCCTCATCTTGCCATCTTGGTCACCTACTACCTTAGATTAGGTAGCGCACAAAAAGGCGGACGGATGATACAGTCGTCCAGGAATTGTGTGCCGTGATGGCGAGATCGAGGGCCCTCGAGATCGCATGTGTCCCGTTGGAACAGCACAAACAATGGGCTCAATTGATGATCCCGAGGGACATCAGCCACAGAAAAAAAAACGATTGCTTTCAGGGTCCAGCGTCTCCGGCTGTTCGATAGCTGCAATCCTCCCGAGAGATTCAAACGACAGTGGCCAGATCCCATACAAACACCGTGGAGCTGTCCTCGAGGCCTCGTACCGCTACATCATCCTCGTACTTGGGGCCCTCCATATCTGAAACTCGTAACGGAACCGGATCTAGTCATCACCTTGTTTCTATTACAGTCTTGCTCACACGGCTGCCTTTCCAGCCACTCGTCATCACGGGTGGAACCCCCTCCTCCACCGCGAACTTTGCCAGAACGCGCACTATCTCCTACTCGTGCTCTATTCGTGCTCTCTGGCAATTTCACCCACTGTCCCCTGGGCCCTCCCAGTGGCGGCTTGGCCACCCGCCGTTGGTCGAGGCTGGTGATGCTAAGGCCGGACGCGGGCTAGCACCGCAGCAGTGATGGAGGGGTGGGGGATCGGGCGCGCCAGGGGTCCTCTCTCGAAAGAGGCCAGGTCACCAGGAGGACGGGCTTGGATGCGTGTGATGGCGGAGGAGAGTTGGGAAACAAGAGAGAGAGAATCAGAAAATAGGCGGGTTGGGCGCGGTGCCGGCCCCTGTCCAGCCCAAAGCCCAGCGCCGCTCCAGCCCCTCCATCGCCGCCTCGACTCCTTTCCCCAGGCGTGGAAAAGCAAATTGCGGCGCGGCTACTTCGTACTTCTTGCGAGCCATTGCCTCTCTCCTCCTCCTCCTCCAACTTCTCTTCTCTTGCAACAGCAATCCTCTAATACCCTCGCCCTCGCCCGTTTGCTTTTTTGGCGCTTACGGCTTCCGTCCTGCATCTTCAGTTTCCAGCTTCAGTCTCTCCCTCTTTTCTTTCCCCCTCCAAATTAATCCCACCAAAAAATCCCCCACCATGGCCGACATGTGCGTTGCTACCCTCATCCTCCCTCCCCCCTGAATCCAGCGCGATTACTCGCGTCTCTCGCGATGCTGCTGTGCTCTGCGGCCGTCTGTGATACGAGTAGCTGACCCAATTGCAGTAACGTTGATGTCCTCGTCATTGGCATGGGCCCGACTGGTCTCGGTGCCGCCAAGCGTCTGAACCAGATCGTATGCGCGCTCCCCCTCCTCCCCTCACCGCCCGCGATACGCTCGTCTCGATGCTGATACTCTTTTGCCAGGGCGGTCCTTCATGGCTGATCGTTGACTCGGCCGACAAGGCTGGTGGTCTCGCCAGCACCGACGTCACCCCCGAGGGCTTCGTAAGTGCTCGCTCTGCCTCTTGCAACCTCCGCATTCGAACCGTTGCGCTAACCAGCTGCTTTGCCCTTTGCAGCTGTACGACGTTGGTGGCCATGTCATCTTCTCCCACTACAAGTACTTCGACGACTGCCTGGACGAGGCCCTCCCCAAGGAGGACGACTGGTCCGTCCACGAGCGCGTCTCCTACGTCCGCTACAAGGGCCTCTGGGTGCCCTACCCCTTCCAGAACAACATCTCCATGCTGCCCAAGGAGGACCAGGTCCGGTGTATGGACGGCCTGATTGACGCCGCTCTGGAGCACCGCGTCGCCAACACCAAGCCCAAGGACTTTGACGAGTGGATTCTGAGAATGCAGGGCCCTGGCCTCGCCGACATCTTCATGCGCCCTTACAACTACAAGGTCTGGGCCGTTCCCACCACCAAGGTAAGTAACATGCAGCAATTGAGTCGTCTGATTGGCGTTGGAAGAGATGCTAACTGTAGCTGTTCCGTAGATGCAATGCCAGTGGCTCGGTGAGCGAGTGGCCGCCCCCGATGTCAAGACCGTCACCAGGAACATCATCCTGAACAAGGTCGCCGGCAACTGGGGCCCCAATGCCACCTTCCGCTTCCCCACCCGGGACGGCACCGGTGGTATCTGGATCGCCGTCGCCGACACGCTCCCCAAGGAGAAGAAGCGCTTCGGCAAGCAGGGCGAGGTTACCAAGGTGGACGCCGAGAAGAAGATTGTCCACATGGCCGACGGCACCAAGATTGGCTACGGCTCGCTGATCAACACCATGGCCGTCGACCACCTCGTCGAGAAGATGGGCAACAAGGAGCTCATCACCCTATCCAAGGGCCTGTACTACTCCACCACCCACGTCATCGGCGTTGGTATCCGCGGCGAGCGCCCTGAGCGCATCGGCGACAAGTGCTGGGTAAGATTGCTCCTTGCGATGAGATGATGATTGCATTGGACTCGGAGGCTAACCGTTTTGTGCGCAGCTGTACTTCCCCGAGGACAACTGCCCCTTCTACCGTGCCACCATCTTCTCCAACTACTCCCAGTACAACCAGCCCCAAAAGGAGACCAAGCTGCCCACCCTGTACCACGCCGACGGCAGCAAGCCTGCTTCGTCTGAGCCCAAGGAGGGTCCCTACTGGTCCATCATGCTGGAGATTTCCCAGTCTACCATGAAGCCCGTGGACGTGGAGAACATCCTCCGAGACAGCATCCAGGGTCTCATCAACACGGAGATGATCAAGCCTGAGGACGAGATCGTCTCGACCTACCACCGTGCCTTTGACCACGGATACCCCACTCCTTCTCTCGAGCGTGAGGGTGTCCTGCAGGAGCTGCTGCCCAAGCTCCAGGACATGGGCATCTACTCCCGTGGTCGCTTCGGCAGCTGGCGATACGAGGTCGGCAACCAGGACCACTCCTTCATGCTGGGTGTCGAGGCCGTCGACCACATCACCAGCGGAGCTGTTGAGCTGACCCTCAACTACCCCGACTTTGTCAACGGCCGCAAGAACACCGAGAGGCGTCTGGCCCAGGCCTTTAGCTACGGCGCCCAGCCTCTGCCCACCCGCGAGAGGAACTAGGCGTTTTTTTTATTTGGAATTGAATATTAATTAGGGTGCACAAATGTACACGTTGTTGCGCTATATCCTGCACTTGCAGATATGGGAGCGTACGTTTGGCTGTGGCTTGCGGGAAACGGGATTGTCACGATCTGAAAACTCATGAACGGCTCGATCGATTCGAACGCCTGGGGTAATCTGAGGGCAGTCGGGCATAGCATAGATTCTCTTTGCCACTTGATGGCGAGATTGAGTTTTACGATAGAGATAGAGAGAGCGGAACTGCTCTTTTTCTGACAATGAATGAATTACAATAATGCATGGATGTGTCGGGAGTTGCATACGGTGAAGAGAATGTAGTGTTCCGCATGTTTTATTGGAAGAGGCAAGCACATGTTCAACAGCGACAGACTTTGGAGGTTTGCTTACGCGGACAGCAAGGCACGTGAAAGTCTCCAGTCAACTTTAGTACTCACTGACTCGAATGGCCTTTTTGACACATGCCGTTGCTGATGAAGGATTTTGTTCCCAAAAACTGCGTACAAGTACGAAGTATGGACTTTTTAGTGGGTTCGGAGAGAAGAGCGTTTTCTTCGGCCACTTACATCATTCATGGATCCCATTCAGGCACAGAAAACGCCAAAGGCGCTAAGAATATGGGAAAGGGAAGAATTTTCTGTTCTTTATTCCCTTTAGGCGTTGGTGATGTTGTGTCTTGAGCAAGTACAGTAGGCAGGCATTCTGATTCCCAGTTCTAGGGTAATCTCGAGGACGAAGTATTTGGTGCTAGAGGATGGTCAGTGCTCTCTTTTTGGGGCCTCGAGTTTCAAGGGCAGGAATGCTGGTTGCTGCAGATGCACGGGAAATTAGGTCGATTGGTTAGATGGCGCTACTGCTGTGACATCTACGTAATAGATTTTCCCATGGTGTTTTACGTTGATTCTCAACAAGAGAGAGAATCGGTACAAGTACGATATCACATAGAAGTGGGTGGGTGCGTAATAAGACATACATACGAGTACCTTAGGTAGATTGGTAGAGTAAGAGGAAAAAGAGCGCTTGGCGCCCTTGGAGGGGACGAGTTGCTCCGTTTGAAATCGGAGATCAGCAGACAAGGGGGACACGGACAGGACAAGGCTCCAGGCGAGGAGCTAAAAGAAGGGAAGCGAAATTTCCCTCAAAAGGGCAATGACGGAATGATGCGTGTGTTGGTTTTTTGGGCATCACCTGCTGTTGTTGCCTTTTGTAGGATCTTGTCTTTTTCCATGTAGTATTCACCCTCTCCTTTGCACGTTTTTTTGTCGTTCTAATAAGTGGTAGGATGAGATGAGGCGCACACGTAGCTAGCAAGGCAAGCAAAGTACACAGGTAAGGCAGAAGTCGTCCCCTTTCAGATACATGCATATGTAAGTTGTAACAAGGCAACAATTGCCATCATTTTTCTGTCTTGGCCAGCGGATCACCCGACGATTCAAAGGACATGGGGGCCGCGATTGGCGGGGTCAATAAACTGGACCTCGATTTTTTTTTTTCTTTTCTTTTTGTTTCGTCTGCTCCGGCAGTGATTTGTTGATAGAGACCCTTTTTTTCTTCGCTCCGTCGATTTTTTTTTTCTCCCAAGATGAGTGGCGCGAGCCTGGCAAACCTGGGTAGTTGCCTAGCACGTTTACTAGCAGTGCCAGCTGGGAGGACCGTTATTAGTCCAAGGAGATAAAGAAGAAAGAAGAGTGACCAGAAGCACGAGTGGCTTTTTTTTTTCGGGGCGGTCTGTTAGCGCCTCTTCCGCCTGGGTTCAGGCTCAGCAGGTTATCCGCCGGATTGGATCGTCGACTTGCGTGAGAGGAGCTGCAACGAGGGGAGGGAGGGGGGGCACGACGTTGTTCGTGTTGCCGTTGATTCCCAGGCTTTTTTTCCAGCTTCTCCTTTTTTTGTGGTATGTGGATGTAGGTAATACTCGTATTATAGCATGCATGTTAGTAGGTAAGGTAGGTAGCACGATTACCTCTTCTGGTGCCTGCAGAGCTGTGGTATGTAGCCCAGCGAGAGAAATTGATGACATGGCTGCGTGACGGCAGATGGATGGCTCGCCGCGTTTGGGGCAAATCACTCGTCGTCCTTGCGTCCCCTCTTCTGGCGAATGGGCGATTGGGCGCGGGTTTGCTGTTGTTTTGTGCTTGACGATGGAAGGGCATAGCATAGGAAAACGTACAAGTAAATGGGAGATTCACATTCCCGGCCGGATGTTGCCCGCCCTTTTCAAGACGTTGTTTGATGTAATATTATCGTAGTAGTACTATATCGTTGGGTTTGCATCTATATCACCACAAACGCAACGGGGTACCTTGGCGCCACGGGAGATACCAGCGCTGGCACGCGGGATACCTTGTACGGTCTAGTGGGGTACCTGAGCTGGCGCTCCATTACCGCGGCAGGGCGCCAGGGAGAGCGGGCAACGTGAAGGTATCAGCATACCCACTCGGCGACAGCCACCAGGTACCGAGCCTTCCTATCAGGTACCTACTGCGCTGGCCTCACGCCGGGCGACAGCTGCAGCACAGCACAGCACAGCGTGTAGGCAAGGCAAGGTGCTGCGTTCCATTTCGTTTTTGTCTGCCGTCCATCAAATCTGCCTGCACTGCCAAACCACCACCCGCGGTCCAAGGGCCCCAGTTTCTTCAAAACCTCACCTCACACACCCCGACTTGTGCAGCCCGCACCGCAGACGCAGCACCCAGGCGCAAAAATACCCAGCAGAGCAATAATAATCCCACCAAAGAGCAGCAGCCGACCGCCCTGCCCGTCTCCGATCGCTGCGCCTGCTCGCCGCCTCCCTTCCCTTTTCCTTTCGCCGCTACAGCCACCGGGCCGACGATGGGCGCTGCGGGCGGGCTTGGAGGACCGTCGACCCTGTGAGAAACCGAGCCGATCTTTGTCGTTTCTCTCTGCCCTTTGTTTTCCTCTCGTTCCATCTCCTGGCCCCCTCCCGCCGGAGCAGCCAGCTTGGGGGGCTTCTCTGCTCTCTTTCCTATGACCGCGCGCCAACATGGACGGTCCAGCCCTCGTGCCCGACGATGTGCTCGACCCGCTCCCTCCGCCGCCGCCGCGGCTGTTCGAACGCCTTCGCCAGATAGCCGGGTATAGCTGGGACGAGACGACGCCGCCCTTTCACTCGACCTATGACTTTTGGTGAGTCGCTCCTTTTTTGTTGCTGTATTTGCGGGCATCACGATGTGATATGGATAGGCAAGGGAGGATGGAAGAGGCCAAGGAGGGGGAGGAGGAAGTCGTGAAGCAGACGACGAGTTGAGTACGAGAGAGATGATACACCAGAGCAAACGCACAGTCACCCACGACGAAGAAGCGGGAGAAAGCATCTTTTTTTGCAGCTACTAATAACAGCAACTCCCAACGGCGACTGCAACATCCGGCCAGTGGCTTATATCGAGAGGCTAACGTCCTCCTCTAGGCACGTCTTCGGCACCCGATTTGTCTCTCCCACGTTGCCCACCTCCTCGTCGTCGCAGAACGCCTCCAGCCCGGGCTCAGTGTCCAAGTTCCAGTCGGGTCGCCCGACTCCCTCAGAACATGGCGGACCGCTCTCCAGCTACAGCTTTGGCTACAGCAGCGAATCCCCCGCCTCCCCGCTGCCCACGCCTCACACGAACCCTCTCGCCTCCCCTTCCGCCGATGGAACGTACTACATTGAAGAGCCCGTCGTGGCGCGCGTGTCGCACCATGCCCTCCGGGAGGAGAGGGCCTTCCAGATCGCCAGGAGCGCCACCTCAGTCGACCCCAACGGCGACCATATAGTGAAACCCCTCGACCTGATACGACTGAGCCCGGTCGTTGGCGACCGCGGGGCCATCGTCGTGGCCATATACCAGCACCCTGGCCCCAACCTTCTGCTCGACTTCATGGACATGGGGCCCGCCTGGTACCATGCGCGCAAGGACGGCGACGCGTACCGCGCCTACTACTGCCGACCGAAGCTTCTTCCACCGATAAGCCTCCGACTGTTTCTCGACTTTGCAATAGGTGCAACCCAGTGCTTAGAGATCCTGCACCACAGCCGAGGCATGGTCCACGGAGAGATTCGCGGGGATGCGTTCCACTTCAACGCCGAAGACCAGAAAGTCCGGGTCATGTCCTTCGGGTCCGGCGTCCGGTCTTTCGAACACGGCCTCACCAGCACCGGCTGGTCGATGCTCTCCAAGGAACTGGGCGGCAGGAATAAGCTGCTCTTCATCAGCCCCGAACAGACTGGACGAATGCCCGCCGAACCCGATACCCGGACGGACATCTACTCCCTTGGCGTCGTCTTCTGGACCCTCCTCACCCAGCAGCCCGTCTTCACCGGCGAGTCAGCCCTCGACATAGTCCAAGGAGTGCTGGGCCGCAGAATCCCCAACGTCGCGACTGTGCGAATGGATATACCGGACGTCATCGGGAGGATCATCCAGAAATGCACCGCCAAGAACGTGGCTGACCGCTATCACTCGGCCAGCGGGCTTCGCCACGATCTCATCAACATCAAGGAGTTTCTCGAAGATGGAAACTCCCAAGCCCTCAAGGAGTTCAGGATAGGCACGAGCGATGTCTCGTCCTTCTTCATGCTCCCGACCTCCATGATTGGCAGACAGGAGGAAAAGGCCACCGTTCTCAAGGTCATTAACCGTGTAGCCAAGAGCCATGCTGCCCAACGCAAGGGCCCCGTCAGCAGGTTTTCAGACGCGGCCAGCCTCCACGAGCTGACGACCTTTGACGACATCTCTAGCGAAGGCGGTGCCAGCTCGGTCGATGGCAACAACCGCAGGAGCGGCTCATTTGCCCAGACCGCATATTCAGAGACAAAACCTACAAAGAACAACTTCTTCCCACCCATGAGATCCGAGACCATGACCTTGTCGACCGACACCACCTCTTCATCCCAATCCACTGCCGCCGCCGCGTATCCTAGATTTACAAAACCGTGGGAGCGGTGGGAGCGCAATCAGTCCATCTCCTTGGGTTCCCTCTCCATGGACTCCTCTAGCATGGTCGAAAGCCTCAACGTCGAGGGACCCCGCGGCCCGTTCGACATGGGCTCGTCCAGTCTGTCGAGGCAGCTTGGCTCGTCCAAGTTCCGCCGCCATGGACACTGCGAGGTCATCACGGTCGAGGGCGCCGGAGGCGTCGGCAAGAGTCTCTTCGTGCAGTCAGTGCTGGCTGACGCTCGGCGGAACGGCTACTGCGCGACGGCCAAGTTCGACACCTCAAAAAGGACGCCCTTTGGACCGCTGCTCAAGCTGCTGTCGTCGCTCTTCAAACAAGTGTGGGGAGAGAGAAATACTGACACGCCCTTCCACCAGGGCCTGAAGCAATACATCCGCCCGGTGTGGCCGATGCTGCATAGAATCCTGGGACTGCCGGAGTTTTTACTTGGCTCGCCCGACATGATGAACCTGGCACGGCCGATTTCGTCGTCCCAAAGCTCAGGTTCTCGCAAGGATGTCCGGCCGCCACTCAAGCGTAGAACCTCATCCCCCGGAGAGTCCCCCGGACCGTTACCGCGGAGCGGGACCCAGTCCTCCCAAGACTATCTCCGCGCCGGAACGTCAACTAAAAGCATGCGTCTAATCAACACCATTCTAGATGTGCTCAGGGTCTTCACCACCCACAAGTTTATCTGCTTCTGCCTCGAGGACCTGCATTTCGCCGACGACGAATCCCTGGAGCTCATCTCGCAGATTATAGCCGCCCGCATGAAAATGGTGGTCATCGTCACCTACAGGCCAGAGGAGCTTTCGCCGGCCAAGCTTCAAGCAGTTGTCCAGCCGTTAGACGCAGACGGTGATTATGGTGCTTTTCGTTCGGCCTTGCTCGATGCTGATACCGTGGCAGAACATCCCCGCAGTGCACGCACACAAGTAACCAGAATCGTCCTGAACCCTCTTAGCGAGGATGACATCCTTCACTATGTATCAGCCACCCTCTGTAGACCCCGGGACGAGATCCTTTCCCTTGCTCTAGTTATCCAGTCCAAGACAGCCGGCAATCCATTCTACATGCGAGAAATGCTCAGCGCCTGCCATAGGAAGAGGTGTATCTGGTATGACTACCGTGATAGTCAATGGCACTACGACATGGATAGACTGTTTGCGCAGTTCCAGGGTGAGAAAGACTATGATGTTCTAGATACCGCCTTCATCACCCACCGGCTGGGTGAACTGCCGTCTGCTGCTCGAGCAGTGCTGGCTTGGGCGGCCCTCCTCGGCGGCTCCTTTTCGTTTGAGCTTCTGTGTCGCCTCATGAGCGGAGAGTTCGACTACCCAGACGACGACGACGACGAAGAAGCAGAACCGGCAGCCTGTGCGAACGTCACACAGCGCGCCTACACCGAGGGAGAGGCCATTGCGGGCTTACAAGCAGCCATCCAAGCCTATATCATTGTGCAGACCGAGACAGACGACCGCTTCCGCTTCGCCCATGACCGGTACGTGCAGGCTTCTTCGGCCCTGAAGGAGTGCAAGGCGCGAAAGATGCACTTCATCATCTCCCAGACGCTACTGAAATACTACGCAGTGGAAGCCAGACAGCGTGACAGCACGGCTTCGCACATCTGCACGGCCGTCGACATCATCAGGCGTCGTGTGCGCTGCCGGAGGGACTTCCGCAAGCTGCTCATGGAGTGCGCACGAGCCGCGACGGAGAACGGCGCTCGACCCACCGCGGCCAAGTACTACAACGCGGCAGTCCGGCTCTTGCAGGACGACCCGTGGTCTGACGATGTGGAAGACGCCTCCTACGACGAAACGATACAGCTTTACCTCCGGTCGGCAGAGTGCCATCTGTACATGAGCCAGGTGACGTCAGCCGGCGAGCTTCTCTCCCAAATCTTCGCAAACGCCAGAAATCCGGTGGACAAGGCACCGGCCTATGTCCTGCAGTCGCGGATATATGCTCAGAGCGGCGACTCCCCGGCGGCATTGGTTTCCCTCAAGGAGTCCCTGGGCCTGCTCGGCGTCTCCATCGACGAAGAGGCGACGACGTTTGAGAAGTGTGACGAAAAGTTCCACAAGATTGCGGCCCAAATCCAAGACATGGACCGTCAAGCACTGCTAAGCTGCAAGAAATCGAGTGATCCGTCAATAGCGTCCATCGGCGCTGTGTTTGCCGAGACCACCAATGCAGCCTGGTGGAGCGACTGTTTACAGTTCTACCATCTCAGCCTTCTCATGTTTGACATCCACCACTCTCGGGGCCCCTTTCCGCAGTCTGGGATGGTGTTCCTCAACCTGTCCGTCATAGCACTGGCGCGTTTCAACATGGTTCCGTTTGCCATCGACATGAGCATGCTCGCCCAAGATCTGCTGTTCCAGACCCGCGATGCCTATTCGCTGGCACGAGGCGAAATGCTGCACCAATGCTTTGTCGGGCACGTACAGTGCTCCATGTCGCTGGCCATGTCCCAGATGGAGGATGCGATTGAGCTGGCGTCCGTTGCCGGAGACAGGATGTCGACGATTCACAGCTACGGACTGGCTGCTCAGATCAAGTTCTTCGCGAGTGAGAACTGCAGCGATCTGGAGGCGTTTTGTGAGCTCGCCTGCGAAGAGATTTACAGATGGAACTGTGATACCAGGGGCGGAGTCATGCTCATTGCCGTAAGACAAGCTTGCAGGGCGTTGCAGGGCAAGACGCGCGCCCACAACGCCCTTGAGGTCATGACGGACGATGAGCACAACAGCGCATCGTACAAGAACTGGATGACGGAACGGACCAAAGGCAGCAACCGTCCGATGCTGTTCTACGAAAGCTTTGAGATCGTCGTACTCTTCATGTACGGCCACTACGACCGCGCCATTGAACTCGGAGAAAGATGTTTCAATCAGCTCGCCGATCTGTGGTCAGCGCGGAATACGAGGATGATCGTTTTGTGCTACGGATTGGCTCTCGCCGGGCGATTACTTGGGCGAATGCAGGATCCTCGCAGCCAAGCTGACGACTTCACCGCGGAGATTGCGCAGCTCTTGGAAAAGCTCAACGTATTCTTGAAGATGATATACGACTGGACAACAGTGTCCAACGTCAATTACTTGGCGTGGGCGAGGCTTTTGGAGGCGCAAATGGCAGAGCTGTCGGGCGACCATGGCGGCAGCGTCCAGGCTTACGAAGAGGCGCTGGACCACGCTACCGAGCATGACTTTATGCTCGAAGAAGCCCTGGGCAACTACCTCATGGCCGGCTTCTTCATCCGACGCAAGGCGCGACGGTCTGCTCGTGCGGCTCTCCTGGATGCTTTGAGCTTGTTCAGACAATTGGCGGCTACTGGTGTCGCCCATGCCATCGAAGAGGCGCACTCACTTCTCCTGCATGGGCCCACGCGGAACCATCGCGTTGCCGATGTGGGCGTCCAGACCGACTTCGTCACGGACGCGCCTTCAGTTCAATATCGCCCCGTGGATGGAGAAGACGACGACGTTCTCACCCAGATTCCCTCCAACGCCCTCACCGAGTCCAAGGGGGAACAGATTGGGGCGTGGAGAAACTCGATGCAGATGCAGGCGGAAGACGGTGGCGGACTCCCTGCTCTCGATATGATCGATTTGCACGCGATCCTCAAGTCCTCACAAGTCATCTCGTCGCTGCTACAGGTGGAAGAGCTGCTCAAGACCATGTGCGATGTCATTCTGCAAACCTGCGGCGGCTCGGCGACCAACGCCGCGATTGTAGTTGATGCTGATAGCGACGGCTGGTGTGTGGCTGCTAGTGGTGACCCGGAGAAGGGGGCTTCCGCACACAAGCCGCCCTTGCCCCTTGCGAACACCCCCTTGATTGCCGAGAACGTGGTGCTGTACTGCACGCGCTTCATGGAGAGCGTCTTCATCCCGGACATTGTTTCCGACGAGAGATTTGGCAATGTCAGCGAATCCTGGCTACAGAGGAATCCGACAAGCAAGGCCATCATTGCCATTCCAATTCGGCATGCGAACAAGCCGCTGCTGGGCGTGCTATATCTCGAAGGCGTCCCTGGGTCCTTTACGGACCGCAACGTGACCGTTCTTCAGCTCTTGGTCAACCAGATCGGCATCAGCTATTCGAATGCTCTGTCTATCAAGAATATCGAAAAGATCTCGGCCGAAAACCATTCCATGGTGGAGATGCAGCGGCGTGCGCTGAAGAAGGCCATCGAGGCGGAAGCAAAGGCGAAACACGCAGAAGCAGAGGCGAAACGGAACGTCAAGCTGGCCGAAGAGGCTGCAAAGGCCAAGTCCATCTTCCTGGCCAACGTGTCTCACGAGCTTCGGACGCCTCTCAATGGAGTCATTGGAAACTCGGAGCTCTTGCGCGACAGCAACTTGAACAAGGACCAGCTCGAAATGGCAGATTCGATCCGCGTCTCGGCCGACCTCTTGCTCACTGTTATCAACGACATTCTGGACTTTTCCAAGATGGAAGCTGACAAGATGAAGCTTTACATCATCGCCTTTAATCCGGAGGAGATGGTGAGGGAAGTCGTCCGGGCAGTTTCTTATAGCAATCGAGAGAAGACGTCGAAGAAGAATGTCAAGATCATCCAGGACATCAACCTGCCATCCATGCTGATCTATGGCGACCCAATCCGGCTTCACCAGGTTCTCGGGAATCTCATTGGAAACAGCCTCAAGTTTACAGAGGACGGCTCCATCACCATTGGCGCTCGCCTGGATCACGAGACCCAAGAGAGGGCGACGCTGACGTTCTGGGTCAGGGATACAGGAATCGGCATCCCGCCTGAGCAGCTGGCCAACCTCTTCCAACCGTTCAGCCAGGCGGACGCCAGCACAGCTAGGAAGTATGGCGGGAGCGGGCTCGGGCTCAGCATCTGCAAGTCACTCATCGAGATTATGATGCAGGGCAAGATCCAGCTCGAGAGCGAAGAGAACACCGGCACTACCGCCTGGTTCACAGTCTCCTTTGAGAAAGCCAAGCCGGACGTTGCCGCTGGAGATGCACAGTTACAGACGTCGGCCCCCGTCGATAGGTATTCGGCCAGAACCTCTTCGTTTGTGGAACGAGCGGCTTCTCCGAATCCGTACCTTGATCTGACCCGGGTTCCCAAGGAGGAGATTCGCATTTGCGTGGCAGAGGACAATCCCATCAACCAGAAGATTGCCATTCAGTATGTACAGCGATTGGGATACACCAGTGTCAGTGCCTATGAGAATGGGTTAAAGGCGGTTGAGGGCCTCCGGCAAAAGGCTCGAGAGGGCATCCCTTACCATATCGTCCTCATGGATGTCCAGATGCCAGTCCTTGACGGCTACGAAGCTACCAAGCTCATACGAAGCGACCCAATCGACGAGGTTCGAAAAATCTTGGTCATTGCCATGACGGCATCGGCCATCCAAGGCGACAGGGAGAAGTGTCTGGCTGCCGGCATGAATGATTACCTTGCAAAGCCCGTTCGCGCGGAAGTACTCAAGCGGAAGCTGGATGCATACATGAGCAATTCGAGGCCTGGCCCGCCATCCTCCACCCCTTCACCGGCGAATGCGATGACATATGCAGACACGACGAATGGCTATAGCAGTGAAACGGTATCGTCCGTTCAAAAGCTGCCGCCGCCTCCGAGGAAACCTCTGCCCAGCAGCGCATCCAGCACAAGCTCTTCCGAGCCGGTGATTCGAAAACCGGTACCTATACGATCGGGATCCGGTTCATTGCACGAGTCACTCTTCGACGGGCCTCATAGCTCTGAGGATTTGCAGCACCCTGGAAGCCCAATATATGATGAGGAGGTCGAAACTCCGTTTGGGGATGATTCGGTTGCCAGCCAAGCAGACACAAAGAGCCGCTCCACAAGCAGGACGTCGAGTGATCAGGAGTGCTCCGACTCTGGAGCAAGGAGAGGATCTACTTCGCAGGGGCAGAAACAGCAGCCTCGAAAACTGGCCAAGAGCCGGGGGAATAGCACCACCGAGGCGTCGAAGATGGAGAATGGCGCCCAGGAGGCGAAGGAGGGGGAGGAGGAGGAGAAGCCGCAGCAGCAGTCGTCGATTGTCAAAGACGCCTAGGAAGTATTCTTTCTTCTTTGGTTCCCATTCATCTTGTGTGTTTCCTGCTTTCTACTTTTCATGCCTTATTTGCATCACATGCTTGACCTTTAACTACGGATTTGGATAGACGGACAAATTCATGGGCGTTTCTCTTTTACACCCCCGTGACGGCCTAGCTGTGGATCATTGTTTCTTTGTTTTCTATTTGGCGGCATGTCAGGGGGCTGGGACGAATGCAAACTGGTTGACTGAATCATGGCCTGGGGTTTACGAAAGAGCTGGTTAACGTCCTTTTTCTTATGCCTTTCTTTTGACGACGTCTGGACGAAATTCTACCTTTAAACTTTTACGTCTATCTTGTTTCCTTTTTTCCCCCTTTCTCTCAGACGTCCGCCCTTCTTATACACCTGTTCTGTTTACCTTGACTTTGTTTTCTCAACCTTTGTTGGCCCACGTCATTTATGTAAAAAGCCGGGAGTCAGGATTTTTGCCAAAGGCTTACGCGTGATTGAGGGAGGAAGAAAGGAGGAGGAGGACATGAAATATTTGACACACCTTGTAACGAACACAAGACAGAATTGCAAAAGAAGATTGATATGGGAATGGGATTACAAATCAAAGAAGAAAGAATACCAAAAATGAAACATTTCTTTTACTTGTGAATAGGAGATGAGGCCAGAGAAACTTGGAGATGGGGTGTGAGCGGCTTTTTCTCCCCTCCCTTTTTTGTGTGTTGATGGGGATGATGTGGGATGAAAGACGAGATTTTGTATGAAGAGACATGGGTGTTATTAGAAAGAAGAGGGTGTTCGATTCTACTGGGGAGGGCAGTAAGGGAAAGGGGAAGGCAGTAAGCATAGAACACGTACACGAACGAAACTCAACATGGCAAAATCACTTCACCTTGCTTTTCTCTCCTCTTGCGCCTCTATTTAAACCAAGCTGGTATAGAGAAGAGCAGGAGAGAAGGGGGGGAAGGCCTTTTATGTAGCCCCTGTTCGTTTCAACGGTGATGGTAGTATAGCGTTTCTCAACTGTTGTTTCCTCCTATTACAGCTTTCCCTCATAGACTGGCGATTTTTACTGACTCTTTATTTCATATTGTCTGGACCTTGTGCTTTTTTTCTTCTTGTAATTCTGCCTGGAGCCATGTGGCTAGAACAGTGCATTCTTTCCAAGCGTAGTTTTATAGCACATCGACAACCAGATAAATGCTCAACAGTCATACATAAGCATTCATACATACATACATACGTACAAGGGATTTGAAAAAAGGTGCCTGCATGAGGTAGTATTCATAGTAAGCCCTGCATTAGTGCTCCCCAAAGCACCACACCAGCAACTTCAATCCCCAATCCCTCAAACTTCTCAAGGAGATGAAAATGACGCTCCTGCTTGTTCGGCCGAACTTGTCGCACGTAAAGAGCGGCGCTTTCGGGCATAAAACAAAAGCCCAGGCTTCGGATCAGCCGCATAGGGTTGGGCTCAAGGCAGAGGGCGCAATCCGCGCTGTGATATCCTTCGCAAACTACACAAGTAGCCACAGCACAAAGCACAGCTACTGCTGGGGGCCAAGTTCCGTCTCCCCTGCGCACCAACAAACAAGCACTTCATAACCCCATCCTTTGGATTCAAAAGAGCGCCTCCAAGACCACGCCAGACACCCATAGGAACCAATAGTCTCAGTGGCCGAGGGGGGGGTTGTTTTGAACTGCAAGGGAGGAGGGCAATCAAGCTACCTACTTCGGCGACACATGGCGTTCACAGACAAGATGCGGCTTATCACGGCCGGCCAGTGGGAGAACATGTGGCATTGTTCCGGGAGCTGAACGAAGTTGCAACCCCTACCTTGGCGAGGGCGCAAAGACTAAATGCGAATATAGTATAGAGTTCGTCGGCATATTCTGGATGGGTGGTGTGTGAGAGAGAGAGCAGAAGCGTGCAGCCGGCCGGACAACCCACATGCCAGCAGTTACCCAGTAGAACAAAAGTAGGGAGCATCTGTTCCACACACGGAAACAGCCAACTCGCCATGGAGCAAGCCATCGCCCTATGAAGCATGTCAAATAACGGCTCTTGCAATGTGTACGTGTGTACAAGCATATCGTTGCGGTGGAGACGACGGCAACCGTCTTGTTCTCTCGAATCCGTCGTCTCCCGCTAAGCGGCGTGGAGAATGCATCTTTTGTGACCGCATGCCTAGGACAAGGATAGCGGCAGCTCGGCTACCTCAGGTTGGTCATGGTGCGTAACCAACAGCATATGCGAGTCTTCTCTTAAACTTCTCTCCCTTTGCTTTGTACCCTCTCCCTCCCTTCGAGCATGGCCGTGAGGGAAAGGGGAGGGGTAGAGTTACAGCCGGTATCCATCTGGCCACGAGAGGGAGACGTACAGATCCTGATCCAGGGGGGCATTGCAACTGCGGCTGTGTTTGCATCGTCAATGTGATTCCCGGCCAGAAGATGCACAACCTGCTTAGCCGCGTCAGGAACCTTGGTAAGCTGAGCCGGCAGGTGAAAAACCTTGCGTCGTGCGGCTGATGATTGCCAGGAACCGCCTGTGAGGGACGGAGTTTAGGTCTCGACGCTACTGTGTGATATAAGCACTCTCTGTACGAAACCCTTTCTGACGTGCAATTGTTGGCGTGCATCTATCTGTAGAGCGTCTTTTGCACCAGCAGCCACCAACTGCTGTTGATGTTAAAGGTGTTCAGGCCGGGGAATTTCCGCCCTGACCTACTCCTTTGAGAAGAACCACGGACCGCGGATCCTCTGTGGCTTGCGACCGCCCTTCTGCTAACAGAAAAGATGGATAAAACGGAACCAATATTGGACGACGGTATTTTTCCCGGTTTGTTTCCCTAACCGCCGCGTGGGTCTTTGTGGCTGTCCGTTCCACGAGTCTAGTTCCTTCAGCAAGCTTGTGACGAGACGGAACTGCAGCGAGGCAGATGAAAACTTTACTATCCCATGCTGCATTTGGTCTGGGTGCTCTGCCCGTAAGCCGGATCCCAAGATATGTGCTTATCCTCCAAGGGTGCTGTGCAATATGCCTCCCGTGGCTCCAATTTCCCCTCCGTCACAGTATAAGCAGTGTGCTGCAGGTGGTAGTATGTCCCAGCAAAATGTCAAAACGACATCAAAGAACTTGGGCCGGTCCCTCAGCATGCACGACCGAAAGACGCCTTTGTTCGACCGTATGCTTCGTACCGGTATCACCCAGGAATCTCTTCAGCAAAGCCAAACGTAGTTACGGCGATGCAACGATTCTATCTCGATTATCTGCAGCTGAGGTCGTAGGGCCAGGGGTAGCAGACGGCTGAAAATAATCCTTGACTGCCTCCCGTCCCAGGCATTGGCCGTTGGCATGTAATACTTCGTACACTCCTGGTGCTTGATGTTGAAGCTTCTCAAGCTGCATGTAACGAAAGCTAAAAGATCGCTTCGAGTGGATCCGCATATAGCCACAGCTGTGCGGCCATGATGGGGTGGTATCAGACTTGCTGGGACACAACCATTTGCCAATGATGCAAGAGATATCAATTGTAACACCGGCAGGACGAAACGACGCAGATCCTTGTGACGCCGTGCGCCGTCATGTTGGGCGTGTAACGGCAATATAAAGTCCTCAATGCCAAAAAGGAACCCGATACAACCGCCCGTTCGGCCTCTGATCTTGGGCGCGACAGCTGACTGTGGTAGCCCATATGAGCATAAAGCAGAAACATGCATGTTCCAAATTGGGGCAATGTCCCAGGGCAAAAAGGAAGGTCTCTCGACAAATCCAACATAAGTTCGCGGCAGCAATGCCTGCTCTAGGCACACACGCATCTGAAAGCTGGTCCAATCGGATAGACGCTGATCAGGTCATCCCCACAGCCTGGGAATACTATGCGCTCAAGCAAAAGTCGACTTAATCTAAGTGAAACTCGGCCGTGGTTAATGGTCGATGGCTGAATTGCGGCACAGTGAAGTAGCAGTCGTAGCTTCGAGCTCCAGCAGCCACTCGAATCCGGCATGGTGCGTGGCTGGCTTGGCTTACTCACTGCTTCCTGTTTCTTCGAGGTTGAGAGGGGTTCAGCACGAAGACGAGAAAACAAAGACGGAAGTCTATCCGGTTGAGGGTGTGCTGAATGCGGGGAGAGGCGGCCGTCGATACCTCATTGTGAGCTATCTTGTCCGGTCTGCTTACCCATCAGGGCGGCGTTGCCATGATGCGGCTGGTCTAATATCACATAATTTGCCAGTTCACAGTTTCCATACTCGTACTGCTGGCGGCTAGGCCAGAAAGTTTTTGGTCTCACTTCGAAGTATGCTCACCGATCAGAAGGGAGGAAGACGATTGTCGCCCAACTGGAGCTGGTTTCAGTTCATTGGTTGATATGATGCTGGTCCTCTTGGTGTGTATCAACAAGACCAGCCAAGAAGAAACGGCGGCGGCTGGCGCCTGAAGCTCGATTCTTAGTGGAAATACACGAACCATGGTGACGTGGAAACTCGAAGTATATCTGCTAGCCGACGGCGTGGCATCCGGACCGGACGCTACTGCCAAACTGATACGGCCCTGGTAGGCTGCGGCGGAAACAGACTGCCGGAGGACATTGACCAAGATGAGCGGACGGCTGCGCAGTGCCGATACAAGCCTCTCACGACACGTTCTAGAGGCTGAAGCTGGCCTTGTTCGCTCAAGACTCTCCAACCACGTCCGACTGTGCCGGCAGATGCTAGGCGTGCCAGATTGAGAAGATCGGTAAAGCCGAGAGAAGCAGTGCTCTGGTCTGGTACCCAAGCCCCTATCTGGACTATTTGGACATGACTCTTGGAAACAAATTGACGGACATTGCGGCTTGACAGTGCGAAGTTGCTTGAAGAAAGCCATGGTCGTCGACCTCGATCTAGGTCCGTGGCTTGCTTCTCGCAGGATTGTGTTCTCTCGGCCAAGTCTGGCGTGATGGGGTTGGCTTGGTGTCGGTTTGAGGCTATTCAGGCTGTGTGGTCGAGGCTACCCGGTCCTGATCG